TTTTATTTATTTTTATTTATTTTTATTTATTTTTATTTATTTTTATTTATTTTTATTTATTTTTATTTATTTTTATTTATTTTTATTTATTTTTAATTTTAATTTTTAAATAAAATATAATATATTATTATAATAATTTAATTATATTTTTTATTAAAATTTAAAATTTTATATAATTTATATAATTAAAATTAAATATATATTAAAACTTTTATTTTAAATATATATATTATATTATATATATTATATTTTTAATTATTTATATATTAAGTAAAATAAAATAAAATAAAATAAAATAAAGTAAAATATTAAGTTTTTATTGTTTTTTATATAAAAGGGTTTTCCGGGGGTTTTTAAAAAAAAAAAAAAAAAACACGAGTGGGATTTAAACCTACGCTTTTGTATAAAAAGATACGTATTTTGACTTTTTTCTCGAAAGTGGGGAATCTGGTGAGACCCGTTGTTTTGGGAGGATGCACCCAATAAAAACGCTCTAAAGCTGCGCACGGACGAACTTCCTATCTCGAAAAATGGCCAGGCAAAAAGATCGTTTAACAATATCCCTCGTAAACTCGGGCAAAGGCGAGAAAAAAGACTAAAGTATAAGATTTCCACTTTTGGATGTTTACATAAATGCATCATTTGGGCGCGGTTACACAAAGTTCTAATAAAGCAACAGGACTTAACGCCGACTAAACATTGTATTGCTGAAGTCTTTTATAATATGGGTACCTACATGTAGGTATTTTGTATGAGAAAATAAGCTTATGATTAGAATTAGCTCGATCGAAGACTCCCCTCTATAGTGATACAAGTTAAGCAGGGCTAATCCGATTTGATAAGTTTCACATAGCTAAGACGCGTTAGGGCCGGACAAACCTTAAGCTTATAAAGAACGTTGGGCGGGTTGGAGTATGCCGGAGACCGGACGCTTGTGAACCACACCGCTTGAAACGCATATCACAAGTAGGTCCGTCAAGGTTCTCATTATCCTGCTGTGACCAGACTATCTATATTTCGCAGCCTTAGCTCAACCCAATAAGTATCGTTAAGTTGCCGTGTATGAAGAACCTTTTCTCGTAGTCACCTGGTAAACGAAAAGCAAAAGTTGGCGACTCCAACTAGATGCTCCAGAATGGGTCGGCGTATTATACCTATGCATGACCAACATTAGTGTAGTTCAGACAAGCCGAGCGACAAAGCCCTGATATTCAAATCCGAATCCCTACCTTAAGTGGGGTTGTGAAACAAATCGTCAACATGACTTTTACTTTTACTTTTCTGAAGTTTACGCAAGGTTGAATGAGATGGCCAGCGAATGTAAATATAAGTCCTGTTCAACTTGGAATAACTATCAAAACTTTACTAAAATGATATCCAAATAATCACGGACTAAATGGCTCTCAGAAGGGGTGGAACATAAAGATAGAGCCTCAAGTTTCAGCTTTAAAGCCTCATCTCGAGTTAGAAGGGGTGAGCAATACGTAGTAGTGACGACCTTGAGGCCCGGGGGTTACCCCAAACTTATGTGGGACCTGAAGTTCCATTATTACTATGTAAGGGTAAAACAGAGATTGGCCATCAAGGTACCCGTCAGCGCATGGCTTGGCAAAGCTTGGCATATCATCATAGGCCTTTCGCCCAATCAGATGCTGCGCAAAAGCAGCCTCTGTCCCTACCCGCATTGTTACATATGTGTGTAGGTCGGTAGCCACTTCTACGGATCTACATCTTAAATACGCAAGCTAAATAACCGTTAGAACTTTCTCGTCTAACACATCATATTACCTACAAAGTCATTGTTACCACTGTTACTATTATTTCCTTCTTCCCGCCTTCATCTACTTTTTCCTCCTACGTTTCTATATAAACTCGCTCCAAATTCTTGCCTTCTTTCCGCTTTGTTGAAATTAGAGTGTTTTGTTACTACGCCACCTTAAAACGGAACTTGTCAAACTGCCGAAAGCGTCTAGATCTGCCAGCCAGCCTCACCAACATTTTCAGATCATCGGAACGCATACCACTCTCAACTCTATGCTCTCATAACCTATTCGTTTAAAAGTTAGAGGGAGGAAAGGCGACGACGTGGCATAATATATCCAACGTCAATTTGGCCTATCATGGAGGCCGCCGAGTTGGACAATGATACGAGGGGTTGGATCATGTGCCTAGTGAGCGGCGTTGGTGTGTGACCTTAACCATATGAATTGTGTGACTTTTATTGATATACTGACTGACTTGTTGTATCAATATAGCATGCGTGATAGGATCCGCTATTATTTGCGTCGATGTCATCGTCCGGCTCTTCCCCGGTAAAAAGGATTTTCGAATACAAGACAGCAATATCTTTCTCGCCTGCTCGCTGAGCTTGAGCTTTGGCGTAATGGTAAGACTTGGCATTGTTGGCTTTAATTTGAAATATGCTGACGTTGTATGCTTTAGTTGTTCATGTCGCTGTACAGTATGTTACCCGAATCGAAGGACTACCTTATAAAGGGAGGCTTTTCAGATCAGACGGCAGGCTTCGTCTTGATGGCCTGCTTTGTAGGCGGATTCGTGGGTATTCAAGTATTGTCGAGATTATTTCACCGGCTTATACCTTCGCACGTCGTCGACTGCGACCATAGCCACGATGATCATGCTTTATTAGATAGCCATCATACTCATATAGATGGCTTCAGCGGGAGGCTATCTTCACATGCTTCCCATGCTCGAAGTATCGGTAAACGCAATCATTCCACACATGCCCATCTTGACGGCCTAAAGCCTCTAGTGAGCGAAAACGGCCACGCTAGTGAGATTACGCCGCTTCTACAAACAGACACCTCCAACGAAACATATCGTGCCCGGCCACTGAGGAGGGCAGAGACCGAGAACCCCACAGATGGGCACCTACCTACAGCCTTGCGCAGCCCTCGCAGGCGAGCGATGACGTCGGAAAGGCGACCTTCGATGTTGCAGAAGCGAGTTATGTCCTTTGTAAAAGACACGAAGCCTAATTGCGATGAGGCTGGCCCTTGCTACGGATACTCAGATCCGTGTGGACAAGAATGTTTCAAGCACCTCAGCAGCCGACCCGCACCCCTATCCCGAGTGTCTACTTTACTTCGTTCTGCTACCATAGGACATACCGAACAGTGTATTGATACGGTAAACGAGGACGACAATCTCGATACTTCATCTACTGTAAGCCCTATGTGTCGGATGAGTCGTGTGCATTCGCGTGATGTTCACCACGAACATGAAGATGAACACAACTCCGAGATCTCGGAAGACGTTGAGGCCCAGCATCATCATCACGTTCCCGAGAACGCCTTTCTGTCCATCGGCCTTCAGACCTCTATTGCGATCGCTCTACATAAATTCCCCGAAGGCTTTATCACTTACGCAACGAATCATGCGAACCCTTCCCTTGGTTTCAACGTATTTCTGGCACTATTTGTGCACAATATTTCCGAAGGGTTTGCACTTGCATTGCCGCTCTATATGGCCCTACACAACAGATTCACTGCTATGCTATGGGCTTCTGTACTAGGTGGTCTAAGCCAGCCATTAGGAGCGAGCATCGCGGTACTGTGGTTTAAATTGGCCCAGCATACGAACATAACGCCCGACGCCGTGGCGTACGGTTGCCTATTCGCTATTACGGCAGGCATTATGGCTAGCGTGGCCCTGCAGCTGTTCGTCGAGAGTCTGAGCCTCAACCACAACCAGAATTTAAGCATTTTATTCGCGTTCTTGGGTATGACACTGCTGGGGATCAGCAATGCCTTCACCGCACACGCACATTGATTATAATATGCACCTCTCCACCCCCGAACTAGGCATAGGGGAGGGCTGTGTTATTAATCGCCGTCTTTTTTTCGTTTTAAGGCTACAGGATGGGAATAGGCAAGGGTATCAATTAATTGATTGAAAGCATCATGCGCGGCGTCCTTGAAATTTTTACGGATACGAGGGATGCTAGGCACGAAACTCACAATTCATAAGGATAACTACCTAACCAGTCGAAATCGCAACTTCCATGTTCAGGCTCGCAGGGAAGCGAGAAAGGAAAGGAATCATCGGTGTGCACCATAGCGCTAAGGCAGAGTGTTGGCATACGTTAGCTTTTTTTAGTATAGAGTGGCCAAGGTAACAGCGCTTGAATGGAAAGGCCTGTTTCTTCTTGCTTACCTCTTATGATGGACTTGTATTAGGTTGTGTGAATGTATGGATATGTGTATACATTACTAATGTTCTTGGGTTTTATAATCAGGAAATTGACATATGAATTCATGATCTGTTTCTTCGTGCCTATAAGCGTGTACATGCATACCTATATAGGCATATACCAAAGAACTGACAACTTTGCATCACTATGAAAACTCAATGCTCATGTAGGATAACTATAAAAGGATAACACTTCTTTTCTCCAAACTAAGGGTATTCATTCCATTAACGTCGTCTATCTTGGTCTTACATATATAAGTAGGTTAATATATATTCATTACGCCCCGTACTTTTCCGAGCTTAACAGCCTACACATGACTCTCCTTATTACTACTTCGTGCTCCTCTTCACCGTTCTCTCCTCCTATCACCATCACAATCTGCTCCCTTCCCTCTCCTGTCCCGGTGCCAAAGCACCGCTCATCAGAAACTCTCCACCATTCCTCTCTGGCCGCGGGTATCCATGCAACACCATCTCCCTCCCACCGGCAGTGCCCCACCACGCAACGCCCACAGCCGCTCGTTCGACGTCCATCTCGCCGTTAACCAAGACATCCCAGAAGCGGCGACGAACGCCGTCGCGCAGACGCGGGTCCTCTATCGCATTCATAGTCTCGGCAGCGCGCGTGAGCCACTCCTCAACCGCGTATAGCGGGACATGGGGGAGCGCATCGACAAGCGCTAGGACAAGAGCAGATTGTTCCGAGGCGGGGTCCTCGGATGAAGCCGCGGCCTGTTCGCTCGGTGGCAAGGGGGCTGTAGACGCGCCTTCGACAGCGCGGAAGCGCAGGGTCTCGAGGAGGGTCTCGGCGAGGTCGGGATGCGATGCGGAGAGGGGGAAGGGGGGGCTGGAGATCTGTATAACGGTGCGGAAGGCGAGACGAAATTGCCGGGGGGATATGCGAGAGGGGAAGGAGGATAGTAGGGCGTCGACGTAGAAGGGGATGAGGGAGGCGGCGAGGGCGCTGTGTTGTGGACATGAAAGGGACGAGAGGACGGCTGAGTGTGCGGCTTCGAAGAGCTCGAGGGTTAGTGAGGATGGAGGGGTGTTGGCTGGACTGGCAAGCCAGGAGGTGGATGGGGCCAGGTAGGCCGTTGCGGGTGTGACGATTAGGTCCTCGCATGCACGTGTTGGCAGCGAGAGTGGGAGGTGCTCTGCTGTGTTGAGGTAGAAGAGGGCGAGGGCTTGGATTACTGGGGATGGTACGACATTGCTTGTCTGAGGTGATGGTGGCTGCGTATCGCGAAGGAAAGACGCGCAAGCATCCGGATAGCGTGTAATAATATCGAGCGATGTGAGGTAAGTAAATGTGTACACTTGGAACGAACTTGCACCTTGGCGTGTAGATATAAAGGACAAGTTGCGCAGTATATGCAGCGTTCTCGCAGCTGTAGTTGCTGCTATTGCGTCGTTTCTAAGATATGGGTCCAATAGGGATCGCCCAACAATAGCTTGAATTGTTGCAGCCACAGCGTATAAGATCTTCTTGAACAACTGCCATAGAATTGGCCAGGGGCCCAGAAGCACATCGGGTGAGAGAGCTGCAGATTCGACGGTTAAGTCGATGGCAGAAAGTGGACAATGGGCCCATTTATTTAGCAAGGCCGCCGTAAACCCAAGAAGTGCTTCGTGAGCTTGAAGGACGATATTAGGATCCATCGCCTGTTGAACAGCAAACGACGCGAGCCGCGAAAGGGGTCCCATATTCTGTGCCAGGGGCCGAGACTCGAGCTTTTGAATCCTAGCAACGGATGGCGAATCGGGTTGCCACTTTATGATCGGTCCTGGTACGATATCGTTTGCGATTGGTGAAATAAAGTCGCCATGTTGAAGGCCTTCTTCTCCGAGCATCGCCTCGACGATGGCCGGTAGGAGTGCATTCCCATCTAGAATCTGCTTAGCCGATTCGTGTAAGAGGGGGAACGCAAATGTCAACGCCAGGACAACAGCACCACGCCCTAACGGCCCCGTCCGCACATGCTCTTGGAGTGCTAGGTTGGCGGCTGTAACGATAGCCTGTTCGAGCGTCGACCGTAAACTCCAAGACAAGGATCTTCTATCATCTCCTTCCATGCCCATCAGGACACCTGTTAACACCAGCACGTGCTGCCATCTACTCGACCTATCATCTGTCCCCTTCGCAATCGCGCGTGCCCAATCCTCGCTACGAACTCCGCTACCAACAGGTGGTCGTCCGCGTGGAAGGGTCGCATTTTCTAGTTCGTTCCTCCGCACGTGTATTGAGGCGGTGTTGTATATGCTTATGATACGCAGACAAGTGCGTAGACCATCGGGAGATTGCCATATCGCACGAGCTGTAAGGAAATGTGAGGTGAGTAGAGAGAGGTTGAGAGGATTGTTGAGGCTGGTGAGAAGCGACGTGGTGGTCCCGAAGATCTTGTCCGTCTCGGTTGGATTGGGAGCGTTTTGGTAGGCCCGTAGGACCGTCGCTAGTAATCGATCGCCTGGCATTTTTCGCGTCTCGAATTTATATTTGCGTGTGGCAGTATCCTACATAATGAAGATGTTCCTTTTTCACGTCATTGTTTGTCGAAGATAAAACTGCTAAAGTCTAAAGTCTAAAGTTTGGAGATTGAAGTTCCGAGGAATCGTTGTTGCTGCTCGGTACCCGCGTACAGGTTATGTAAGCCGGCCAGTTCCAACTTTTACCGAGGCACGACGTCAATTGAATTTATTACCTAACGTAACACTAGCTTAACCCCCTATCCTGCAGCCACTATGGTGGACCATTAGTGCAATTGTGCCAAAATCTTATCTCAGGTGACCTCAGACCTGAATCTCGTGGAAGCGGGCTGCGCCCGCTTGCGCCACGCAACGCATGGCCCGTGTGATTGTATCTGTGGGTCACGGGCGAGGCGTTCCACGAATTCAGGTCTGAGGTCGCCCTGGACCCGTAAAAAACATCTGGCATAGAATTGCTAATAAAAAATAAAAAACAACATTTTCAACGACTTAATAGACCATAACAACGTACAAAACAGCTTCTATTATAATGCCTCGATTCTAATGCTAATTTTTCTCTATCTCCTTAGCTTTTTTTCATATTCGTACGACGTTGCGTTGTTATACACCAGGTCTTAACGTTGAAAAAAACATCTGGCATAAAAATGGTAAAAAATCAACAACACAATCAACAACACAATCAACAAATCAATTAACAACACAATCAACACCACGTATAAATATAAAATGCCTTCTATTATAACTAGCCTAATAATACTACTATCCAAGCCTTCTTTTTATATACCCGTACAGCTTTAACGCATGTTGTAACGCGTGTTGCAATCGATGTTACAACCGGTGTTGCGACCGATACGTTGCGACCGATGCGACCGGTGCTACGGCTAATGCTATAGCTAATCTTAACTCGAAACACGTATGCTCAATCGATAGACCTAATAAGAAGGTTAGTAATGATTGTATAGTCAATTATTACTTATTGTAAAAGCGCGTTGATGTTGTCGTTTTGATGATTATTTTAATAATGTTGTTTTTGACGATGTTTTTTTATGCCATAGATTTAATTTTTAGGAAGGCGGGTCCCAGAGAGACCTCAGACCAGAGATTCGATATTGTTTTGGGGGGTTGTGATTGGTTAAAAAGTGGTGTGGCTAGAGGGGTACAACCCCCCGAACCAATTCGAATTTCTGGTCTGAGGTTACCTGAGATAACCAAAATTAATAAAATAGGTCGGAATTTTCCAAAAAGGGTAATATAGCAAGGAACGCTAAGTGCATAGTACACTATGCGGGATATATATAAAGGTATATACAAAGTAAAATATAAAAAATTTAATTATTAATTTAATTTTCAATTGTTTTATACATATAATATATTTAAATAACTTTATAAAAACAATAATATAAACGTTATAATTAATATTATTTTATAGCTTTAATTAATGCGAAAATAACAATTAAAGTTATATTTAAATCGGTTTTTTAATTATTATATTATAATAAAATTAAATAACGTTTATTTAAAAAGGTAAACACGTAATACTTTTTAAAAGTATTTTAATAAAATTATTTTAAATAAATTTTAAATATTTTAATAATAATATAATATTTAATATATATCGTATAAACGTATAATTTAATCCATTTTTTTCGTATTAATTAAAGTTATAAAATAATATTAATTATAACATTTAAATTATTATTTTTATAAAGTTATTTAAATATATTATATGTTATATATTATATATATAAAATAATTAAAAATTAAATTAATAATAAAATCTTTTATTTTAATTAATTAATATTAAAAATTAATAAAAAAAATAACCCGGAAAGATTATTTTTTAAACTTTTAAAAAAAATGGCTCGTATATATAATTACGTTTATAACTTTTTTAATATTTTTACCAATATTAAGTTAAATTATATGTAATTTAAACCATAATTTTTATTATTTATAAATTATAATATTAATATTTTTTAAAAAAAATTTAAAAGAAAATTTGTAAAGTTATTATACTATTAGGTTTAAAAAAGTATATATTACCTTGTAAATTATATATACAAGGCAAATAATCAAACCTACACTGTACCCCTAACATTACTATTACCCTATTAAATATAATGCTACCGATTTTCTTGATTTTGGCATAGTTGCACTAATGGTCCACCATAGCCACCACACGGGAGCTTCCCGCCGTGTAACCCCCTGTCATCCTGTCATCCTGTCATCTTATCCTTCAGCTCAAAAAGCTCAAAGAGCTCAAAGCTCCACAACTTTCTACCTATCGTCTCCTTCGCATCTCCTTTGTACAGCTCTAAATATATACACTACAGCTCTACATGTGCATAGAACATTCCAATTCTATGGTCAATTCTATGGCAATACCTTCTAGAACAACCATCTAAACGGCCAGATGGCCACCCCACCGTAAGTCCTATCATCTGATATCCAATTGTTAGTACGTATTGTCGAGACCATTTGACTAAATGATTGACGCCTAGTGCCGACTGTCATAATTATCCCCCCGACAATTACCACAGCCCCAAGTTCCCGTCCCTCTGCTGGCCTCCTCAGGACCCATACTGCGCCTTATATTCGGTCTGGGACTCATGGCGATACACACTTCTTTGGACCCTGATCCTCTATGCCGTGTTCCATTTCGGAGCCGTGGGCATCGCCCTCGCAATGCAGATCGGAAAGCCGCGATTCGTATGGAAGTACATGCTGGCCGTCCCAGCTATATACGCCTTGGTTGCTGGGGCTGAGGCGTTGTTCACCGGTAGCATTGTTGGACTATTGTAGGCACCTCACGACCTTGTCTTCGAGTCGTCGCGATTGACTTACACCCATCTTTAGGCTCGGCGCTATCTACATCTCTGGATGCTACCAGATGCCGACCTGGATACCGTTCATCTGGGGGTGGATAAATGTCTTGGTCTTGATCGTCTCCTCCTTCACCATTCAGGGAGGTCTATAAAACCCTTTGCTACAGTCCGAAATGAGCCGTGTATCCAAGGGCAATCGACCTAGAAAGACATCTCAACCCGGAAACAATGCAATCATCCCACAATGGGAGATATCGAATGATGAGTGGCACACCCTACCGTGACGCCTCCAGCCGCAATAGTTGCGTGAGGCATTAATAAACTCAAGGTGGTCCCAGCTGATGTATACGCCATGCTGGCTAATGGCTATGAGTATCAAGCTAACAAAGGACACTAGGAGACACATAGCTAGTATCATAACAATTATATACTTCTTAAGATACACCTTGGTCTTTTTGGGTGCGAGACTTAGAAGAGGGAACGAGGTTAGTAGTTCCCGGTTTAATATAACCACGTCGATAATATAGCCGTATAACGGCACAAATTTATAGAGTCAGCCGTATGAAGTCTTGATATTTCAAGCAACATGTATACTCTCTTGCTGAAATACAAGGTTATTGGAACTCTAGCAGCTCCGAACTTTTCCCATTTTATCATCTCTCACATTCTCTACTTATGTGACCTGGCAAAGACATGCCTATAGACATGCCTATAGACATATGCCAATGTCATTGTTCAAAAGTATCGTTCAATAAGGATGTAAGATAGGCTATATAGATGTTAGCCTCGGGGTTCTACATAATTTTCATCGTCACATTGCTGCATAATTCAGTAGTTTATTCGGGGAAGGGTACTTTATTATATAGAATGAAACAATAAAACAGAACAAAATAAAACAAGCACACTATCTACATGAAAAGTAAACCCAGGTCTAGTTACCCACTGGCAAATATGTCTCCTTCGTAAACCAATCCAGGCCAGCAGAAAGCCATAAGGCTGATTTAATATCGGCCACATATGGTCCAAATCCGTCCCGGCGGTAAAAGGGGATGACATCGCCTTTCGTACGGTAAACCCAGGTCGGTAATAGTTGACAGGAAGTACCCCCCCTTTTTCTTTCTTTCTTTTTTCTTTTCTGCCCCTTCTTCCCTGTTTACTCAGTGGTAAACTCCGCTTCCTGCGAAATAAGTTGCCCAGTCAATCCCAAAAGAAACTAGGATGAAGTATCAATATATCCTCCAAGTCCTTTTATCGGCCTCGATAGCGCATACGTATTCCTGGAGACTATCCTGCTCAGCCTAGGCCAAAAGAAACCGGGTTAATTATAATGGTCCTTTTATCGGTCCCAGTACCATAGCAGGAGTAATCTTGGAAGCGTAAGGAAGAACCCTCCTCCCTCCCTTTTATTTTATTTTATCTTTGCCTCCTCACTTACTCGGGGGTGAACTCGGTCTCCTATAGAATACACCGCTTAGTCTAGGCCAGAGGACCACAAAGGTTTCTAAGTCTTTGGCAGGTATCCCTGAAACACCTTGCCTACCTAGATTTAGCCGATTGATGATCCTCATCGGTCCCAGTAACATAGCAGCATGAGTGTTCCCAGAAGTATGAGAAACTACCCCCCTTCTCCTTTTCTCTCTTGTTTTCTTCTCGACTGAAGCAAAAAAAATATTTAGACTCTAGGAAAATTCCCCAATCCCTTTATCGGTCTTAGAGCGTCAACGGCGTGCGTATTCAATTGGAACGAATGCATCACCTAGCTTTAGCCAAAGGAATTGGGGAATGACTGGGAAATCGCGTAACCAAAAAAGGAAAAGGATAAGAAACATGTTTCCTCACCCCCTATCGGTCTAAAAGCATCATTGATGTGCGTATTCCAGTTAATACTTCTATAAAACTGGAATATCTTGCTCACCTAGCTTTCAGCCAAGGGGATAAGGAAACGTCTAAGTCTCGAGAAATCAAGCAATTGCAATGACGCAACTGCTCAATCAAAAGTAAGATACAAGGTCGTTAAGAAACAAGGAAATTCCTCACCCTTGTCGGTCTCAAAGCACCATCGGTGTGCGTATTCCACTTGGAATACCTCACGTACCTTAGGTAGCTCTGGCCAAAGGAATGAGGAAATCCATACTACGATTCCGCAATGGAATCAGCCTCCCGTAGGATATATATACAATGCCTGGCTAAAGCATCCTCGGCATATGTGATCCTTAAGAATACCTCGCCAGGAGAAATGCAGTAATTCTTTTTGCTGTATCAGCATGGCAGAAGCATTCCAGGAAGCATAGGAGGACACCCTCCCCTTCTTGAGTTCATCTTTTTTCATCTTTTTCTTTTCTTCGCCTGTTATTGATTTAATCCTGCCTCCTGTGGATATGACACTTAGCTTAGGCCAAAAGAAAAAAGGTCCACGGCGGAATGGCCTTAACTCTTTATCGGTCCTGAAACCGTAGCAGAATCACCCCAAGGAACAAGACGACATACTCATCTTCGACGCTTTGGTAAATTCAGCCTCCTGGGGACTATGTTGCTTAAACTTGGGCCAAAGAAAAGGCATTTGGGCGACCTTATTCTTTATCGGTCCCGAAAGCACAGCAAAAAAGTCCCTGGAAGAAGAAGACACCTTCATCTTCTTTCGCTCTTCGTATTTTCCTCCCCTTTTCTTCCTCTCATTTAGTGGCGCACCCTCCCTCCCGCCCAAGGCCACTTATTTATTTAACGGATTTAATCAACGTCATCCGGACTATGAGTGAACGACAGCACGTCATCCGACCCCGGGAGCTCTTTCTTATCAGATCTAGACTCGGGCCTTGGGGGATGATCCCAGGAGGGTGCCTCGGTGTTGTACCCATGGGCACCCCGAGTCCGCATTCCCCTCAAGAGCAAGTCGGCCGCGTCTTTACACTTATCAGCACTAGTCAACGGCGTATATAAGACTCCCGGCCGCGGGGAATACGTGTCTCGAGTATGCCTTGGCTGGAACCGCAACTCAGGAATCGCAGCATTGAACATGAGCTGATATTCCTTGGCGTCGCTACCGAATAGCTTCTCCATTGCGGCCGAGTAATTGCAGTCCTTCTGCTCTCGCAGCTCCTTCTCCAATTGCTTGACCTTAGGCGCAACCAGACGGTCCAGGTCGTCTGACTGGGACTCTGTTAGCTGCATTACTACGTCAGCGTTGTCCTCGCCCTCTTCCCCATCCTCAACGGGAGGAAGAGACCAACTTTCAAGATCCGACTTGCTCACGTGGACGTAGTCGTCGGAAATGGAGGGGTGGTCGAGTTCAACCCACTCGTCCCAGTCTCTGTCTGGGCTCAAGCCTGATTTTGTCAGTGCCATTGCGATAGTTTGATTCGAAGTTGCGAAGTTAAATTTTCGGAAATTGTTCACTACAAGAATACTCACGAAAACACCAGTGCTGTGGTATGAGTTCTTAAGAATATGATGATAACTTGATATTTGTGTGTGATGATGATGAGTTTTTCTGATACCAAAGCATCGGAAGCCAACCGAAATTATATACTACGTTCTCCCCGAGACATGTTCGTGAACAGTGTCAACGTTATAGAACATGGTGATTGTATCTCAACAACCCCCTTGGGAGTAAACACGGCAGACAAAGGCCATTACTCTCAACATCAACTAGATGATAGGAAAGTCTTACTCGGCACAATGCTCTTGTTACTGGCGAGTACAGGGTTCAGTTGAAAGAGATAGTTTAGTAGACAGGCGGCTAAAGCGCTAGGATCAATAGGCGGGCTGGACATCGAGGGAAAATGATAAGAGAAAAATAGTCTACGCAACTACTAGGACAGTTCATCGAAATAATAACCGAAGGCGGTATACTTTGACCCATTGAGGTCAATTGGCTTGCACACAATGCTTGAAAATGAAAGAAACTTTTGTTAATTCGGAATAGTGAGAAAACATCTGCTTCTCAGGATGTTCCTAGCCAGAACTTAACTGACTTGAGCCCTACCGGCTATACTGGATCCCCTGATAGACCATCGAAAACCTAACCTGCATAATAGACATAGTGTACTTTCTAGTGCAAGTTTCAGGAAGCATGCTGCGAACTTAAGCGCCCAGGCTGGGGAATGCGTCCGAGTTGAGGGCGAATGAGGCATTCTCGCGAGCGCCGCCGCGTCCACCACGGAAGTCGCCACGGGGCTCACCTCGGGGCTCACCTCGGGGCTCACCTCGGGGTTCACCACGGCCACGGCCACCTCCGCGACCACGACCCTCACCCCTGGGAGCACCTCCACGGTTGCCACCACGTCCGCCACGACCACCTCGAGGACGCTCAGGCTCAACATATCGCTGGTCAATGTCGAGAAGCTGCTTGGCCTTGCGCTCACGCTCGCGCTTGACCTTACCGCCGACACCGGAAACGTAGTCGTCATCCTCCTCCTTGATGAGGGCCTTAGCGCTGGCCCACTTCTTGTCGGTCTTGGTGCCTTCGTTAGGCTTGCGGATCTCCAAAGACTCGCCGAGGGCGAGCTTCTTCTCAGCTTGCTGAGCAAGGTAGTCGGCGTAGGAGACGTGCTTGTCCTCGGGCTCGGCCGGAGTAGCTGGCTCCTGAGCATCCTCAGTGGTTGATTCCTTCAATTCCGACTGAGCGATCTCCTCTCCGGCCTGCTCATCCTTCTGCTCGGCTTCGCCTTCTGTAGCGCCCCATGCCAGGGCAGCTTGCTTCTCAGAGCCACCACTGAATGCGAGATTAGTAATTGCGACAGAGTAGGTGTTCGTTCAAAACCAACCTTGGAATATTCTTGGGATGTCTGTCGTCACGGTCGCGGGTGAATCGACCGCCACGGCCTGTGTCATTATATTAGCATGTATTCATTTCCAACAAGCATTTGACATTTAGCTCTTACCTCGTGCACGGGTATCGCGACCACCTCGGAGACCACCTCGGGGAGCTTCGTCTGTGGGCTTGCGGTGGTTGTTAGCTGTACCGGCACTGCGGTCACGGAAGGCTACATGGGAAGTAGATTAGCGGGGTGAATTCAAATGAGGTCGGGAATGATGCGTCAAGATGACGGAATCCTCGAAGATCCTGTCAAACGCATAGAACACTCACCTCCCTCGTTGCCTCCAGGACCAGCACGACGAGCTCCGGTGTTGGTAGCGGCTTTGACGGGGGCTTGAGGCTCGACGTTGCGCTTGGTACTGCGCATAGTGGTCTTTTCGACCGTCTTCACAGGGCCGGACGGCGCTTCATCTCCTTCGATATCGTTACCTATTGGTAATGGTTAAGATTAGTAAACCAGGATTTCCGAGGTCGAAAATTTTCATGGCGGGGAAGCAATCGAGGGGTTCATACCGAGGGCATCGAAACGGTTCTAGCGATTTAAAAATTAGCTTTGCGATTTCAACAGAGCTCTACTGATACATAGCAAGGAATAGAGATGCGATGAGCAGTTGTAGCTCGAAGTAATGGGAAAAAATGACAAAATAGGCAAATGATGCCCAAGAGTTATGACATACCTTCGAGGCGACCGACATGATGTCGCCAATTGATTCGCCTTTCAGCAAGGCGGAGCTCTGAAAACGACAGTCGGATCAATAGGAGAGAATGCAACGAGGGGAAAAGGATATGGCCTAGCAGGTCATATCCTTGAGCAAAATATCTCGTCAATATCCTCAGCGTTGGTGAGGTTGGGTAAGATTTGGAATTGGTGCGTGTTGCGGCGCCGGTAATTGTTGTGTGAGAGTTGGGCCTTGTGGGCTTTCCACTTGTTTGCGAGGTGGACAAAACTTTCCTTGGCTGGAAACTAACCTAACTCTTTTTTTTTCCTCTTAGGTTGACGCCCAGACTCGCTTAGGCGGGACGGCGAAATAATTCTCTTGATTTTTGTTTGGTTTTACAATTGACGCTTTTTAGTGCGCTGCTGAATAAGCACCTCACTGGGCAGATAGTAGGGCAGGTAGGGTTCAACATCTGTTAGCGCGGGACGCATCACCAGTACACCTTCCTAGGGTATCCGTGAGTACTGTTTTAAGCAGCCGTAACCCAAGGTATTTAAGTATGAAAAGTCGGGCACTACCTAATGCATCTAGGTATTTCTTTACGCGTATTTATGTTCATTCACACATCTTGACAATTTTGCTTTTTACATTTTACTTACGCCTAGAATTATTCGGTCTATGAGAGGTAGATAATGTACGTCAATGGAATCCTATCAGCAATTACGTATTCCTGTAACAGGGTAGCCAAGGTTTCCCCGGATCCCACAATTGCATCACTTGCATATCGAGATAAGCACGTCTGATGCTGGTGTAGATACGCCTGGACCATGCGTTGGTCCTGATGGATCCCTTTTATCGTCATGTTTATCATCGCTTAGTTATCGGTATCTAATCTAGCTATCTCTATACCCCGCCATCATGTATCCGTGTTTATCCGTGCTCGTTGCACTAGGCCCAGACACAACGGTAATTACGCCTTGATCTTGCTTTGACATCGTTTTGAGGTAAGCTTTAAAACCACCATGGTTCGTTATTAATAGGCTAGGCTGGTGATTGATGGGATAAGCCATCGTCTCCTAAACACTGAGTGAATGTAGCTACCTCTTACGTATAGGTAGTACCTAGTCAATACGATAAGAGGTTCAACCCCTCGTAATTTTTCTTGTATTACACCGATAAGGGGAGAGATAAAGCTCTATGCAGCTGATAAGCTGATAAGTCACATTAGTATGTCAAATACCGCAATATTAACAGTCCCAGTCGATAGGGGTTTAGGAGTAGTATATAATATTACAATTTCTTATTTACTCTTATGAAGACAGACTAATTTAGTATGTCAAGCTTAATAGTCTCTTTCCCGAGGGGATTGTGGTGATAATTCAAGAGTATAACTACCTAACCTATATAGTCCTACACTGGAGTTTATCTTACCGCCCAACATAAACCCAATTAAGCATATTAAGGACAGAGGCATATATGTTCAATTCCACTCACAATGCATGGCATGGCAAGATGTTATAATTAAGACACCGAGGTTTATTTACTACCTCCTGTCTATATATTAATTAGTATAGGTATCTCTTCAGAACCGACACGGTACCTAATCCAGGTAGGCAACCCAACACCACCTCCCACCACGCCACCACGGGCCTCGGCCGCCGCAACGCAATGCACAACGGGCATGTAAATGCGGCGCCCTACCCGCTGCATGATAGGCCGCTAAAGAAAATTGCACTCTTGGCAGGCAACCTAGATTCAACGCGGTGCGAGTTTACCAAATATGCAACCCGTGTTGATAGATACACTACTTGAGGCAACGTGATCGGCGAGAAAGTAGTATTCGGCTATTAGGACCCTAGACGCTTATTGTTACGATCCTAGCCCGATCGACCCTTATCTAGCTTGTAGACGACGATATTTGTTCAAGATATGTATGTATGTATGTATGTATGTATGTATGTATGTATTTACATAAAAAGCGAGTCCGCTACCACGCGTCGACATGCAATTTCTGTAACAGCCATTGGTAAGCCATATGATATGTATGGAGCTCGCAGGGTCCTTGTCGAGTGCACCACCGCTACGTAGAAATGGGTATAAACAGAGACGACATGATAGGCCCAAGGCGAGCAGTATTACGAGGTCTCTATGTTGGTGCTTGTTCTCGGACAGGGACTAGAAGCTATATTTTACTTAACCTTTAGGTAACTTATTTTGCTCTTTGACCACGGAATTCGGTAGCGGGATGACGTTATGCAAGACGGGGCGCCAGGAAAAGCGTCGCTACACGCTGGAATTAGGTCCAAGTAGATACTTCGTACCTCGTTAGATCGTGGGGTATCGTGGGAGGGATTTTGATTCTGTTAATAATGGCTTCCTTATCTCTGGTTCGCCTATCATACCGACAATTCACTGACACCAGAGATAAGCCAACCATAGGCCACCTCCCATCCAAATAAATACTCTGCAGTATCATCTAGACGAATTTGAGAATATCTTCTCTATTTATCTGTTCGCCGACAATCTTTGGAAGCTCTTGTCGACTTCTCATTCGAAAGACATAGAGCTAGCTGAAGATACCAGTCATTATCGGCGTATACTCCCGTTTGAGTCTATTATAACCACTTGAAAGAGGGAATTCTTCATTTATCAAAATTTCTTGTTTTCTCCTAGTGGTCATTGAGACAAGTGTCTCTTTCACAGTCATTGCCAATATTTCCCCCTTCATTTTCATGAGGTATGATATCTTAGAGTGTTTTTACGACCTAAGTAGGTAGTCTCGTGTCTCGAGTGAGGTGTGTCACGCCTTGGCTCCCCTTGCTTTTAGCTTGGGGGAAGTCAAGTTATATGTGCTGCACTCTATGTTGGGCCAACACCTGCCAGCTATGCACAGACCTAACCCGACGAAAAGGATCTCACGATTAAGGCGGTCCAAGATGAGGTCCTATGCTGCGTCAAGACGGAGGGACGTAAGGTCAGCTAGGAGAAGAGAGTTGATCAGAGGCAGCGCGACTCTATTATGAAATGGCCTGAGATATTCATGGACGCGTCACATGATATGGAGAATGTATCCGGGCGAGAAGTCCGTCGCTTCAAAATGGCCGCGGTTCTCGTGATCTCGAATGCGGGAACAATCTGCGACGTCACTTAGGGCTAACTAAGCTAGAATGTGTGAGCGGTCACGCCTGATGATGGCCTTGGAGTCGATCGAGGACCCCCGCAGCCCCGGTTACTGTCAGTGCAGCACACACTTCGTATAGGATTTTCCTTCCATTACAGTCAGCAAAGGATATGTAGCCGGGGATGTGGGCGTGAGCGCGGATCTAGGTCACCGTATTTTGTGTCAGGTTCGCCTTTCGGAAATGGTCGTTTCTGGGGATCACGCGACACGCGCCACTTGCAGGGCAGTGTCTGGAACCACTTGTCCGATGTGTCCTTTCATGCAGAGGCCTGGCCAAGGATCTCGACTTGCTTTTGCCGAGACACCTTAGTAGGGTCCAGTGCTGACAGGTCTAGCAATCAATACGGACACGACCGGGTTCGAAATTTCTGGGCGGTTGGATGGAGGGATACGCCGTGATGCCCACTCCACCTGCAAACCGATTCCTTCGATTCGTACGCACCCAAGACCAACCGACCGAACCCACCAGCCACCCGGTCGCCTTTGACCGAACCAGCATCCCCGACCGAGGACTTGATTGTCCTGGTAGAACTTTGTGAACCCACCAGACAGATATTTCTCAGGATCCGATATCATTACAACGAAGCAGGACGATCAAAACTTATCAACCCACTCAGGCCTCGTGATAGTTGCCCTAGCCGGACTGAACTAAAAAGGAATGAGCCTACGACGAACCTCCACGACAGCTAGAACAGACCCACGAGACCGCTCTAGGCCATGGGAGGAAGATGAGGGAAGCCTGGATATGGTATCGGATATTTTGCTTGGCCAATGGTACGATCTAATCTGATCTGGTACGCCGAAGTTATTTGACCGACAACCGGTCGGCACGAGCGGCACAGCGTTGAGTTTGGTCTAAGAAATACATAAGCCTGGCATTGAGCGTAGCGGAATCGACCGCTCTGACCCCTCTAATCGTCCTACCTGGGTAATCACCCTACAAGTAGTGCATACGGGTCCAACTTCCTGCCTTGGCAGTCCCAAGAGTTCAAGTGGAGATCACATACATACAGCAACCCCTCCTTCCCCTCCGAGTGTATCTGCGTGCTGCTACATATGTGTATATACCTATGTACATCAAGTTTGGGGTCCACATCGTTAAGAGTACTTACTACCCAAGTACCTCCGTGAAAGAAAGGAAACCACCGTCCGAAACGGAACGATACATTTTTGCATTTTAGTGGGAGAGAAAGGCCTACCGTCTCTGTCTATATCTTTAACCTCCGATCACGGATCACGGATACCCTTACGGGGTCTGTCCGGCATTAGCCAGCTGCGCGTTTGGCAAGACGTTCAAATTATACGTTACATACCTTATGGACGGACTTACCACCGAAAAATAGATCATCGATCTTCCAATCTATCTAATCCGCAGTCTCTACCAGGCCGAGAAATTGAGGAGGGGGGAATACCTAGAACTAATATACTAGGATCTGCTGTGAAACTTGGAAGAGCTCACATATAACGCATGCTCGGTCCATGTCGTTTCGTCAATCCAACGTCAACGTCACGCCCAAGACTCCGGGGAAATGTCAATTTGATAATAACGTTTGAGGAGTGTAGATGTCCACTGTCTATTTGTGCAGGACGCATGTAGGTGCGTGCCTACACGACAGATCCTCAAAGGCTATCCCGATTTTAATGGTCAATAACTCGACTCCTTTGCTCGATTTTGCGTTCCCATCCGCCTCTGGGTATGTACAGCATCGATAGGAGCTTTTTATGACACCGATACGTAAAGAGTCTCGTGACCATGGCTCACCAACCGAAATGCGCAACACTGGATAGTGTATCTTCCCAAATCAACAGTATATACACGGATGACTTGAATATTGTGTGGTGTGCTTGAAAGCAGAATATATTCCAGAATGGAGGAAGAATCGCATCGCCTCTCTAAAGGTAATCGAATCGCGTCTCGCTAGGCTGAAGTGCTGTTTTGGTTTCGTAGACCAGAATATCATGACTTTTGAACTCCTATAAACGCCTGCCATTATGGATATCGGGATCCTGTAAACTTTTTGATGCGTAAATCGTATGAACCATCGTACCAAAACAAAACTTTTCTTTCATCCCCAAATCTTGCAATTGCAGTAATAAATCGATGCCTCGGGTTTTTGGAAACCGGAAATGGATGGCTCCCGTGGGTATCATGTCGGTTGTCTTATAGAATGCTTCGAATAACTTCCAAGAATGAGTATAAATGTCGATCCTCTATACCGAAATCAACACTTATTGTCGCCTCGGCGGGAAGTTACATACCAATCGGCACTTAACAGTTGCTAAGCATGGTTTCGTGGTCTCGGCCTGCGTTCATTCATCCATCGCTTCGATTAATAGGGGGCAGCGTCTCGTTGGTATTGCTTCGTCTAGCCCTCGTGCAACTTCCACCCTCTTCGACATTGTGCGCAAAGCCCCAACCATATTACTCCACTTCCAGATGCTACCTCATATTACTCGTGTCGAAGGAGAACTGCGTTGGGAAGGCCATAGACGCACTCAGGCCAAACGGATCCCAATCCAATGCTGGGTCCAATAGCTGGGTCATGCTCGGATAGCCTTGGCCTTGTGTTTGGCTTTGCGCTTGATTGCCCTGTCCCCCGGGTGCTATCGGGGGTTGTCCTTGCGGTCCTGTCGTCGTTGGCTGCACAGACATGCCATGCTGTTGAGGGACTTGGAACGTCGAAGGATAAGGGCCCGGCCCTGGCGTATCCGGTTCGGGCTCGTCCATCATATCGGTCGGGGCGTCGTACTCTTGTTCTGTACTCACGGATTAGGCATAGGACGACAGAGTTCTATTAAATACAAAAGAAATGGGCTAGCTTGCCGAGCTGTTGAAAATGATTTTGGAATGATGGCGTCGGGTAGAATGCCGTCGGCCGGGTGCCAGCAGCATGCTGCTGCAACATCTGCTGGCGCGCCGCGACTGTCATTCCGGGCATCGGTGCCAATTGCGGTTTCATCGGCGGGGGAATCGTCGTTCGCATACTCGTGGGATCTGAAGACACGGGTGAAGCTGCTGTTTGACTACCAAAAGGTGGTGTAGGGTTAGTAGGAGAAGCCGCGTGGGAAGGGGGCGTTGGCCGGGTCTTAGGCGATGCCATAGACTGCTGCACCCCCGCGGGATGGGGTAGAGAAGGCATGCCAGGCTCGAGTTTCGGGGCGATGCTAGAAGCAGATCTGCGCACGTGGTGGTGTCTGTTGAGGATTGCCCGCGGCATAGGTGGTGGTTGCACCATATTCTGGGGCATATGAGTTGGACCAAGGTTTGGACTACCAGTCTTGGCATGAAGCTCAGCTTGGACATCAATACCTAAATAACGTAAGTTGATGCTATTCGCGAGATAGGAAACCAGAAGAGAATTCACCTTTTTCCAACAAGATACGTTCGAGAAGGGAATTCTTATATCGGAGCATCAAACATTCATCTGCAGCACTACGGTGGGCAGCTTGTAGACTAGCTAGGTTCGACTCATGAGCCTTAATAGTTTCTTCGAGCTGTTTGATATATTCTGTCCGGCGCTCTCTAAACGCGGCTTGCGCCTGACGATTTCTCTGTTTGCGCTCTTCCGAAGTGGCATAGATCTTTGCTTGCTGTCAGCCCACGAATATGGTTTGAACACCCCACTATGCCTCGAGTATGGCGCGAGCGACCAAAGCCAAGCAAAGTGAGTTACGATTGTATAAGACAACAATATACTTACGGGTTTGCGACCTCCTTTGCGCTTTGCCGGTTGGTTTTCTGGTGGAATCGATGGACCCGGCTCATTCTCAGGACTTGAGCCAATAGACTCATCCGATTCGTCTTTCGAATGTTCTTTCTTGTCGATAGACATTTTGTCTGACATGACAATATCGAATACAGGAGACGAGACGATTGCCGCTCGGCGGCAAACGCCTCTCAAAAGACGTTGTAATAGGCAAACAAACAAAAATTTAATATGGGCGGTAGTTGCCTGTCTTCCTTACTAGGCTTGCCCGGTATAAGTGTCTGTGGCGTAAGTAGGGGAATATTGTTTAGTATGTGTGGCCCTTAGATATCGCCGAACTTGGGATAAAAAAAGTAAAAGTCGTTCGTTCGGCAGTGAGGCGCGCGCATGCAGCGCTAATCAGTACATAATCTGGGGAAACGGGATCCGACAGATGGGGACAGGATTCTTTGTCAAGATCGAGAAATAAGAATGATCCAGACGGCGCCAGGGGAAGCAGTCAAGTAGAGTAACAATGGAGATACACAAGAGACAACGAGTAGTATAGAGGGGTGACAAGTTGTGGTGAAGTAAAGGTAAGGAGAAAATATTGCTTTGGTTTTATGTAATTGAAATCGGTAGGGCAACTCGGGTTGGCTGGCTTCGGTGGCTTGCCGATTTTAGAGGGGACTAAGCTAGATGGCAAAAGAGGGCAAGCCGCAAAAGAGGGCAAAAGAGGCACCAAATCTCTTGGAAGGTGTGGGAAGACTTTTTTTTTGTCTTGCTCCTTTTCCCCTTCTGTATGCCAATTGGCGGTGCGGACTCTAGTCTTACTAGCAAGTGGCTAGTCGTCTGATGATCGATATGTAGAGGACCTACTAACGTTACTAGGTCCAATTGTAGCTGACTTTTTAGTTCGGCCTGCTCCCTATTCAGTCGCCGTGCGTCTCATTCCACTACTTTTGAACTTGATGTACTACCCACGCAAATGCCCTAAATGCCCTTGTCGAAAATCACAACAGGACCTGACAGATTAGTGAAGACGAGCGTCAGATTGGGATGTTTGAGTCGCCCTAGGAGTATTTCACCCTAAGCGAATTATAGAAGGGGGAGCTTGTGCGGCGCCGTGTATACAAGGTAGTCCTGGCTAGTATAACACCAATGCCACCCAAGGTCCGCAAGGTATCATGCAGTAAATGCTGCGGGACACTGGACACTGGACAGAACACAAGAGTTGACAATAGTGTGCAGCTAGGCGAATCCACTGTATTGAGGGTCTAAAGAGAAAAAACGGATGCAACTTTAGATGGGTCGTTCAGCAGTGGTCTTCCGGTGGACCGCGTCGATTAAACAGCGGCAAGACAGGTAATATATAACAATAAGGAATACAGTAAGTTAAACGAGATTTCTTTCAGTTTTGCAAGTTTATTGGAAAAAGATAATAAAAAGATGATCGAAGTAAAGTACTGTAAGGTTTAGGTAGACAACGAGGAGGAGTTGTAGCGGATATTGCTAGCTTTTCATCTTCGAAGAGTAAGGCCGGAACCTGCCCCAGTTACAACGTTTGTAGGCGGTGCCTCTGCGGAGGTACGAAGCTACATGTAAGGATGTACGTGTAGAGACATTAGGAGCTAGGTGAGCTTGAGCTTAGCAGGTGGGATGAATGCCTGTCGGTTTAAGTACAGGGTACTTGGTACTCAGTAACAGACCAATCCCTGGTACTTTCGGTCAAGTCTCCTCAGATGAATACCGGTAGTACAGTTTTTGAAACGGGGAGATAATCTCTACACTAACAGAAGTCTCTAAAAGGTACTTCCTCGAGCCACCATGTAAGTATAAACCCAACCGGACAACTTCCGACTTGTCGACCCGGGCCGCAAGTCAATATGGACCCGACTTTCTCCCACGCCATCTAAATTCTCCCAAATGCTTTTAGCATAGTTAGCTAGATTATATAGAAGTCTCTTATATGATAGTTATAGTAAAGCGTAGTACATTAGACCTCAGAGTGATAGGCGAATACACAATAACACTTATTAACTTCTTTAAGTCTATGATAATAGAAGGCTTAACCGCTTCTCCTTGCGATCCTCGGGTACTAGCGACGATTAATTACCTAGACGTCATGTCTAAGTGAGTATATTATAGTAGTGGATACCGGAACTATGAGCTGGTTAGACTGGTTCTTACGTCTAACGCGGTGTACTATCTAACAAGTCGGCTTATTTAATCAGCTATCTAATAATTATGCTTGAAAGCTATCTATAACTAACTGTTGTACTTAAGCCAAGCTACCTACGTGTCGAGCTAAGCCCGCCCATATACATAACGCTTGAAATCTCCTCATAGCCGAAAACGGTCACCGAATGTCTCTCGAGAAGTCTCGCAGGATGTGATACATAAAACTTGGTAACTACGTGTTCCTTAATGGTTGCGTAAGACATCTATAAATCCGGGGAAGGAGTGCGAGAGGGGCACATATGTTGCGAGAGGATTAATTGGGCCATGGATGACATTAGGTAGATGACATAAAGCGATCTTAGTAGAACTTGTCAGTCGCTAACTCTTTAGCGTCTTGGAAGTTAGAGAAGCCTATACCAACCCTAAGTTCTAACAGATGGGGGTTCCGGAAAAGTAGATGAAAGAAATCATAAGTATAGGTGTCGGTGACCCCGGTAGAGGAGGCCGAGAGCGGCGATGAATCAGCCCTACGAATCTTCTTAAATTTTTAAAAACTTGAAAAGCTTCTCTCTTGTGGCTCCGCTCGGATTAGAATTTTCCTAGTCACATGAGACCGAGTTGATTGATCACTTCTTTCAGTAGACAGCTCCCTAAGCCATCTGACATCAGATAGCAAAGAGGCTGAACTCTTAATACTTCCGTAGTAGGTATACTTAAACATACAGTCTTATTTTTTGAGCCCTTTACCCTTTGTACGCAGGTATTCTTGGTGGCAAAACTTGAAACAAGTGATTCTTGTTCCTGCTTCTGCATGCATGACTACGAGCATGACTATGGGACTATCGGCTTCATCTTACCACCGTTCTGCATAATGTTACGACTTTCCTACGAAGAAGCACATGGCATTACGTCGACTGTGTAGTATATCATCAAGACGGGACATGGGGGATATATGCTTGCTGTGCTAGTATATTGCCATATTTAGGTAGTGCCATACATATGTACTGAGCAAGTCTAGCAGTGTAGTACTGCATGTATAGAGTAGGCCGGCAGATACTTTTGGATTTCCAACCCTGTAAAATGCTGCCGACCATAAAGCCGATCATTAACTTGTTCTCCGTCAAACAGACAACGATTGAAAATGTGGGGGAATGAAGATCGATGAATCGCCTGTTGCATCTCCGAGGAGGGCATGTAATCCGCGTATGTACTTCGTAGTAAAAAACTAGATGAAAGACGGTTGGGCTAGGTAAGTCCAGGCGAGCTTCCGACCAATCAGAGCCACATATAAGGCGGCCGGTTCCGTATTAGGAATTTTTCTCAGACGACGGGATCAGGGGTGTAATGCACGACCAACAGCATTGCAGCTCACAGCTCAAAGCTTACCATACGTATATAACCTCAGCTGGACTAATACGGTTTCAACAACTTTACAATAGCATATTTAATTAATAGCTTTATAATACTTAATATTATTCGTCTTATATCTCATGAAATTTCAGACTTCGTTTATGTCAATTAGTTCGTAAATGCTTCTCTTTGGAATATATTATATTTCGTAGTACTGGACTCCGCTCTTTTATTCCAGTATAATACTATAAAAGACCTTATGCATTTGCTATGCAGTTACATGCATGTCTTTAGGATCTCAATGTCTTTGTTGCCATCATGTGTAACCCTAAATATTTTTCTATTGGACACCCATAGTAACGGGTCAGCCAGCCATCATAATTTCGAGGCGTCGGCTGACACCTTCTAGAAAGCTTCTAGCGTTCTTCCAGATCACCGCTTCGGTTTGCCAAGCCGCAAATTCTCAGCATCACACGCCCATGGCTGCTATTAGTCGCCGTACGCCGACTTCGCTGTCTTGTCCAGCCCTATGAAGTTTTGCAAGCTGAGACATTTTACATTGCGGATTACTGTTGATGTCTTGCCTCAACTGACGTCGCTCAAAGATAGCGGTGCGTACCGCTTAATACTCGGTATTATATATCCTGGGACAGCCTCACTCTGCGTGAACTTCGACCGGAGAACGGCGCCTCGTCATTTCGGAGATCTTGGAAATTGATACAAATTGGCGTCGCAGTAATTCGCGCACTTATCACAACGTGTAGTTCCCTAGATACCTAGTACTAATACTGCACGGTACTCTAGTCCAGACCGAGTAAACTGATCAGGAAACGTGCAAGCCTTGGGAAAGTTGGAATTAGCTTTGATTTTTATCGAATTAACGTTATCAGATCATCAACTGCTGAGCGAACCCCCACGCCTAGACAGCTGGGTCAGTGTGGGTGAGCTAGCCTTCCCACTTGCGAATATCTAATTGGAAGAGACCCTTACTCTCGTGGGGGCATGCTGAACGACTATAGTAGCATCGTCATCATGTATGTATAAGCTGTCATGGTATTTCGTGCATAGTACATTACTTATAAGACCAGACGCGGCTGATTAAGGTACGCCCGAGAATAAGGAAGTGGGATGACAACTTGGGATAGCTCTATTCCGTAACGGTGCTTTTACCTTTAATGTCTAGTGGTGTTTCTAATAAGCTATGTACTTAGCTTTGGGTGGTTAGGAAAGCAGTATGCTTCTTAGGTATGATAGCCACTGCACAGTAACATTGGAACTTATATCCAGTATTTATCTTAGCCATGGCCGTTATTTAAATCCCATGCCGAAGTAAAAAAAAAATCGGATTCATAGCTCCTTATCCTCTTAGTCGACGACGAAGTTATAAACATTCGAAGGGCACGGAAGGACTATTTACTTAACGGCGTTCACTCTCTACATTCAAACAGCTTGGTATGTAGCTATAGTGCATAGGACGACTGAAGCAACGAAGTACGCATAATGTATCAGTTCTCCTAACTGATAATATATTACATGTAGTCTTTAATAATTTGCTCTTGGCCATTGTCATTTATCGATGTAATAGGCTATAGCCTTACGACAAGTCCTTATACCTATGAGCAGCAAATCTAGCTAGCTAATATCTTTGCTTTAGAAAGACTTTACATGCTGTTCCAAGTTGGAAAGGGGGCGCATTTTAGCACAATTAAAGGGTTAAACAGTTTAATTTCCGTGTCATCATCCTTCAACTCGCCGTGGCATGGAGGTGCCTAGGGTACTAATCTGAAATTGACCATATATTTCGCTGTGCTAAAGCTCCCTATCATCGTTATATTACCTCAGGTCCTATAGAATAACGCCCGACTTTGCGAGGTTATATATTGACTTTGGTCACGAAAAATAGTGCCTAACGCCTCCGTCCAAGCTAGGGAATTACGAAGCGTATCCCGTGGCATCCTTTACGACACCGAAGGCGCCACCCCCTTTCCCAAACATCTCTCTTACATCAGTGATAATATCATCCGGTCGCTCCCAGGTGGCGAAGTGGCCGCCACTTTCATGCTCCTTTTCGAAAACCACATTACCCAGCGTACGCACCCACGTGCTTGGTTGTACTTGTATGTCCATGGGGAAATGGCTGAAACCAAGTTTTACACCTGGAGACCACGCCCTCAGGCGCTGATGGTCCAACTTGTCCTTCCTACCGTCAATATTCTGCGTCGTCTCGTAGTAGATCCTGACGCTGGCGGCGGGACCCGCCGTGCTGAACCAGTAGATGCTGATCCAAGTACAGACTTCCTCCTCTGTCCAGGGGTACGAATCCGTCCAATCGTGAAGCTTCTCATAGATCCAGGCTAGCAATGCTACTGGGCTATCTGCTAACGCGTAGCCGAGTGTTTGCGGTTTGGTGCATTGCTCCAAGTTATACCCCCGGCCTTGTTCATCGAACCATTTGGAACGACCTACGCCGCGCTGTTCTCGTGAGCTATAGGGTAAGATTGCATGCTGGAGAGCAAGAATCGGGTTCGTGAAGTAGCTCGGGGGATTTGCAGAGTTGAAATTCAGATGCGTCGCTTTACAGTATTGCGGGTATAGATGTGCGAGAGCCCTACTGATGTGACACCCCCAGTCGCCTATGAGCCATGTTAGCAGAAACATACATGCGACACTATTTATACGATTGTGTGTGAAAACGGATATATCTCACCTCCCTGCGTGACATATTCTTTATATCCCAACTTTAGCATGAGCTTGTTCATGGTTTCGGCATATTGCTCCGAAGCGAAACCCCGCTTCTTCGGACCCTCGGAGAACCCAAAATTCGGCAACGACGGCGCGACGATGTCGAACGCGGGGTAGTTAACACCGTCTCCGTCTTCAGTCAGAGGTTTTAATACCTTTAAGACCTCTTGGAAGTGGCCTGGCCAACCGTGCATGAACAGCAAGGGAATTGCACCTTTTACCTTGCTACGAACATGAATGAAGTGGATTGCTAGAGGCTCGAACCCATCGCACTGGATGTCTGTAACAAAATGTGGCACGCTGTTAAGCTCCGCTTCTGCCTTTCTCCAGTCGTATGACTCTTGCCAATATTTCACAAATTTCTTGACATCAGCAAGAGGAGATCCCACTATATTAACCAGAGTCAGCCAAATTTGTTTACAGCATGTTCCCAGGGGTTCCATCAACTATCATAAAAGCCAAAAGGGGGATATAGAATCAACTGATCAACGACTCGAAAATATAGGCACTTACTATCCCACCCCGCCTCAGCAAGTTCGTCTGGAAACTTGGCGAGAGACAGTCGCGTTTTTAAGTCATCTAAACGCTCTTCATCGATTGCAATAGTATAAGGCTTGATATCTGCCATGATTGGTCGTGGTGAGTTTGATTTGATAGCACCAACGAATAGCTATTATAATTTCGTTCTACGGAAAACCGACAGATACCCAATGAAGAATGTATAACTAGAGTAGAATGGTGTTTAGTTTAAGAAGTTATCATTACATCTGGCATTGAAGCTTTATATATTAAGGTGACAGACATATGTAGATTACAAATACTATAAGTCGCGATATTGGATCCAGAAGAATTTCTAAGGATATGATAGGCGGGGCGTACATATGACGTTGCAAAGGGCGCAAGACAATTCTAACTACAACTCTACTGAGGTATGAGTAAGGTATAGAATTTCCCCGTCGCATGCATGATGCATATATCACCTAGGAGACAAGGCAACAATTGTTAAAAGTTGAATTGATTGGTGTTCATACCTGGTTCAGACAAATCCCTGAATCGATTGTCTATTATTGGGCGATCTCTTGAGTTGACCACCAGCGTTGACCACCAGCGTTGACCACCAGCGGATTGCAGTAGCCAGACAGAAGCACAACACATGGTGTTTCGATATCTAAGGTATTGTCATCCAATCATTATGTTAGGTAGGTACTCAAATAGGTATTCCGGAACAACATACATGTATGTATACGCCCTAAACTTATGTACAACTGTGTTGAGATATGGGTTAGATTAATTTCGTGAACCCGAGGTAGAAGAATTGAAGTTCCATTAGTTATCGTGAGCCGACAAACATGCCACACACGTATTGATCGTCATTCTAAGGGCATAGGAGTTATGTCATAGAGTTCGGTTAGAAGCTACTATCTCGCTTAGGTATCTCGGTACGTACTATATTTGCATATAAGCAGTGGTTTTCAGAAATGCACGGACCACAATAGGGCCAAACTATATCCCTTAAGTGCATAGCTCTCGACTTCTGGTTGGTCAGTGCACATGAACTGAAAACAAATTGTTGACTTTCCCCCAAGTAAACAAATTCTGATGTCAGTTCCCCTTCTCTCCCCACAACTTCCTTAACTCCCTTAATTAACACCATCGCATATTGGCTCCATGCCCCCAGCTTGCTTGAACAAATCCAGCTCGTAAAATTCAATACTTGCGCATCATTCAACCCGTACTGAAGTCGCTATATATCTATCGATCATGGCGCGTCGTTCAGCTCGCATCGCGAGCGCTTCTAAGGTAAGTAAACACGTTAGCCTATGCGCTCCTCACCGCCTCGACTTCGCGCTGCATCACTTTACATCGCGCCAAAGATTCTGCTTGCATAGCGAGGCTAATACTGGATCTAATAGAGGACTACCGCTTCGCCGGCGCCTCAATTAGGTGCTCTTTCCGAGCATGATGAGCGCACCCCTACATCCACAAGGCTAGCTGCTCACAGCCTCGATACCATCGCATCTTCCCCGATGCATCAACCTGCTACCCCCGCCGTAGCCACACCTGTCAAGCTGCCGATGTCAGAGAGGCATCCCAGCAAGGTTCACCCCACTACTGCGGCACCTTCGTCGGGCCTCCAGCTTGGGTTTGTGGATATTGACTACACCAAGAAACCTAACCAAGGTTCCGGAGTGATCCAATCTACCCCATCCAAAACGCCCATGCCATCCTCGGAATTTACCTTCCGCTATACCAGACCCAACCGTGGTGGCGATGAGGGACTAACCCCCGCAGCTAAGAAGATGATGGAAGGTATCCGTGAGGAGGCTGCAAAGATCAAGGTTGAACTCTCTGCTAAGCGTGAACAAGAGAAGAAGGAAGAGGCTGCCGACGAAGGTCGTAAGATTCGCTCGGCCAAAGGAAAAGCCGGTCGCTTCAGCGCTGTTCATATGGCCGAATTTAAAAAGATGGATTCTATCGAAAACCACCCCTCGGCATTCCGCGCCGTCCCTGGCCGCTTTACCCCCGTGAAGGGCAACCTCAAACGTAGCCAATCGAAAGCAAACCTCGATGAAGCCGATTCGGCGCGATCGAAGAAATCATCTACCCGCCCAGTGCCAAGTGCTCCCGAGAAGGAACAGGAGCAGCTCGAGTCGCCTGTCAAACGTACAAAACAGCGAGTTGAGGACGACGTATCCACCCTCCGTCCCGTTTCACGGGATGGTAGCTTCATTCCTCGACCCAAGAGTAGCGGCAATGATTCGATTCGTAGCGGTATTCCTCGCTCGCATGCGCTTGCCAATCTCATGACACCAACTAAATCATCGCTGGCCCGTGCAAATAGTGTCAAGGTTCCTAGCGTCACGTTGACGAAATCCATCAGCAAGCCGGATCTTAGTAGCCTTGCTAGATCCCCAAGCAAGCCAGACCTTGGTAGTCTGGCTAAACCTTCTAGCAAGAAAGGCTTCAGTACTCTGATGAAGTCTATGTCGAACAATGCTATTATGGACAATAAGCCTACTCATGTTCAAACGCCTGGTCGATTTGATAGAGTCAAGTCGATCCTAAAGAAACAGATCAGCGGGTCCAAACCAAAGTCCAACATTCCTCAGCTTGCCGCGTCTCCTTCAAAGACATCTCTCCAAGAGCGTATTGACGAGGAGGTACCTCAGGTGCCGCTTACTACCCCTGGACGAAAGCTGGAGCGACGCGTGAACTTTACCCCAGTAGTTAAACGAGCCACCATGCTCCTAGATTCTCCTTCGCCCGTTAAGTCGAGCATTCCACGCTCGAAGGCCTTGTCCCACCTTCGATTTGGTAGTTCTGTTGCCGAGAAGCCGGTCAATGACAAGACTTCCGAGGGCGAGGTTACATATCCCGATCTCTCAGCCTACTGTCGAGATGTCAACGAGGAAGCCGAAAAGTCTACCACGAGCCAGCCCCCCGAATCAGTTCCTGGTACTTTCACCTTCCGCAGCGATCATACTATCAGCTTTGGCGACGTCTCTCCCCGAGGATTTGGCGCCGCTGCTGGTCAGGCCAGTCTCCGCCACGTTCGCAACTCTATTATGCCCACTAGCCGCATGCCCGGTAGCTTCCCGGACCAACCTGAGGCGTCCCCTAATAAGGAGAACAAAGATCCGGCAGTGGGATCTGGTATCCCTCATGGAATGTCAAACAAGAAGAGACATAGAGCAACCTGGGACGAAGAGGAAGAAGAGGATGAAGGTAGCAAGCGTGGCGCGAAGAAACCGCGCAAGGATCCGAAGGTAGTTGAAGGACATGCCCTCATCGCACCTCGACTAGTGGGCGAATCACCAACCAAGAAGCTTGGTGAAACGGCCAACACCCCTAGCCCACAAAAGAAGAAGAAGAAGGGTGGCCTCAGCCTCAGCCGGTTGAACATGCTCGCTCGACCCAAGGTCCGAAAGTAATTGATTTCATATTAGGCGTTCATCAACCCCCCGGCATATTGACATTACGGAACGAATCACGACATCTTAACAGTGCAAAGAAGCTCATGCTATTGCAATCATTGTTCAGGATATCTGGATTCAGATTGTTGACAGAAACACGATGGCGTAATGGGTTTCATCTCTGGAGTCGGAAATGCATGTACATTACACTAGCAATGTCGCACCTAGATGGGGAGACTTGGCTAATTTTCTTTTCTTTTCATCCGCCTTGGTTGATTGTTGATTTGCAATGCATAGGGGATTCATGGACGGCTTTGTAAGACCACGAAAAATCGGAAATTTCACGATGGACGGGTGGCTCTCTCCCTCCTGGAGTAATGGCGTTGATTGGCAATGGCGACACAAGTCGTAAGGTTCGATAGGTTCTAGAGTTAATGATGATTACGATATTTGGCAATCAATCACTTGAGTCGCGATGGCGGATAGTCATAGCTTGTTTAATGAGCTATGCCTTCCCTGTGATTAATAGATTGGATCTCTATCTAGCTCTCTTTCCCATGTCCTTTGTTACGAGGATTTAGCAATGGAACCCTCCCCCTTGTCCGGTTTGTTGCTGTTCTTATAACGAACTTCCTTCACACCTCGTACCTACATACCTAAATAACTCCATAATCATAACAGTATTTCTAGTATTATTGATATAGGTAAGCTATCACGATAGCTATCCATCAATATCACCTCCTTGATATCATTAATTCTTTCTGATAGATCTTGCTCTCGACGCAAGACAGATATATTTTTCACCTTTTACTATCGGTATTGTAGGATTATTTCTTAAGCACTGAAATGTCACATCCACAACCATTCACATGCACATTCTGCTGGCACCCATCTTACGGCTCTCCGCATACCCTCGGCCGCTCCGCGCGCCTGACCTGCGAGTCTTGTTACCGCGGCCTCGTCGACCTCGCCATATGCTAGGTCTGCGGCGAGATCGTCTTCCGCGGCGAGGAGAGCGTGAGTCTGGGGTGGTGTTTCTGGCATCGCGCGTGTTACGGCTGTCTATTTTGTGGGAGTAGGTTGGTGGTTATTGGGCCGACGATTGCGGAACTCTTCGTTGATGATGATGATGATCGAGTTGCGAATAGTAAAGGCAGGGATGTTGCTATTGGGTCAGGGCGAGAGATCACGGAGGTGCCTACTTGTGCCAATTGCGCGGTGGAATGCGAGGTCGATTGCGAGGATCGGCAGGCTTTCCTACGAAATGCTTTGCATAGAGTGGATAAGACTGATGGAGGTATGGCTAGGATGAGATGGGTGAAAATGGGCGGGAAGATGAGTAGGAGGGCTGTGGGAGAGATTAAGAGGGTGCCGGCTACGACCCCTAAATCTGTTCAGGTAAGAACTCGTTAATGTCAATGCTGTTTAATTTGGGCTGACATATTTATAGAGTCCGCCGTCCCTGAATCGGTCACGATGGTCCATTCAGGGTCGGACGCACACTTCACATGCATTTCGTCTACCAGTTGACGGCGCTTTGGGTGCTCCGGAAGAGACAGGCGGTAGTGAAGGGAACCGTGTCGCTCCTCAAGATTCTGCCATATACGTCTCGATTTTCGATCCCATTAACGAACCTACTTTCAAGCCTAGCCCTACAAAACCGATTCCTAAGTGGATGCGGTGGCTTCCGAGCCAGCGAGGTCAAGATCGCCGTCAACAGACTGAACCTCGACCCTATTCCATCCTTGATCAATATTTCCCCCCTAACCCCATGGAGTCGGATAATTATCCTATATCCAATTCACCTACTATTTGTCCAACAAGTCCCTCACCAAATCCGCTCTATTCAGCAGCGACTCCACGTCCCCCTAATCGCCTTCGTACACCTCAAAGTTCTGGGTTTGGTAAGCTAGCCGAGTCGACTATTACTGCCCTCAAGGGCCCTTCCTTCGTTCTGGATGAGCCATTAAAGCGCCCTTCCTCACGGATCACCCAGTCAACGTCAGCTAGTCCCAAGTCTACAAAAGCCGAGTTCACTTCACTACCTAATCCACCAGACCCTCATAGTCACACACCATATATACCCCAGCAGCCGTCGCCTCTCGTAATCCACGAGGGCCAACCTTACAGTAAAGCCGTATCACGGGAAGCATTCCCGCGCCGCTCCCCGTCGCCGCTGACCGAGCAAGTAGCAGCACATCTTCAACGATATGCCCGGCGGACGCCACCGGCACAATCAAAGGAGTTCCTCAACATCTACAAGCCTCTCCAACCATGGAACCCGAGCATCGCGGTCCCAGGCCGTAGGCAAGACAGGGGTGTAGGCGACGGACGGCAGATCCGGAATATGCTCGGCCGGGACCGCACGCCGTCGCCTAGCGGTGGTACGAAGCAAGTCATCACGGATGGGGGAGAGGTAGTGGATGTGCGGAGTATAAGGAAGAAGTCGAGCTTGCAGAGCGAGATAAAGAGATTCCTGAGTGGGAGGGGTCTTGGTAGGGAGTGATGTTTTGGGTTTGCGGCGCGGAGTTGACGGACGTAGAAGATAGGGTTGGGAATATAAATAAGTACTAGATTGTAGGATTATTACTTAATGAGAATTATTAGGTTGAGTGAGAGTCATCTTAGAGATATTGCTTTGTCTAACAATACTAAGAAGCATACGAGATTACCGATTCTAATTTACAATTCAAATAGTGTGTTATGATAACTGGTGTATCTGATAAGCTACATGCCATATAATACGGATTAAAGTAGATCTATAAAATGATGACGGTTGTAATAGAATACTTAATTTCTTCTATTAACTACGTGTTATTATCCAGAGTAACATCTCATTTTGGTTTAAGCTGGTTTGGGTTGTGAAGTTAGTTTCTAAGTTAGTATAGATCATTAAGCAATAGAAGTACTTATATAAGTCAAATGATAATATTGATTTGGGTTGATTTGATTTTTAGGAAGGTTGTAAGAGTTGTAGTTGACGTATCACTGCGGCTAAGAAATGCCGAGACTCTACAAACGTCTGGGGGTAATCTTGGACTGCTGATTGGTTATACAACGTATACTCAGCTAAAATAAAGTTGCGCTGCAACATACTAAAGAAAGGCAAGATGTCACCGAAACAAAAGACGTAAGCATGCGCGTCTTAGGAAAGATCAAAGTACGTAAAGCAACTTCTAAAATCGATAGTGTGAGTAAGCGTACGGCAGGTGTGTGATTAGACACCGGGGGGGGGGGGGGGGTCGAGAGACGATTATGTATGAGCCCGGCTTGACTTTGACTGGTGTAGAATTATGGAATCTAATGACACAGCCTGCCCAACTGTAATAATAATCCTTTTGTATAGGAAGTTACCATTGTCAACTAAAGCATTGGTTAAGACTAATATTGCAACTTGTTACGGGGTCCCTTTCTTATACTAGCAAAGCTTTAAGAAATTATCAGTTACAAATCCAGCTAATGTCTTAAAAAGCGTTTAGTCTATTATACCACAAGATTGGCCACGGAGTTCGAACCAGATTCGAGATGCTACATATTCTGGGCTTTAGGTTTACAATGTTTACATCTGCAATTATCGACACTTTCCATGTTGCAAATGAAGTGTTTGGGTTTTAAGCCGGCTCGCTTTGCGACCTGCTAGGTCGTATAAGTTGTTCTTTCAGCCATTTGCACTCTGATAGAACTGATGCTTATTTTAAACTACTTAAGGTAAATATTAACTAGCTTCATTCCCTATCGGGCAGACGATGCCTATATTTGATTATTAATCATAACTCTTCAGTACAATATAAACTGATGAAGTTAAGCTTGAACAAAAGCAGCGAATATCTTGTATCTGATTGGTCGCGATCTAAGATCAATACATAATTCACCTACTGCGGTACCTAGGTACATAACTCCAATCGCATGGAACGACCCCTGTCTCTTTCCCATCCCCTCCAAACTCCAAACTCCACAGCGTTTCCCTACCTAAGCTTCATTCTCACCTCCAGCACCTCTAGCACCATTTCGATCTCTAGCTTCGCATCTTTGCCAACGCCCGCAACCTTCGCATACTATACAACCAGAAGATATAATATCCCCTATTTTAGAGCGTCTTCGAACAACACGCACACGCGATGGCGCCAATGACGCGCGTGGACCACGATGCTCTCGAGCGTAAGCTATTCCCACCCTATCCTTCGTATACTCACTTCTATACCAATATATATATATATATCTCTCTCTCTTTCTCTATCTATACACTAATACAAACATACAACACCCCCCCAATACAACTCAATACTAACCCCCCCCCCCTCGCAGAACAACTTAAAGACACAATCCAAACCCTCACCAACGTCCTAGTCCAAGTAACCAACTACGACAACGCCGCCGCCGCCGCCGGCCCCCCCTCCGGCACCGGCAACAACACCCCGTCCTCCTCCTCCCCCCCTCACAGCCGCCCGTCCCGGGACGTCATCGCCAACGAGCTGCGCACCCTAAGCGCCAACCTGCAATCCATCCACTCGCGCGCCACCGACCCGCATCTACCCTCGTTACCAAAGGTGCCCCCCGAGCTGGTCGAGTACGTCGAGAACGGCCGCAACCCCGACATCTACACCCGCGAGTTCGTCGAGGCCGTGCGCCGCGGCAACCAGCTCATGCGCGGCAAGCAGAGCGCCTTCGCGTCCTTTCGCAATGTGCTTGCTGGCGAGATGGAGCGCGCCATGCCTGAGTTGAGGGACGATGTGGCGAGGGTGCTGGTGAATACTGCGAGGAGGTGAAGGGGGTGGGGTTTACGTATTAGTAGTAGTAGTAGTAGTAGTAGCATATGGGAGGTTAATAGATAGACGGCGTCTCGGTTGTATTTCTCGCGGAGGCATTTGGCTAGCACTACGACGCACGATAGTAGCGTTAGGAACCATGGAGTTTGACTATACCCAGGGCGATACTAATAAATTCAGCTTAGCCTTAAGAGGTTTGGCTAGGCTCGGATAACTCCTACTTTGCCACAAAGTTCTAACGTTTACTTAAGTTGGAAAACTTGAAATCATCGAATTTGCATTGAACGCGTCGCGGCGCATTATAAACACTAGCAAACCATCGTCGTCCTTTTTCCCTACCAGTTTTATTTTATTTACCTGGGTACCCCAACCAAGAACACCGCTTTGAAATTTCCAGTCCGCCCTTTCCTATCTTAGGAACACGACTCTAGTTAGTTAGTTCTTAAGGATCTTAGTTAACTCCGCGACGACGGCATCGCCAGTCTCCTTGGTGCCGGCCTCGCCGCCGAGATCCTTCGTCCGGACGCCGCCGTCGATGACGTTCTTGACCGCCTGCTCGATGGCGTCGGCCTCCTTGGGTAGCTGCAGCGAGTATCGGAACATCATGGCGACGGAGAGGATGGTGCCGATGGGGTTGACGATGCCTTTGCCCGAGATATCGGGGGCCGAGCCTGGAATTTGTTAGCCTGATCAGAACTCCGATGCTCCCGTAGGATAAAAGGGGGGGCCTTACCGTGGATGGGCTCGTAAATGCCGTTACACCTCGACTTGCCGTCCGGAATACCGCTTAGACTGGCGCTAGGGCTCAGACCAATGCTGCCGGGAATAACGCTCGCCTCGTCGCTGATGATGTCGCCGAACAGGTTGCTAGTGACGACGACGCCGTTAAGACCGCGCGGGTTCTTGACCATGATCATGGCCGCGCTGTCGATAAGCTGGTGCTGGAGCTTCAGCTGGGGAAACTCGCGGGCCATCGTCTCGGACACGACCTTGCGCCAGAGCCGACTCGACGCCAAGACATTCGCCTTGTCCAGACTCCAGACGGGCGCGGGCGGATCACTCGCAAGCGCAATGTACGCAGCGAGGCGAGTAATGCGCTCGATCTCCTGGCGCGAGTACAGCTCCGTATCCCAAGCCTCATCCCCGTCGCCAGCCTCCTTGCGCTCGCCAAAGTAGATGCCGCCGGTAAGCTCGCGGACGACGGTGAAGTTGGTGCCGCGGCAGACCTCGGCTTTCAGCGGCGAGTACTGGACGAGCGACTCCGAGGGGAAGAAGCACGGGCGCAGGTTGCCGTACGTCTCCATCTCCTTGCGCAGCTTCAGGATGCCCTGCTCGGGGCGGACGGCGCCGGTGCCCCATTCGGGACCGCCGATGGCGCCGAGAAGGACGGCATCGGCCGATTTAGCGGCCGCGAGGGCTTCGTCTGTAAGGGGTGTGCCGTGGGCGTTGATCGAGCACTGTAGCATCCCAATTATATAACGTGTCAGCTAGCTATGTTCTTCCCTTCGCTAGGCACGTGAGCGATTCAAGGGGGGGTGGTACAGAGCGGGGAGAGAAGGGAAGGGAAAGGAAAGGAAAGGGAGGTAGGATGCTTTTTGGAATTCGGAGAACGTACGCCGCCTAGTAAGTGTTCTTGAAGGTTGAACTTGCCGACAGAGGGTCTGGAGGACTCAACCGCTTTGATGACCTAGTAGCGTAGTCTATATATTAGCGTAGCTCTTATAATTGAGGTGGCTGTCGTATAGGCGGATGCCATCTCTGGTTGGATTTGTATTCGTCTATCTCTTGGCAACATACCTTGACGGCCTCGGCCACGACCTCGGGGCCGCTGTGATCTCCGCCGAAGACTACGATGTTGTGTGTTGCCATTTTCGAGGGCCAATTGGGTTCGTAAGAGGAATTGGATAAGGAAGTAAGTGAGCGAGTTTATTCCGAGTTGATTTAGGAGATGACCGAGCTATAATATAGAGAGGGTAGGTACATGAGGTATCTAAGGGATCTGGGGAAGTTGCTTGGGGTTTATTCTTGCCAGTAGCAAACAAAAAAAAGCTAACAGCATGGAAGCTGCCCCGCGTTAATTGCTTGTGTCTCCGAACCCACCCCGCGGTTGCCGAGATCGGCCTTCTATATTAGATACATAGCTCTTGCTCTTTGTCTCCCGGCGCTCTTCTCTTTGCCTATGAAGCTTCGCCATAATTAAACCCGTTTACCGATTCAGTATACCGAGGACCGGCTTATCAGATTTCACTTGATCTACATATACTCTACATCACTCGGTATCCACTCAGATTGGTACATCATAGTATCCGCCGACAACTTATAGATTTGTGTGCTTCCATTTGTTAGGCATTCATATGGCTATATTTCCCTTACCCACGAACTTGCATAGCTCAATCATCCTCTATCTTCAAGCCATTCCGTAGCAATCGCTTGTACATATGCATATGTAAACGATTGATCATAATAAACAATAAACACATCAAATCGGTACCCTTGCCACATAGCCTTCACAAATCTGCGCTTCTTATTGCTACTCATCATCTATGAAATATAGATTAGGGTATCGTGTAAACGTAAAGGCCCCCAGCTGAATCTCGTAGCACTATTCTATCCCGTCTATATCCAATGAGCGCCATTAACATATATCCCCATTATAGATTTAACGTATCGTAAGCAACATGCCTCGTTACGAACACTGACTGCATATCGTCATCTGAACGACTTGAATGACTTGTGTGCTAGCGGAGATGTAGCAGGTACTCGGGGGTTCGTGCCCCCCATGCTCCTGCGTATTTCCCGGCCTCGCATTCCATGGGCGTTCGGCGTGTTTGCACAAAACGCACATATATACACGCTAGGATGGGTTTGCCTTGTGATGTTGATGCATTTACCATGAAGCCACATCTCGCATGATTCACTATAATAGGGGTTAGTCATGGTATTGAATGGTGTCGTAGTTCGACTATATAGGGGAAGAAAGAAAATGGTATGGGTACCATTGAACCATATAGCTATTGCCATTGATGTGGTTATTAGCTGTGTTGCAAACGCATCGAATGCGGTGGCCTCGTTCAGTAGACTGGCTACGGAGTTGACTGGTTTTTAAAGGGGAAGGAGTTAATCTTGAGACTGGTCGAGGTATGAAATTCTCATTCATGTTCGACGCCCTCTTCTGACGGTTCTCGATAACTCTACGTAGCTCGCTTGTTGCGTCGCCGTAATTACTACCGCCGGGTACATTCATCACCGTCTCGGCCTCGCTCTCGGGATCATCGACGGGATCAGGTTCGTTATAGTATATTCCGAGACTACTCGTACTCTGGTCACTAATACTCCGCTGAGAGGAGTGGAAAGGGAGGGACGCCGGGTTTCGTGGGTCTGGGAGAGCGAACGACGTGTTCCGGCTAGGAATAATTATAGGTTCATCATCCGTTGAGGAATCATCATCTTCGGAGGATGCCCAGCTTTTCCCTTTCCCTTTGCTACGCTTTTCCTTCCGACTACGCACTGCTGTTGGTGTTGTATCATCATCTTCTACGACTATTGTCGTTGTTTCCGCGCGAGCCCGACCCCTTGAATCGATTGTGAACTTGACCGAAGTTTGCGTTCTTGGGGGTGTTTCAGGGATGGAGCTCAAACTTGGTAGTCGTTGTTGGTGATTCTTCAATGGTGATATTCTTCCACTTCCGCTTATTCTAGATCCTTGGGATGCCGATCGTCCAACACTCTGCGGCATGGGTCGTGTAGCTGGTGCAAGGTTAGGTAAATTAGCTGCCTTGCTGACAGGCTTTCGGCTTATCTTCTCGCTGGAGCTACGCGATAGCCCGGGGCGATCAGATGGCTTGACCGGTGAGCTCGCGGACACCCGATTCACCTTCTTGCCGGCGTTTATCTCCTTGTTGCTAGCTGAACGGCGAACGGCTCCACGTTTTGGCGCCTTGGCAGCTAATACGATAGGCTCTGGATGCGAAAAAGATTGCATCAAGGGAGGCTGCGATAAGGGGTTGAAAGAGGCAGGTTCCATGTTCGCAGACGGCGGCCTCGTAAACAGGAGGCCGGGATCTACGGAGCCATTCTGGTTCATCATGGCAAAAGATTCGTCAGCCGATGTAGCGAAGGACTGACTAAACATTGCCGTATCGGCAACGCTTGTGTCTAAAGCCGACTGCGGAGGTTTTGGCGCAAGTGCCCGTTCCTTCTTCGCTGGCGGGTTACTTTCTTGGCTTTGCGATGGAATAGCGCCCGTTTCTTGGAACATCTCGTTTGACTTGCCCCAATCTATAGAGCTCATGGGCCGGTGACTAGAGGTTTGGAACATCTCCCCACTAGCAACGGAAAAGTCGATATCCATCCCACCCATATCAGTATCCCAGAACATACGCGAATCCCCATAGCCAGAGGCCGTAGCTGGCGCTGACATTGGGTATCCAAAAAGATCCGTGGGAGTTGTTGAGATAAAACTGGGCATCTGTTGCGGCGTGCCAGCTACGAACTCCTGTTCGAATCCGTCATTTTGCATATTGCTCGTCCGTAGCTTTGGGGCGAGTCGCTGCCTTCCTTTGTGAGTAGACGGCGGCGGTGTAGCCGTTTGCCCCTGAGTCTCTTGCGCTCCGTCTCGGTGGATCTTCTTGGACAGCTGTTGAGAACTAAACCGGAAGCCGGCTTCAGTTGGGCTATGGCCGGAGGCTAGGGGGTTCGGAGATGATGCCAGCCGTTTAGACGGGTCAACAGGCGGTAGAGGTAAATTTGGGTTCGGCGAAAAGTGAGGAGCATGGGTTGAAAGTTCAGCAACAATGCTCCCGGCGGATAGGAGCCTCTTATGATTTGAAGCCTGATAAGGCGTAGGGGCAGAGTAGTCGGCAAAGGGAGCGTGGGAAGCTTTCAGGTTACCGGGGGTGGAATTGAAGACGGAATACTCCTCGGCAAACTGAGGAGTCCACCCAGAGGAATCCTCGAAGGAGGCTCGGTTACTCTTGGGGGTTTCGAACACAGAGCTCGGAAAACCAGCGGTGGTCGGGGTTTGCTTTGGGGTGGGAGGCTGAGCGTTTGGATCACCAAAGCTACAAACCGAATATTAGCACTCACTGAGACAAGTGGACAGGGAGAATGAAGGTGTCTTGCCTAGAAGTTGGTCTATCTCCACTCATAGCAAAAGTATATGGTTCTTTTAAAGGAAGTTCCCCTTAGATAGTTGTAATTGTTGAAGTTTGTATGTCATTGCACATTATCATATATACAATTCGTCGAGAGTTGAGGCGTAGCCAGGTAGATAGGTAGCTAGGTAGGTAGATATGTATGTCCGTTTGCTAGATTTAGGCAGAGCTAGATTATACAGATTAGAAACTTTGATTGTTGGTAGAGATCTAAACTTAGTCTCGGAATATAACACACAATTATGAGTGAAGGCGGTTAAAAAAAAAGAGTCGTGTATCATTAATTGGTGGTCTAAAAGTTGAAAAAGAGAAAATCATACGTCCAATGGTGGTTGTCGTGGTGAAGAAGCGTTGGTGGGTAAAGATGCTTAGGTAGATGCGGGTGTCTCTCTAAGTTTAGGACGGTTTGCGGGTTTGCGGGTTTGCGGTTAGGCTGTCGGGTAAATTTTTAGGTAGACTAAGGTCTGTGCAACTTGTGCTAAGCCTAGCGGTACTTTAATTTTTATTTTTTTATATACTAACACAATGTAATCGCAATTACGGAGCAACTTAGTAAGTGTAACGAGGGGCAGAAAGCAAAAGACAATAGCAATTCTTAGTGGATGGTGCCTAGTGAGACCTACTAGCAACCTCTTTCTAAATCCGAGAAGAAGTACACTTCTAAGGAAATATGCCATACTACATAGTATAGTATGCATAGTATGTATAGCATGCAGCAGTCAAGAAATACGGAATCAATTGGTTAGGAGCTCTTGGGCAAGGAGACTAGCTAAAGTAGATAAGCGGCGCGTAAACTCCTCGAAAAGCAATACTATGTAACGCAAAGCCTCTAATACTGACAATTCTATAGAAGGTAGAAATAGGATGACCTAACCCTTATTTTCACTGCTATTACAGTTAGGTATAGCAATATATATACTATGGTTACTTGCAACTTTTGAGGAATTCGGACCTGCAGATATGCTCCGTCTCCACCAAGCGGACAAATTGCTGATGCTTACTACCCAGCTGCGGTACCGAGTCGGAGGGATCTCCCATATTCCCAGCAAATATCGGTCAAGTAGTGAGCTGTCAATTGGCCCTTGTGCAGAAGCAAATTAGGTGGCTGGACTAAATAATACTGTAATTTAGCTAAACACTAAACTATACTTTATAATAAACGTTCATCACTTTCATACTTATACGTTGTATAGTACTTAGTTATATGGCGGTATAGTAGCCTACTGGCGTCCGCATCGTCGGTCGAATCACGGTGGATCACGCTAGGCTGTTGTACGTAGGTGTGTAGAGCTTCCAGCCTATAGAACAATGCTAGAAAACTCCATTCGATAGGTATCATTGGTTACACTCACGATGGATCCAGCGATTTCGAGCTAGGACCTGCATTAGATGGGACAAGAATGAGTCAACAGAAGAACTATCCCCACACAGCGGCCTACCTATCTTTATGTACTTCGTACAACCTGCATACTCGAGCAGGCAGCTATGCAGTTTGCTGTTAAAATCACAGCTTAGCCGTGCGAGAAAGATGTGAATGAGATGTGTAAACAGTTAGCAGTTGAGTCTATATTATGTATGTGTCGGGAGTATTCAGATCTCGGTTGTTCTGATTAGAGCTCGGCTGATGCAATATGGTGGCATATCAATCAGACCATAGTGAAACTCTAGGTCTTATTGTGGTAATTGTGTCATCGTGTGTCATCGTGTGTCATCGATACCGAGGCAATTGTTATTTCCATTGACTGCCCAATGGCTTGTGGCTGCAGCAGACAAATTGACGAAATAACTGCTTTTTGCTTGGTCCTGTTGGCGCCACTACCTCAACAGGCGCCGCAGCTCACCATTGAAGTCTCAGTCTCGTACATCCTCGAGTCGCCCTCGAGTCTTTCTATATTTAAAGGAGGATAGGGGAATAGGGGAACTGGAAATAGTTCAATGGGAATAGACGCCCTACAATTGTCGCAGGTTAGTCAAACTCGACTTACGTCGTAATACTTTAACCTCGAACGTATTAATAGAGATTGGTAGAGGAAGCGCGCGTATTTCTTCCTTCTTTCACCAGCCCGATGATAAAAAATCCCAATCGATAATACTACCTCCTATATTCGATTGCGTACGACGTGTTCCCCCGAGGTGGAAGAAGGCCGGTGACGTCGGATCTGCAGTGTACCCTGCATAGCCCTATGGCTCGACGAATTATTAAATATCGTAGCAGACCCTGGTAGGACATTGTTCGTTTGGCTTGTTATTGGTTCGCTCTCGTTCGACAAAAAGCATTCAAATAGTCGGCATTGGTTCGAACCAGCAAAGCCCTTCGTACTTCCTCAACCATGTGTAAGTAAGAAAGTTAAGGTACGCAGATGCATTATGTATCTTTAAAGTCTATCCCCAAAATCTATCTTTAGTTCCTGTTGTGTGCATGTAGGACAATAGCTCGCATATGATTGGCCACGTTGTTTTATGCTATTTCCCAAAACGTGCCAATTAAACCTCCACATTTTCGTCTTGATAATGCCTTTTCTCCTGAACTGGTCGAAGACTATCTCGGGATTTAACCTTATGTAAGCTGTTGAATTACATCATTGCTACTATTCCACTTGGATTTTTTATCATAGAGAGTTTAATTTAAGAGGTATTGTTTCATATATATGTGAAACTATAGATGATGTCCAGTTTGTTTATTTATCAATTACAACACCTACCTCCCATATCAACTACGAACAAAAGTAAATCTAAATTTTTCTAATCTATCACACCCTTTATTATCTTTTAAACACATGTCCGGCTCGGCAGGCAATCCAAGATTGGTAGGATGTCGCCGAAGTACATATTGTAAATCCGATATTTCAATGCGACGTAGGATACAGTAGAGCAACTTTTTCTATTCTTGTATATATGAGTCTCCGGAGCCGTAACTAGAAGTCAGTGAACATCATAAAAAGGCTCACAGATTACTACTCACAAAAATATATATCCGAATCCTCCTTCATATCCGTCAGCTATAGTATCTAGGGCTCAACAGGCGCATATGCAAGGTATGATATATCCTCATATGAATACTGCAACCCTAATGCGACACAATATCGAGGCAGGATCTGTTGAAGTGACGTTACTACGAATCTAACACCTCTTCAGGTCGTCAAGGACGTACTCATTCTCGTCGGCGTTAAGCTTATCAACTATCAACGGCCGGTTGCAACCTTATGAGTCCTCACCTATCCGGCTAGCCCATCATCATTGTCGAGCCAGTTCTACGAGCTTTAATATACGCATTCGGTATCTTCGTCAGCTTCCCTCTCGCAAATATTTGCCTTACATGGTGTGATGCCTCAGTAATGAGACAAGTCCCGACTTGAAATCCTAAATTATCTGGCCGCTCAAAATAAACCACTACCTAAGACTTAGTAAAAGGGGGTCGGGGCTGTAGATACTATGAACTTAATTTCGTAAAGACAGCTGGAACATTTTCATAAGCGTATGGAGCGTACGGCGAAGAAAGCTATTGGCGATACGTTGGAATGTGGTGCGGTACTGTCGTGAAGACTGCTTAAATATGCGCAGCACGTAGAGAATTGATTTACTCACATGAAGCAAAATAGTTGCCGTATAAGCGATAGCGACGCCGCTGAGACTTCGGGAAGGCAACTCTGATGAGGTTTATATGGGATTGTATCCTCTCCTGTTACAATGATCCCATACGAGGACGTCGGCTTCAACAGCATCAACCACTTCCTACCCGCCCCCCAGTTTCAAGACAAAAAGCCTCCTAGTGTATCAATGTTCACCAGCCGTACTCGAGACTCGGCGTCGAGGTATCTTGCTCGGGTACATCGAATCTTAATATAGCTTTAGTAGCGAGGAGCGATTCGCCGGCGGTGGGGGCAGAGTTCAGTAATACGAGGCTATTCAGGGGCACAAGCGCTTAAAGGGGTGCCTCGTGTAAAAACGACCTAAATGACGGAAACAGGGAGAGTTATAATAAGGAAGACTTGTTTATCATGACAGAAAAGGCGAGCGCTACTCCGTTGTGGCCTCGCTTTCGTAACCTCGCGTAAATATCATCGAGTTTCGTGATACTTGGTATGGATCAGGATTCGTAGCGAAGGGAGGATACTCAGAGACCTGAATGTGTAACAGATAGGGTCATATTGGGGTTGCATTAGAGAATGAACAGACGAAGAGGAAAGTCGCCGCATACCTAAAGACATATTTGAAGATACCATCAAAAGGCTAAGGACAGTAGTTATAAATATATCATATCAATAGAAATTTCTCCAGATAGACCAGTTCCATTTGTAAGAACCCCCGATTCTTGCCTGGTACACACGGCCCAAATTAGCTATGCACAAGCCTACAGGTTGGATTACTCGGCGGGTCCTTTTGTCAAGTAAAGGTGTGCGTTGCCAGCCAGGAGCCTTCTGAGCGGCAGGAGATATGATAGCTCAGGAAGCCCAGAATCCTCCGCGAATTGCGCACTAAGGGAGCATATGCCGAAGCGTACTAACGCGAGAGATCCCGATCCCGATCCCGCTCCCGCCTTCAATCCTATAAGCCACTATCTTACACGTCGCTAGAAGGATCGCGCCAGCGCCGATCCTGGAAGCCATCCAGGCCCACGGTGCGTGTGTGAATGGCCAGACCATTTATGTATTGCTTAACACATGCATAGTTAGGTAGTGTCGAGAATGAATACAGGGCCTAGACATACTAACCAGGTAGGTTAGCCAGTTCCCCAAATATCGATGTACATTATTAAGCGTTCTTCGTTTGATAGAATACTAAATAATATCATTACCGTACTTGCCTCTATTCGTACTTGAACTTATTGATGCTTGACTTATCATTCTATCAATTGAGGAAGCCCCTTTATACTCATCAAGGCGCCATCACATATAGAGAGTTACTCGTTAGACTGGTTTAAATGATATCCATTAAAGTAATTCCAATACAACAATAATAAACTTCTACCTGTGTCCCTAAAATTCTGTACGTCCTCCAGACTCCTGTGTACTTCTCGGATATAAAGCTTTACAAGTCCCATCCCGGTCTAATAAAAAAAAAGAAAAAGAAAAATAGGTACTTCTTTCTAGAAGTATTAGGATGTCGCCCCCTTTTCTGTAGAACCGTGGGATTGTATCAATAGTATATAGCCAGTACGACGACATATCGACTATCCCGAATATCTACCCATACACCCGTAGAGAGATTTGGAATTTCCAACAGCCCCCAATATAACGGAAACGGGATAACAGGAAGGAGCACGGAGAGTGACATACTGCCGTCTGCAGCCACGAACACGCAGTCTAGAAGCACACGGGATCCTCAGGCTTAGTTCTTCCTCCTCACTTTCTCTCCAACCCGCGCGGGTTGACTAAGTGACTGTTGGGATGGTAAGCAGCCCTCCCCCCCCCTGCGCGGGAGATTCCCCCGGGTATCGTGAGTAAGCTCATCCTACGACTCGGAAGCCCGCCATCAAGCATACATATATGTGCAGTTTTATGGGTTTGCCTTACATACCTTAGACCCGACGCCAGGGAACAAGGATCGAACTCGAACTACTAGTGTATGTCAGCAGAGTGAAGGAAGTAAAGAAGGGGGTGTGTGTGTACACGTATACCTCCCTACCTACCTACCTAATATATGTATGGATCATGCTGGTTCTCTTAGAGCCAGGGGTTAAACCACTATGGCTGTCAAGGTATAACGTCCGAGAAAGCAAGCACACTAGACTCTTTGACGTACCGTCCTAAACCAACGGGAAAATTCCCCGATCCTATTCATAGATCGAGAGATATGACTAGTGGCCCCGCGCCGAAAATTTGCGTGATGGAGATCTGCAAGTATGCAAGATAGATACATCCGGTCGTCCACACGTACCTAACATATGTCATATATTAGGTACATACAATGCTTAGCATCTAACCCCGATTTCCTCTATCTATCCATACACAAACCATTCAACACGCACGAGCACAAGCACAAGCACAAGCACAAAACAAGAACATCCAGAATCTAGATCATAAGTTCTGCGCTACAGGGGTAGTTAGTAACTTACCTAAGTTTAGCCCAGCTGCCCAATACAAACATGTGAATTTATGCGTTTCGTTTCCGTTCCAGCCTAGCATCCACATCCACATCCACATCCACATCCACATCCACCCGGCCCTACGGCTAGGAGGAGTACGCCTAGTAAGAGCAAGGCCAGGAAGGCGTGTCTCCAGTAAGAAAACAGGGCCTCCAATAAGGTGAGGGCCGAAGAACGCCCTAGTCCTAGTCGTCGAAGACTTGGATGCCTCCCCCTTCCCCTCTCCGCCCCGTTGATCTGACGCTGTCTAATCTGATGATCGATACTTCTGGGTTGTGTATGTGTGCACGGAGGCTGTGTCGTTTGAACTAGTCCTCATAGAACGGGCATCTTCAGCTGCTATGTATCTCGTAGTAGCTGAAGTTCGTCTCGGCTCGGGAAGGAGCCGTTTCCCTGATCTTATTCCGGCTATCTCACCTCACGCTGTTTCCGCCTCGTATAGTCGGGAATACACACACAATCACATGGAGTCAGCAGCAGTAAATTAGGCGTGAAGACAAAGAAATCGTTCATCATCTAGCTAAGTTATGCGCGTATCGCGCTGGGAGACCATCCCGTGGTATCATCCGTTTCTTCCTAACTCTACCGCTGCCCAGCAGGGCTGTAAACTGACCGAGAACCAACACAAAATCCACAAACAGTAACCTTCCACCTCTTTAACCCCCCCTGAAATCCATCCTCCCAGATTCGTCGAGGGTATCACCTTATTTAGCTATCTACATTATTTGGTAAAGGAAAGAAAAAGTGGTATAACTCATATGGACAGCGAAAGAGGAAAACTCGACAATAGGATCAGCGACTGTGTATGTAGACGCGTATGTGAGAAAATAGCGCACAACGAAGCAAAACCAATCTTTTTGTTCTGTCGTAACCGCCACAATATACTCCCCCGTTCCAGTCTATCCCAGGCCGTCGTAAACCAACGAACAGTGCTAGATTCATCATAGCATCTGCGTTGGATAAATGTGATTTTGTTCATATTCGGGTATAGTATCGAAGTTAATGAAAATCGACTCATAATTGGTAAAAAAGAGAGGAGATGAGCGAGCAAGAATAGCGCGCTAAGATGCGCCACCTGGCCAGCAGAAAAGTCCGCCGTCCGTCTATAATCCGCCTCGATATCGAGAGCGGCAAATTCAAGGAAATGTCTTGTTTCTCGCTCAAGGTGTCCACCTAGATGCGAAGGAATGGTTGTTTGAAAGGGGATGGACTCGTTTTGGGTGATCGTCAAATCATGTTAGTTAATCCATCCACTATAGGGAAATGTTTTAGTTGTTGTTGCTGTTGTTGTTCTGGCCGAATTGCCTGTTCGTGAGAAATGGGCGTGGACATTGGCATAGGGGTTGGTGTTGCACTCAGTGAAACTGCTGTAGTATCGGTCCGAGGCGTCATAGGTTGCTGTATATCCAGCTTTGGCTTTGCAACAGCCCTTGAGTTGCTGCTCTCACGTCGCCTTTTTGGCGCATCCTTAACTTTAGGGTGCGTGTGACACTGCCATTCGTTAGTATATTAATTCAAAAGGTATCTTTACTTCGATTCCTACCTTATATGCGTGCCTGAACCAGGTGGTACCCTTTTTCTTGCTGCTTACCAGGGCGATCCAATCATTGCAGCTTCCACATAGACCTTCCCAAACATCTGGATTGCCATCCATTCGTCTAGTCTCTTTAGGTTCTTGGAATGGATTACCGGTAGCTGCGCTGATGCCGTGAGTAAAACTCTTGTCGTACCAGAATGCAGAATTCTTTAATACCAGCCATCGACCAGGCTTGCAAATACCGCACCACCCTTCCCGCTTATTGCCGTGACCACGAACCCATCTGGGAGTATACAAATCACCTTCAAATCGTAGCTCTTGCTCGTGAGGTGTAAGATCCGGGTCTGAAGGATTCATGTCCTCGGGCGGTGGCGGAATTTGTTCTTCCTGAAGAGAGGCGTATAGATCTGGCGGATCAGATAAATCTGTATAATGTCCATGCAATGAATGGGGATCCGCGTTGCTTTGCAGCATCCTGAAGAGCCCGTGTGACAATAGCGGTGGTGGGTTCTCGAAGTGATGCGCTTCCGGGTGAAACGCCTGCGATGGCAGTTGAGACGGTAGCTGCGTTGGGAGAAGCATACTGTTACGGAAAGCTGGCGGGTGTGACATGAGGAACGGGTGCTGTTGCACAGCTTGAAGGTTGCCGAAGTTTAGTGGGAGCGGGTGGTTAGGCATCGTAGGCGATGAATGCCTTGACGACATTCTCGGTCCAAAAACGTCATGCGTATGATGATAAACGAAAGGAGCCGGTCGGCGGTTCGCAGTTCCATAAGACCCAGTAGACCATCTCTTATTTCGTGCGCTGCTATCGGCATTGTAAGGAGCAGACCTCAGACCAGGTCGAGGAGAAGGCGATGCGCCACGGCCACGGCTTTGAGTACGGACGAGATCAGAGCGGCTCTGCGGTGTCATTCGAGGGGAAGCTACAGGCGACAATTGAGTAGAGGACATAAGCGAGTTTCGGTTCGAAGTTGGCGGGTAATCCGACGTGAAAGATGGAGCCTCGGACAAAGCAGCAGAGAAATCGTCGTACGAAGGCATATCAGAAAGGCCGCCTGTCGTCGACACAGTAAACGATGAACCTGACATGCGACGCTGGTTGAAACCCGACTCGAAACCCATCGACTCGTTTTCGATTTGGGACCCGGGGTATCTAAGATCTAGAATTGGAATTGCCTCATCTGTGGTATAGGCTTGACCGATGTTCATGTCCACATCAAAGTTGGGCATTTCAATATGGTGGTCTTCACACGGTTTAGGTCCCCACGGGCCTACACTAATGGTCAGTGATGATCCTAAGCTGAGTCGGGTTAAACTCACTGCTATCCATTGTCGTTACGGGGTAGAAGTCTTGATGCATCGAAACGGGTCGCGACATAGTATCACTTGGCGTGTGAAGTGTCAAGCCGGACGGTGTTTCCCATGAAGCAATTGTTCCGAATTCCTCCCCAGCGCAAAACGAAAAACCTTCGTGGATAGTGGCGGGTCTTGGTCGCGCTTCTTGGGATGTTGGCGTTGTCCACACTCCAGCCGGTGCCATTTGACCTTCCACCCCAGTAGACATGTCGTTCCTATTCATCGTGACCAATGGAGGTGGACGTGGTGGCGGGACCTCTCTGATGAATTTATCGTTAGAGCCGAATGTGTAACTAGGTGCTTGAATGTGTTGGCTCCTATAGTTGTGAGCCTCTATTAGATACAATCCGACTCAAGTAGTACATACAATTGGCCCTGTGTTGAGTCCATAATTCTGACGTCAAAATGTGAAAGCCTGATCTATTATGGCTTGTATACTAAAAAGTACCATATGGAGGTTAGTCGATGAACGACATACTCATATACTGGGATCAGGCATATCCATATTGTTGTTGGTATGTTCGACTGTGTTATGTAACAACAAGGAAACTTATTAATGACTTACATAGTAATAATGATATGGGCTATAGTAATCCTCAACGACTAATTTATCTCCGGAAATGGTAATGTGATTCTGAGTTGAGAAGGAATGAGGAGAACCTTGATCCGTGAAACAGCGAAGGAAGCGAGTGTATAAATCGATAAATAGCGTTGGACTATGTGCCGTAGATGTAGATTCGTAAAGAATGTAGTGAGTTCCCTAGAGACAGAGTAACCCGATTGGTCAAGTGGTGCTTGCTCACGTAGACTGGTTTGTCTAAGTGGGAAGAGAGCCAGCTCCCAGTGTTATAGACCAGAGTGGCAATAATAGAGTATCTTATGAGTTAGAAAAAAAGGAGCGACTAATAGTGGAATACCTTGGTTAACCTTGTGTAAGGAAGAGAGCGGCGAGGCGAGAGGAGGAGTAAAAAGGCAGGTTAATGGAGGGGCGGTGCAGAACACAGAGAGATATAAGGATGCCCTCGGACGCAACAGGGTCTACATAGTATGTACACTGACAGTTCGATTATAATTCAACACGGCCAGTCGGAACATCGGTAGGAGCTAAGCCGGGTCTTCTTGATACATGGAAACCTGGCCACGTCTGTGAACTCGACAACAGGAGAGACTGGCGTGCTAAGTCCCGCTTGGCTTTCTCGAAAGAGACAGGCAAGATAGGGTAGACAAGGACCACCGAGCGGGCTCTGCAAGGATTTACAGTACAAGGGTTCGGTGGGTTACATCTGTTCGTCGATGATGTGTTGCGAGGAATAGTCGAGTCTCTGAAGCAGGGTAGAGTGGTGAGCGTATGGGGGAGCAACGGAGAGTTGGATGGGTCTCGGGTACCTAGCATGTAAGAAGTAGCCAGAAACCGATTAGACTAGGGACCAGGGCTGCCCCCCGGTCATAAATATCCATGGCAAGTCCCAACTCTTTTGGGATAGCTAGGCAGGGGTTATGATATAACAGGACGGACGTAAATTTGATATTGAGTAAAAAATGGGGAATTTCATCCAGACTAAGGGAAAAAAGTCTGTTTGGCGAGAGAAAAAATTAGAGTCTAGATACTACTCACTATTTTTAGCCTGTACCGTTGAGCCTCATAGTAGGTGACTTGGTCTCATGTTATGTCCGGCCATGTGGCAAGGAGTAAAATATACATTAGGCTCAGACAGCTAGTGTGGGATAAAAAAGAAAAAGGCTGAGCTGACGAGACGAGTCGCGAACTACGAGAGCCGCGAAAGCTAGCCTTGGAGGATCGTATACCATCTATGTTGTACGTGGGCTCAGAAGGAGTAGGCAAGATTCTAGTGCCGTATGTAAGTAGAGTCGTATGACACAACCATGACACCTTCGTCGGCCGGATATGTCGATCTGGAGAAGCTAGGTTCCTGAGAGTTACAATACGTACCTTATTACTGTAGGTTTTGGAAACACCTTCTGGGGTCTTTGTGGAGCAACAAGGACTCTCCGTGCTATCACGCGAATAGGGCTTGCTGCTAAACACATCCTATGCATGCGGTAATCGTAAGTAGCTTAGTTGACAAGGCAATACCTATGAACACGGTATGCTGTGTGGCTATTCGGGTTAGTCTGCTCGTAGCGCTTAGAGACATCTATGGATCTCGAATGAGGTTTCGAGACGACCCACGAAGGACGTCTCGTTGGACAATACGCGCAAAATAGACGAACTCATTAACAGAATTCGGAATATGCGAGATTGGCCAAAGCGCCAGGAGGCGCGCATGTGTGCAATCAAAGCCTAAGACCCGCCGATTTCCCAAGTTATAGATAGTGGGATCTCGTCAGATTAACCGACTTTGGGTGCGTTACTTTGGTCATTAGATGCTGAAGCAGCAGAAACGTTGGTTCGATAGAGACGCGCAGGCGAGCTCATCTGAAGACGGGATAGCCAAGAACTGCAGGGACATAGACTGACGAAGCCACAATTTTGACGATTCGGGAATAGTGATAACAGCCAATGGCGACAGAGAGGGCGAATGGATGGGGAGGCGGAGCTCCCGTGATGGAGGGGAGACGATGCGTGGTGGGCTGCGCGACACTACATAGCATGAGCTCTGACCTCTCTAACCTTCTGGTATGGCGTGTATAGTATGTATGGTATGTATGGCATCGTGGAATGGTGTGGCCGGGGAGCATCCAGATAAAACTCTGGCGCGATCGAAGAGGGTATGTTCGAGCGAAGTAGTACAGTCGAAAGCGGATGCGCAACCTCTAGTTTGCTCGAACACGCGCAGAAACGTCTTGCAGACTGCAAGGCGTGTTGGACGACTGTATTGGCTTGGAGACTGGAAGGCCTAGGCTAGGGAAAACCGGAGGCTCTAGACTCAGACGATGCCGACCAAGATTAGGAGTGTGTCGTCTCCGTTCGTCAGCGGAGCGCGTTTGATGTTGAATTTTAGTTGCGTTGGGCAGTTTTGTTATTGGTCAGGCGGAGAATAATATACAGGAAGGAGGTGCATGGAACAGGGGTTATCATCCCTGACGCGTCTCAGAATCTGTAACAGAACGGCTGACCCTGGATTACCCCTGGCCCGCCCCCACTTGCCTCTCAGTCCCGAATGTCAAAAAGGTAAAAGATCCAGACTCCACCTCTGAAGCTGCAAGTGCGCCTACGCCCGCACGCTGCATTCGGTCTGCCATAATATCGACATCTTGTTACAATTTGGCGCAGAAAATATTTAGGAACGTGATCCGTACACGGAAGCACAACGTGGATGGTGGGAAGAGACGACGGCTCACAAAGGTGCGCCACTTGCAGAATATCCGTGCCGTCTCGAGGGAACTCTGCGCGCCATGATAAGAAGCGGCTGATGGGGAACCGGTACTACGTTGGTTGTCGAGTCGCCATTGCAATTCATTTTTAGAAACACTTTACCGGGGCGTCTGGGGTATGCTCAGTATTATGTACCTGCGTACCTTATAAGTATGTAGTACAACCTTTTCTCTTAGGTTACATTAGTTACCTAATGTACCTAATGTACTTTAAGTTCCAAGGACCGGTAGAATGTCCAAGCGTTGGGATTCGGCTACGCTGGACTCTCTCTCTCTTAGCCCCGTCTCTCTAATCTCTCTTTAATCCTTTAACGTTGCCTTCGGCCCCTCCTTGTTTCGACAGACCTTCGAGAAGCAAGGTCTTACCGATGCGCCGTTATGTGCAAACTAAATTGGTACAATACGTCTCTCCGAGACCCTTCATCTCGTAGCGATTGTTTTGTTTCCTTTAAGAACCCGGAACTATAAATCACGGAGCTTGATAACCCCGCAATTCCAAGTTTTAAAGTTTTGACAGAACATCTGATGGCGATTTGTTTACTCGATCTTTTGCTTTTGGAGCTTTGATCTTCAATAGTTCTATTGTCGGTATGTACTTAACCTTGATAAGCCTTACCGTTATTAAACATCAGACGTAGAAAATCTGCGCCCACGCTAAAGAAAGCGGCGCCTGTATTCCGTCAGGATTAACTTCGTTGTTAAGCCGATAATCGAGTATCTGCCATAAGGTTAAACTACAGTAAGTAATGCTCCCGTAAGGGTACATATTCACGGAATAAGTCACACTCGGAATTGCGGTCCTTTAGTGTCATCCAAACAGGTTTTACTCTTTACGACGCACCAACCGTAAGGCTGCCTTGGAATAATTCCCTTCTCCAACTGGCAGTTATAGCAAGCGTCATTATCATATTACTGCGCGGGGCGATCTTCGGGTCCTTAGATCGGATACCAAACCGGGCTTTCGAAGATTCTTATCGGTATACAAACAATATGATATACCAAGTAATAATGGTAACAATATTTCTGTCAACCCGCGTGAGCATTCCATGCATCCCATGTGCTTACACCTGTACATGTGCGAGGGCGCCCCGAATATAAACGCCATCCTCCTACATCTACTAGTCACCCGCGTCTTACATAGTACAGGCTTGCAGGCTTGCAGACGTTATCTCGGTTGCGGCCGGGATTTTAGCGCAAGACGAAAACATTTACGGGATAGCCCTAAGATGCGAAATGTACCTGCATCGCATATGCCTTGTTATATGCCTAGGTATGCTATTATGTATGCTCGCGTTGTCGTAAGCGAGCTGATCAGTCCTTCGGGCAAAGGTGAGATGAGATTAGGCACATGTATGTATATGTATATATGTAGGTATAAGATAGGTATACATAATAATACCTATGGATTGGAGCTGCATCGATTTAAGTATGTGCCTTATCTAAACATGTACCTATCCGTCGGATGGGTCGGCTGACAGAACGTGGCTTACACGGTACGGCAGGACCTGCATTCTTTTCTAACTCGGGCTACTATGTTAGGTATCGCGAATCCTTATGTAGGTATTGTACCTAGGTATATACTGCAATTACCTGTATGCACTTTGCATTTGCACTTACAGGCGTACGCGCAGGAAACATGTTTTAACTTATCATTCTCATCGATAATGTAACCTTTCTCTATAATGTAACATTTTCTCTATAATGTAACCTTTTCTCTATAATGTAACCTTTTCTCTCGGGGGAGTTCATCGTATGTACGTATCATTCGATGTGTTCATTATGGGAATTTCACCGAGAGTCTGACCTCGGCCGCCGCATCTGGCGAGCGTTGTTTTAATTAGTTCCTGCCAGATCGTGTCGTGTAAAGCAGACAAGGGGTGGACTCTTGGTCTTTCCATATGTTCTACGAATCGTTCTATGGGGCCGCTTGATACCCCACTCCGGGGCTAGCTTACCGGGATAGGCCCGGTCCCGTCTCATCGCATAACGTTGTTGACTCCTTCGGGAAATTATTCAATGCTCGCTTTTACCCGCAAGCCCCATTGTCCTTAAATTTAGTAACTACTATCGCCTTTTCATCATGAAGATCGCGGGCTGACGATGACTAGATCACTTCCCCAGATACCTAGCGTAGACCCATTGGAAGATCATATCATGCGTTGAACCTAGCAATGGAAACAGACGTTGAAAGCGAGAGGTTTAACAGAACGCAGGTTACGAGTTACGTAGTAGACTACGTGCCCCGAACACGGCCTAGTTGGCATTAACCATACCTCGTAATGTCTATACAGGCCGAATATGTATTTGTTTTTATAACCCTACTTTAACTACTGTTTAATCGTATTAAGTCTCTCAACGACAACCCCCTATGAGACCTGAATAGATAAAAAGAGTCGCTCACTAGTTCCTTTAGTTGCACTAGTCTCAGACTACATATGTCATCTGTGTAGTGGTATATTCCATCTTTGGCAATTTCTTTGATAACAGTGATGAATTCTGGCGAGAGAACCTGATTTACAGCGGACCGACTCTACCTGTCGATGACGGTGAACGTTAATCTTCGTGGTAATATTATTCCTTGTTGATCTTCTTCCAAACTTCAGTTTCTGCTGCTGCGATCTTCTCTCCTGTCTGATGAGCCCATTTCTTCGCAGCTTCCCAAACTCCACTTTCTGAACTCCCTGTCTGATCTTCTACCTCACTCCGCTGAAAAGCCGATCTCTGATAATTGCCGAGCTCAGAAGCGTTAGAATTCTGATGGTATCCCGGAGGGTGCTCCAAGCTATGATGAACTGGTGGGCCACTTAAAGCTGCGGAACCCTGGGGGCTATATTCTGAAGTAGGCACCGGGGCTGTAGATGTACCCCGCTGCTGAGACTGATTTGGTGCAGTAGGTGGCGGGATTGCCATCTGCTGAGGATACGGTATGCTCATAAGCTTCTCACCTGCTTTAGGTGGTGGTGGTATATTCGGTTTAGCGACACCGGTTGGGACAGGGACGGCCCCAGGTTGCGGTGCTGGGGGCCCGTCATGATTAGCCGTTTGAATTGGTTGAGATGAGACACGTGCTCGAGAGGCGTCTGCCGTCGTGGCTGGAAGTGAGGGCACGGCACCAGGTTGCGCGGATGGATAGGCCTGGCTGGACGAAGTAGGTAATGAGCTAGTTGGGGTTGGCTTTGAAGTGGACGATGGTGGAGCAGTCTGTGGCGTCACTCCCGAAGCCTTCGCGGCAGCAATGGGGCTGTCCGTATAGACTGGGATGGGGGCCATGGTGAACACGTACAAAAAGTGACCAGACGGGACCTATGTAAGAGGAGAAATTCTAATGTGAGGTAGTAGTTTAAAGGGGTTGACGAGAGAAGCTATAATTCGTATATATTATGTTGTCAAAGTTATTTACGTACGTTATGTAAGTCAGACAGAACGAAGGAACGTAAGAAGTGGCAGGCAGGCACGACTAAGGAAAGTACATAGGGAGGACAGCTATGTGAGTTGAAAAGCGACGTCATAGGTGTCGGGTTGTCAGGTGACTCAGCTTCGACTTTAGCCTTTTCGTACTAAGAGAAAGGGAAAATAATTCAATTAAAAAAGTTGTTTATTTGTTATATATTTTGCTTGACATCAGTAAAACAATGCCCGCCCGTTTGTTTTCGAGTATCTTTGTTTGCTTGTAAGTTGTGAGAGAGAAAAGCTATAACTATACTAACTGGCCGGTGTTCTGTAAGCAAGTTATAGGTAGCATTCTTTTATAAAAGAACTAACTAGAAATTAGAATACTAAAGATTAGAATTAGAATGAAATAGCTTGATAAGCTGTTAGAAAGCACATATTAAAGAATATTACCTAGGTAAAGCATACTAAATATCTTAATTAACATTGGACTTGCTGGTTTGAAGATTATTGGACTCTTTAGTTGGATTTGACTGCAATGGCTTATTCAAATCTTATCTTGACAAGATAGGATAATCCAGCTACCGAGTTCCGCTACCAAGCACGAGTACTAAGCTCAAATAAGGCTTAGCGCGCCCCGGTTCCAGAACAAATACCAGGTAACATTAGCTAGGCTCTAGCTGAGTACCAACTGGCGCAGCCGCGACTGATTGATTTGATAATGGCCCAAGCCGCAGGGACAAGAGGGCAAGCTCGAAGACAAATTCACTGTAGACGCAAAATAAAATTCCACCGCGCCCAAATACTTGAACAATTTTTCAAATGCTAGAACAACAAATACATATCCACGTAGATGCAGCCATCATCACCACATCCGCCATTCATCTAATCCGTAATCATGGTCGGTAAAGTCAGTGAGAAGGTCCTCCTTCGGGAAGGTTAGTTATTAATCCATTGACCCTGCGCGCATGTATGAAGCTGACATGATGGTATCAAAGGACTTGAACGAACCGACAATGGCATGAAGCAGACGAGCTGGCCTGATGTTACGCCAATCAACCAAAAGAACTATTACACGTACGCGACGCCCTCGATACATTTGTATAGTACACACAGCAGAGTGCCAGAGCTGATTGATATATTCTACTTCATAGTGATTACATGAAACGCGATGACCAAGTATTAGCACTTCGACTGCAGGCCGAAGCGAATAGAGATAGACTCGTTCAGAGTGCCAAGGATCGTGATCGTGCTCTTGCGCGCAACGGACACGCTGAAGTACCGTTACCAGTTCCAGACATCCAACCCGAGGATGCTGCTCCAGCAGTCAGCGAGGGCTTGGACCCTTCCAAGGTTATTGTTATACATCCGGGGAGCCAAAATCTCAGAATAGGTTTTGCTAGCGACGCCTTGCCCAAGACTATACCCATGGCAATTGCGACCAAGTTCCCCCAAACCGAATCCGAAATGCATGAGGCTCTTCCTCGCCGACAGTTTGAAGCCGCGACTACAGACCAACAATATGGCGAGGAATGGTCTAAGAAGTATCAGAAGATGTCTAATGATCTCAAGGTGGATATGCGATCTAGGAAGCTTAGAGTGCTGCCAAATTCGAAAGAGTTGGTTGTGAATCATAATAGACGAACTGAATCGAAAGAGATCTCATTACATAACGACCCTCTCCAGATCGAATGGACCGACGTTAAGGCTCTTGAAGATCCCAACTCGCTCGCCTCATGCTTCATAGGTCAGGCGGCCCAGCGTATTCCCGACGACTCTAACCCCAAATTCAAGCTATGGTGGCCGATGCAACACGGCTGGCTAAACGAAGACGATTATACGACTGCAGAACATTTATATGACGACTTCGAAACTCTTCTGGACAAGGCTATTAGACAGGAGCTTGGACTGACTAGGAATAGTACATGGAAGAACTATAGCTGCGTCTTCGTGATTCCTGATTTGTACGACAAGAAATACGTGGAACAGATTCTCAAGTCGTGCATGACTTGGTTCGAATTTAGTCGGATATGTTTTATTCAGGAGAGCATGGCTGCGACATTCGGTGCTGGGTACACGCAAGCGTGCGTAGTCGATGTCGGGGCCCAAAAGACCTCGATTGCGTGTGTCGAAGACGGACTCTGTGTCGAGGACTCCCGCATCAACCTCAAGTACGGCGGCTATGACGTGACGGAAACATTTATGAAGATGATGCTTTACGACCACTTTCCTTACCAGGATATCAATCTTAGGAGACGGTACGACTTTCTCCTAGCTGAGGAATTAAAGATCAAATATTGCACGATGACCCAGACCGATATTTCAGTACAACTCTACAATTTCCACCTACGCGCTCCGAACCAACCGACGCGCGAGTACAGCTTTAAGACATACGACGAAGTCATCCTTGCCCCGATGGGCTTTTATGAGCCGGCCATATTCGATAATTCAGCCAAGATACGTAGTCGGCGCAAACTAATTGACCGTTCTTATAATGCGTACGACGTCGGCGTGCCCGACGACCCAGTTTCTGCGGCGCAGACTGCTATTCTTGCTCTCATCAAGCCTTCCGTAGTTTCCAACGCCAACGGTTTCCCGCCCTCGTCTCTCGACCCGAACGTTGCCACGCCGATGAAGGAGAAATCTCAGCCCTTTAACTTTCTTAGGGGCGACCTCAACAACGGAACGCCAGGTGGCTCGGCCGCAGCCTCGCCGGCCCCCGAAGGAGCAGCTACTCCCGTCCCACCGACCTTCCACTTCGGTGCCAACGGTACGGTAACAGGGACCGGTAGCCCAGCACCGAACGGGACATCAACCGCGCGCAACGGGGCGTCCCCAGCTCCACCAGCAGGCATGTTCGTAGACTCAGCGGCGCGCACAGCTAAGGCGCTAGCCGCGGAGCGGGACTCTGTGCTGCCCGTGGTACCGCTCGACATTGCGATCCTGACGAGCATCCAGAACGCAGCCAAGGGCGACGACAAGAAGCTGCGTGATTACATCGGCAGCATCATGGTTGTGGGCGGGGGCTCCAAGACCCCCGCCTTCACGCAGATGCTCCACGAGAAGCTCAAGGCTCGCCGCCCCGAACTCGCTGACCGCGTGCTTATCACGCACTCGGCTCGCGATATGGACGAGCAGGTCGTCGTCTGGAAGGGCGCTAGCGTCTTCGCCAAGCTCCCGGCCAATGACTCCTGGATTACGCCCTTTGAGTTCGAGAGGTTGGGTGCCAGAGTCCTGCACCATAAGGTTCTTTGGGCTTGGTAGGCGGTTGGTCAATCCTAAGGTGGGCGAGGGGATGCGAAGAGAAGTAGATAAGGAGGTTAGTTAGTTAGGTTAACCGCCCCTTAATGAGTGAGCAGAGAGCGAATGGGTAGAGGGTAGAAGCGGTAAGGAGACAAACATACGTACCTGGGGCGAAGATGACTTTAGCTTTCCTGTAATTACTCACGTATCACGCGTGTCTCAACGTCGAGGCGGTATTTTTTTCACAAGGAAGTATTATTTATTTGATCGTACTCTCCAAGGTTGGTAGGATTTGTATGGCGTTGGTGGTGGTTCCCCCCTTTTTAGATAGGAAAAGAGAGTAAAGGTTTAAGACAAACAAATGAAAAGAGACGTTAATTAATGTACGAACCTCTCTATCTACTTCGTCTCTGTTTAAAATACGAGAAGTCTAGCCTATGCTGTAGGGGGGGAAGGGGCGTTGAATCAGTATGGTTTTATTCACGGCTTTGAAAATAGGCCTAAGGCTAAAAAGTGACGACGTGTGTAAAGTCTAGTTTACCTAGACCATAGGTCCATTTTCGAGACTAAACAATGTGAGTGAGATGAGCCGAGCAATGGAAGTATAATCAGAAGGGTTGATCTACGTGTCATCGAGAGCGGCAATTAATAGATCGGTCAATTGTGTCAATTCGGCAACTACCTTATTACTGAACCTAAGGTACGTAATCTCGTCCACAAAAGAACTTTCCTCATGAGAGCTAAAGCCAGCCAAAAGTCGTCGAGAACAAACCAAGTTGTTATCATCGGTTTTATGGCAGTGATCGCAAAATGTATCTAGCTACCCTCCCTATCATTAAAACACAGTGCGAGTTTCGTATCACGTATGCCTTTCTCATTCCCCCTTTTTTTATTTTATTTTTTTTTTCCCTTTTCTTCACGAAGCAAAAACAAATATACAGAACGGTTCTGTATTTTCCTTGGGTATCTCATTCCTTGCGCAACGAGGTAAATCCGCCCCAAACGCCGAGGGCCCCTGAAATGGCGATCCGAAAGCCTAAATTGAAAAGGGGGAGATGCTGGAATCGAAAGCCGGGCCTGATATTGCATTAAAACCTCGAAGGCTCACTTAAAAGGATTTTTGGGTGAAAGGTGGGATGAAGAGCCGGCGGAAGGGTGTATCGACGGTGACGATGTGCGTCCCTGTCTAGTAACTGCGTCTATAGCCCAGCTAGGTAGGCGAGGATTAGCATGGGAAGACTGCTTCGCCTTTCTGTTCTCGATAACAGTTTCTAACGCCTCCTGATCATCTAGTCGAAGAGGTTTACGTCGGCCAGAATTTTCCCCCTTGGGAGTGGACGACATTTGGTGGAGTGCATATTGGAGATGCTGTCATCAGAAATAGAAGTTAGTTGGATCTTATCATGTGAAAGTGAATGGTTTGTTCCTACTTCGGGGTCTGCCTCGGACTTGCGAGCCGCAGCGGCTTTTTGTTCCTCCCATTCTGCCTCCGTCAATTTATCCCAATCATGCCGCTTTGTGGCAATATCCGATGGCTCCATATCGGCCAGCTCAGCAGTAGATAGAAGGTTCAAGCAGATTGCTTCAACAAATCGTGGAGACGATGCTGCTGTCATTATCTCCCATTTCACCTGGGCATGTTGCTCAGAAGGTCGTTGTCGATCCCAAACTGCTGCTGTAATGGCATGCGCGGCGCTCCGTTTCTGTTCATCATCATGCGGTGCCTTGCTCATTGAAAAGGCTCGCGTCAACTCTCCCTTAAAAGCTGGCTGATTCTCCCAATTGGTAAATTGACTACCCATGACATGGCCCGAATTTTGCTGTGATCTCCGAATATGTGTAGTAGTACCCTGAATTGGCCGCAATAGGTCGGGCTGATATAAGACAGCGTTATTCTGAGGAGGGTTTGCGGCCTGTAGGATATTAGAGCTTCCAATAGGAGGCACATCTAAGACTTGGTCATTCTGAGCCTTGCTATCTACCACAGGAGTCTGCAGCATAACCCTGTTGGCTTCGTTAGGTAGTCTACCTTGATTCATAGAATACAGAGGCGGAATAGGCTTGCCCAGCCTACGAGCCTCATTTTGGGCGATCAATAGGTCAGCTTCCGCGCGGTCCTCAGCCGTCAAGACAGCATCTTCGAGTTCTTCCTCCTCAAAAGTGTCCATCATCGTAATGGCTCTAATGCCGTCTTTGTGGGCTTCAATGACCTTATCTAGGACATTATCTTTGCCAATATGTGTATCGATGTTTTGTTGCTTGGGCTCCGTTGGCATCTCAAATGATTGACCGAATTCCTGGGCTTTAGGGATAGGATTTTTCTGGTCAACGACTCGAGAAGCTAACTGCATCTTCCATATCGCCATATTCAGCGCCTTCTCCTCGGACGTACCCCCACAAACCAAGCGGTAAACATAGACTGGTTTCTTCTGACCAATACGATATGCACGCCCGACGGCCTGTTGCTCGTTCTGTGGGTTGAACTTGACGTCAAAAATAATGACTCGATTGGCACTCGTCATGTTGAGGCCAACGCCGCCAGCTCTGGTAGAGATGAGAAACACATCAACTTTGCCCTTGCTGAATTCCTTGACAACGGACTGTCGTTTAGTTGTCGGGACTTTCCCGTCAATCCGTTCATAGGAAAATCTCTTGGTTTTGAGAATAGACTCTATATAATCGAGCGTACGGATAGATTGACTAAAGATGAGAACTGAATCACCTATGCGCTTGCACTCGTCGAGAATAGAGAGCAATATTAGGATTTTCCAGGATAATGCATACGCACCCAGGTCCCTTGTCTTATGCAAAAGCGTAATCTCGCTAGTAATAAGCTCACTAGGTAGAGTCTCCGCCTTCGGAATCGACTTTGTAGAACCCTGTTTTCGATCCTGCAACTTTTTCATGAAGATCGAGGGGTGAGCACAGAGGATACCCAACGTATCTATAGAAGCTAGTTGACTCGATCCTGGGTGATCCAGTTGGTAACTGATGAAGGTTTCATACGCCTCTCGCTGCACATTGGTAAGAGGTACGGTTAAGAGGAATTCTAGCTTTGTTGGTATGTCATGCTTCAGCGCTGCGATTGTTATTCGCTGTACTTTTGGCGCAACTTCTTCCTTGAGGACCCTTAACATCTTCAGAGCCATTCTGCGTTGACTCATAGTACTGTCTAGTTTGAGCCCCTCTTTGATTGGATTGGCGTACAACGATCTGAATTCACTGATATCGGATAAGTAGTTTGGTGCAATCCAATTAACCATGGCATGGTACTCTTCGACCCTGTTAGCCAGGGGCGAACCGGTTAAGGCAATTCGGCTCAGAGTTCTGAAATGTGCACCGGCGGCGTGAGTTTGCGACTTCGGGTTCTTCATCGTGTGCGCCTCATCGGCCACAACGAGGTTGGGGCCGTCGCACAATATTTCTCTAAAATCTTCCTGAAGCACATAGTCCTTGAAGAGATTGTAGCCAAAAATGAGGATGCCACCTCGTTCGTCCCAAGACTCAATGTTCGCATCGCGTTCGGAAACATCCGCTGACTGGTCAACTTTGAAAAACTCGCCAAGTCTATGTCCTTGGGGAGCCCAAGAAAGTAATTCGTCCATCCAGTTGTTAACGAGGGAGGGAGGGCAAAGAACAAGGGTTTTTGACTCCTTGAGGCCTTTAGGTATCTGACAGGAGATTGACTTTTCTTCGGACCCTGCAGCTTCGGCGATAGCGACTAGGAGTGTAATGATTTGCATGGTCTTTCCGAGACCCATGGTATGCGCGAGTAGACAACCTTGCTTCGCTCTGGAGTCTACAATCTGATTCCACATGAATCTGACTCCTGCTACTTGATGTTCCTTAATGCGCCGTGCGATCTCAGGATGGATGTAAATAAATCCTTGGTCGTCTTCTTTGCTCTCGTTGATTATCATATTCTTCTGATCAAGAACTGCTACGCCTTGTGCCTCGAGCTCTTTAAATTTCGCACGGAGTACCTCTTGTCGATGTTTCTGTTCTGCCGCCCGTGCCCGATCATGCTCTCTGAGGCTTTCTGCTTCTTGATTGCGAACCAATTTCCTACGCCTCTTCTGCTTCGACGGGGATTTTCGATCGGCTATTCCCGTATCAATAACCTTCCACTCGAAGCGATCAGATAAGCGGCGGAGGAAGTTCGCATAACTGTTGAGTGTCTCTGTCTGTGTCCCTGCGTCTTCTGCCTTCTTCACTATTTCATCATAGCTTAGCTTCTTATACTGACTTATTGAGTAGAAGTTATCGTCTCTATATATTTCAAACAAACGAAGCATCGTGAAGGCAGCGAAAGCTTTTTGCTTCTCGGGAGTATCGTAGGGAGACTTCGGGATTCTTCGCTCTTCCAATTCATTAGATAGAAAATCTATCCAAGCTTCGTCTGATTGCTTCTCCATGGTTACCGAAAAGATATATGATAGATATCCTTCGTCTTGCTTAGCCAGTTCTTTGGCTATCATTTGTTCAGCTGGGTCCAGGTCATTGACGCTCATTATAAGAGGCGATTGCTCATTATACAATTGACCTATCTTTCCCGGTGTGTTACTAGGCCTTGTCCTGGGTGAGCTATTGGGATCTGGTTTGGGTTTGACGGGAGTAGTAAGATCTATCACATGGTACTTTTGAGATTTGACTGGCGTTTGAGGAGACTGTGTAAGATCGATGGTTTCTATTTGTTTAAAGTCCATAGATACCTCGTTTTGGTCACTTTCGCGGCGGCGTTCTTGTTGCACGGGAGGAGTATCGTCTTCAAAAATTGCCATGGGTGAACCGCTACGAGACGCACCAGGGGGCGAGGGGTCATCGACAACGAATCCGTCAAGCTCATTCTCGGATTCACTTGTCAGTATCTCCTCATCCTCAGAATCGGCAGAAACTAGCTTTGATTGTCGACGGGTTCTAACGGAAGTCCGAGGCGGGGCCAAGAGCTTTTCAGGTTCGGTTGGGGTAGTGATGACACTGAGAACCCACGAAGCATATTCCCTGTCTTCTACACTCTGTTGCAAGATCAAGGTGTTCATCTTCAACTCGGCTATTTTACGCCAATGCTGGAGAGTCATCTCTCTACAATACTTCGCAATGCGGGATTCGCATGCCTCGAAATCACTGCGGTTCTTGTCGATCGACATCTTTAGGCCGGCCCTTCGAGCATTTAACCAAATTTGGTTGGATTTGTATAAGAGCTTGGAGGCCTTGCGCTCTCTCCAATCGGACACAAATTTCTGAATAGATTCATCGATCACAGCTTGGACTTCGTCGCCAGACAGGCCACGTCGGTCCTTCTGCTTGAGCTGTTCGGTTTCTATTTCAGCCCAAGTCTCTGAATCGTACTCCTCATCTGAGTCTCCGTACAAAGGTAAGATTTTATCGTGATCCGGATTGTTGGCCCCAGGTACCATATCCAGCTTAATCGCGTAGGGAACTCGAGGCTTTCTATTCCGCAGCATCCGACGCTTGAGAAGCTGGTTGATCTGTAGCCGGCGGCCATACGGCAGTCTATTGACTTGAACGAATGCGAGTTGCCGTTCTTCTTGCAACATGTCTTTCGAGAAAGGTTCGGCGTCGTTGACCATTTCAACGATATCCACTCTAGTGAGTGCATCTTTTCCGAGGTAAGCCCAGGTTGAATCAATTGCATCATTTCCTCGATTATTAATAAGGTTCCTTGATCTAGATGCTATAATCACGTCCGCTTCGGAGGGAATGGTGCGTGACATGTTAACATCGATCTCGGTTGAAATGAGCGTAGGGGCTACTTTTCGTTTCTTCGTGGCAGGCGTGTGCGGTGTGGGGGTCTCCTGAGCGTAGGAGGGAGTGTCATGAAAAGTGTTAGATCGATATGGAGTCGTAGTAGACGCGACTCCAGGATGAGGACCTTCATGAATATTGCTCAGCGGAGGTCTTTGGGGCGCATCTTGTGGCCTCTCCGAGGTAAGATCGATGCTTCCTTTTGATAAAGGCGAAAGAGGGTTGCGAGAAGTAGGCTTAATTAGTAATACCTCCCTATTGACACTGTTTCCCGTTTGACCTTCGTCATTTTCAGCTTCAAATTCCGAGTAGCTGCGTTTCTGATACAGTCTATACTGTTTGCTACGAGAGCGGAATGAGCTGATGATATGCTTGAGTATAGATTTGTGCTTCGCAATCCTGATGCATAAGTCTTGGCAGAGTTCGGCACGATCATATGTGAGAAGCGTATGACCGTCAACTCCATGCTCTCGCAATAAAGGTTCAAGTTTCTCCGGGGGCGGCAGGAACTGCAGGGCAGTAGAAGTTGGAGGTTCCCAAGATCGATTGGCTGAGCAGAGCTCCTGAACCACCTTATCGACGTCCCAGTCCCATGGATCGTCCATTGTCACTCAAACGATACCATCGAGTGGGGTCAATAAGAGGTGTGAAGGGATACTAGAAGTTAAAAGAATATCAGTATGACACGTATCGATTGCTACATATGTAAGTAATGATGTGAAAGGGTACGTAGGGGAATGGTGGAGTGGAGTGTTAAAAGTTTGCGTTGGGGATGTGAATTCAGGTCTCAACGAAATATTAGAGGTATAAAATGGGAAGCTACAGAAATAGTGGCAATCGAGAAGGAGCTTCCTAAGTTAGATTCAAAGAGCACAGGATGTAGCATCCTTTTCTCATCGTCGAACATACCTGCCTTAGGTAGGCAGTAAACGACGGATAATGCCAGAAGTTCCCGAGGTCATTTAGTAAAGGAAGGCATCAACTTACAGTAGGTGGACGTTCAATATGGACAATAGAACAGTGACCATGAACTTGTATGAGTTTTGGAGATGTGAAGAAGGAAATATGATATGTCACAAGTGTTGGGGAGGAGGCTAAGTAACCCCGGGCGTCAGTAAGAGAAAATAAGAAAGAACAGCCGGCAACAACGAGAAACCGGCGGCGTGAAGGGAAGAGAAAAAGCGGGATGTAGATCACGCCGAGTATGGAGCTGCAGCATACAACTGCGTGACCATGTGAAGGAGTTTGTAAAGATGAAAAAATGAAAGTCTTGCAGTACGCTCCGAGGTGCCTAGGTACTTATGAATGTGCCAGCTCGCCGAGAAGTAGACTCTACTCACTCAGTGAACAAACCATAAGCACATGTTGCTGGACGAAGACGTTTAGTGCATACCTATGTAGAACATATAAGAGATCTGTATTACAAGATGTGAAGTTTCAATCCCATTTAAGGATGAGTGGACCGATGAGAGGACCGACTTAGATAGTCGAATAATTAACAATAAGCGGTATTTAGGTACTTCGCAGCGTACCTCACAGCTTAGGAAGGTTCAAGTTACTAGGACCTAAGGACTCGACAGGGTATAAGTAGCAAGTGGCAAGTAATAAGTTGACTTATTGCCATTGCTCTTGCTTTTTTTTAAATCCCCTGTCTCTTAAACGGAAGAGTAGGTACAGAAGTTTCACTTATTGTTAGCTAATTAATTCTACAAATACCCAAGCAGTCAGTTATGTCTTAGAAAACAATGGTCATAATGAGCATGGCAAGACGGGGGGCATTATATAGAATAGCTACATACCTAGTGGCCAACACATACGATCGACAGCAGCAGCAAGTGTCGTTGTTAAAAGAGGATATCCATGTACATACCATGGATTTGACGCGTACGAAGTGTCCAGGATCTCAAGGTACCTACTTCGCGACGCGGAGTAAGGCCCATTGAAAGACCGGTATCACGTGATATTAATATAGTGAGGCCCTTATATGTCTAGATACATAACATAACCCCCCAGAGAATTGTTCTTATTGATTATGGGTATTATGTTTGAATTTTCCCGGTAGATTAAATAAATAATTAGGTAAATCTACTTACAAAAATAGTACATGTATATAAGATTATCCAATATATTCAGTCCATTATACATGTAGGTATTTATTCAAGGCTAAGTGCTTACATGTACCGTTTTACATGTACATGTAAATAATAGCCCAAATTTGCCGGAATTTAACCAGTAGAAAATACCGTTAGCAGCCTTAGATGTCAAGATGTCTAGGTAAATGCCAAGCGTCTACTTATACCTAGCTCTGCAGTCACGTCATCTAGATCCTTCGGACTAAATCGAATTTTAATACCTCTAGAGCGGGGTGTCCCCGTTAGCGAGGATCAACTCAATTCGAATACATGCATGTGTGTACTTGGGATGTATACATCCTAAAATACGCTACATGTACTAAAGAGATCCACGATGGAAGCTAAATAGCCACGGCTCTTATTTCTAAGCAGTGATTACATATATATTGTTGCTCGAGTCTACCTGCGCCTAATCCTAACATGATAATTGGTTGCAAGCAGTTTTAAGACAGCTAGGCTACGGTTGGTTTGGTTCGTCTCAAGTATTTATAGGTAGAGGCGCTAATAATCGGGTGTAGCAAGACACAAACTTCATCCCGCCGAGTTCAAGACAAATCAGGTAGCACCACAGCTTTGTACCTCTTTGGCTTATAAGCCTTTCTACTAAGGTCTACACTATTCTCCCCCAGCATCAGTTTGATATCATCAATTATTATAATTTAGGCATGTCCAACTATCCACCTGACATCACGCCTAGTGAAGGCGAAAGGTTGACTGAAGTGGTCAAGGATTGGGCGATAACCCATGGCTTGACTGTCCGACCACCTCCGGCTGTTATCGCTGCTGAAGCTGATCCTGCCGGGATACTTGCGACTGCAGTTCCCGTTACTCTCTTCCCGAGCCCCTTTCCCCAGGTGTGCTTCGATCAAGGAGTTACGGTTCAGAAGGCTTATAATGAGCTATATGCATCTATTAGCCAAGATGAGGAGTTTCTAGCTCAGGTTGTGAAAGAGTAAGTATAATGGACTTAAGGGAATACATTCAGCTTCAAGGCCATAAACTAACAAAGCATAGAATTGGGGACAGCGATGATTTTATAACAGAATTATGGAAAGTTCACCTAAGGGTCAAGCAAGAGGGCTATGTCCAGGTAGGCTCATTAAACGAGTCTTTGTTGATTTAGCATGTAGACAAAGCTCACTCTATGTTACAGCACAAAAGTCTTGGCCTCTTCAGATCCGATTATATGGTTCACCAAGATCGTAGTGGATCTAGTCCGCAGATCAAGCAGGTTGAGTTTAACACAATCGCGTCCTCATTCGGAGGTCTCTCATCGCAAACCTCATTACTCCACAGGTTAGAACCCACCTTCATCTCAAAACATGCAATACTAAGAAGTGTCTAGGTATCTTTCTTCAGCAGAGTATCCATTATTGGGGAACTCGATAACGAGAGGAACACTTCAATTGCCCGAGAATGGTAGCGCTGCAGGATTAGCTAGTGGTATACGACAGGCCTTTATCGAATATGGGCCCCCATCTACTAGCCACCAGAAATGTGTCATCTTCCTCGTTCAAGGGGGTGAGAGGAATATCTTTGACCAACGCCATCTCGAATATGAACTCCAAAAATCCGAAGAGCCGCTGATCCCCGTATTCCGACTACCATACTCGGAAATTTTACAGCAAACGACCCTTGCCGAGGGTGCAGGCCGTCAGCTGCTATATCAACCGCCGCAGCTACCTTCTCATACGTTTGAAGTTGCTGTCATATATATGCGCTCCGGATATGGACCGTCAGACTATCCTGACCAATCCGCCTGGGAAGCTCGCTACCACTTAGAGAGATCGGCTGCCATCAAATGCCCAACAGTATTAACCCAGGTTGCCGGCACTAAAAAAGTTCAACAGGTTTTAGCAACGCCCGAGACGCCATCAAACCCGTCCATCCTGTCCCGCTACATATCCAAGGACTCTACATCTATATCTGACCTAGCCAATACATTTACCAATATCTATCCTCTAGATGGAACAGAAGCCGGGCTCCAAGCTCGAAAGATCGCTGTCGACCCTGAGCTCTGCAAAGGTTACGTCCTCAAGCCCCAAAGGGAAGGAGGCGGCAACAACATCTACCGTTCCGCGATCCCACCATTCCTGAAGTCCGTTCCGGAATCGCATTGGCCGTCGTATATTTTAATGGAGCTGATCACGCCGCCACCCGTCAAGAACACGACATTGCGCAATGGAAAGCTAGAGCACGGCGGCGTCATCTGCGAACTCGGCATATATGGAACCTGCATCTGGGACCAGCAGTCTAAGGCCATACTCCACAACGAGAGGGCGGGCTATCTTCTGCGCACGAAGGGAGATCAAAGCGAAGAAGGCGGCGTCGCTGCTGGTTTTGGCTGCATGGATAGCTGTAGCTTGGTCTGACGTAGACGTGGGATTGAGGGGGGGTTATGGTCCCATTTCATAGTATTTGCTCCGCAATAGAGTTGGTGATGTTGCTTATTCGAATAGACATTTGCTCATATTAGAGGTAGCTATAAGACATTAAAAGCAGCCAAACACAGTCGTCCATCAGGCTTAATATGCAGTTTGTCAGGGTTAGAAGTGTTCGCATAGTATATATATATATAAGCACCTCGTTAGCAGCCGTGTCCCGAGGCTCCAGGAGTGAAGGCCAGGAGTGAAGGCCAGGAGTGAAGGGCCAACTGTATGGGCATTGATATTGTTCAATTATTTTGGTCATTGCCACTTAATACTTTCCACGAGCCGAGAGCGGAATTAGGGGCATATTGTATATTGTCATCCCGGACAATGTACGGTGAAGGACATCATTAACACATTTGGTATCAAGTCCTGACGTAGCAGTATCATACAGTAACATCCCCAAGCGTAGTCCCGTCATTAGACATAAGATTCCCGTAGTGGAGAGCTCTAATCCAAGATCACACACATCTTGGTCCGATGGGCGTCGTCTTGGCCGTCCCAAGTTTTATACACATTGACTATTTACCTATTCAGTAGGAGATGGTCGCTTGAGGACCTCAATATGTCCTGTTCAAGTGTATTAGCATTGGCGGCTAAACAGCATAGAGGCTGGTTAATCATACTTTGGTAAATTCTCAACACATTTCGTGACTTGCCCTCGGCATCGGTGAAGTTATTCATGATGGCGTCACCCTCAACGTAGACGGTAGATCTGTGCATCTTATGTCAGCTCCGGTCTCCACTCCACACTAATCGTAAAAAAAAAAAAAAAAAAGAAAGAAGAAAAAAAAGAAAATTCTGCGGCACAGATAGATAATATTTCCATGCGAAGCTGATAGCGCAACTAATACGCCCACTCCAAACATTTCCTACAAAGCCGAAAAAAAAAAAACATCAAGTCTGAACCCAGGACGTACCCTTTAGGTAAACTAGTCAAGAAATCCCGGCGGGGTCCCTCCTCGATAAAAGCAGCGACCTTGAACCAGCTCGTCTGGCGGTTCTCTTTCTGCCCATGGGAGCTAGCGACGGCGTACTCGACAAGTTCGCGGCCCGTGCTGGTAGCCTTGACCTCGGGGGTAGCACCTAGGTTGCCAACCAGCGTCATTCTGGCGACATCACGGCGAGCGGACGCACTGAAAGCGCGGGCGAGGCCTGGGGCGGCAGCTGTGGCTCGACGGGCGAGGAAAGACATTTTTTTTTTTTCAAATTGTATATGGATCCACGTTGACGAGGAGTGCGGATACGGTGGTAGCCGGGTGGTTGAGCTGCGGGCAGGGACGTTGAGAATATTGAGAGTTGCGCGTTTGTCAAATATCGTTAAGTTCGCGATTGCATTTGACGCGACGGAAATTAGGTAGCCCTAATCGCTAATTCTAATTGGTCAGAGATCGTGGGGGGGTACAAGATAAATGGATTGTTGAATATTATTGGATATTGTAATTGAAGATTTCTCAAGTAGCTTATAATTGCATTTCTGAACGACCATTCATTACACTCATACATTCTGATGGCATGACTTGATTTTTACGAATTACAACATATACGCGTTATCCCTAGATTAATTATTAAGAGAATTTCTATAAATAATAATATTTAGTGCTTAGTATTCAGATCAGTAAATATATTTAAATAATCAACTTCCCATGTAAAAAAGAACGATAGGAATTTCTAATGTAAGCTACCTACATTTATGGGAAATAGAACACAGCTAAATACCTGTTATAAAACAACCATTGAGATGCCCAAGAAAATAAGAGCTAAGTCTTTATATGCACATACTAAACCTACAACAATTATGTTAGCCCAATCAAGGTCGTCTTATCACAACATGATCCTAGAGGGTGTGGAAACGATATTGTTTTTGCGGAAGGAAATTTAACCTAGGTTATAGAAGCCCCTAGCTATACATACTGAACATGTCCTTTGTTCTAGATGTCTCATCTAGAATCCTGACAATATCTCCAGCAGTACTGTAACTCGAACCTACAACCTTAATGAGCACACTTTTACATACACATAGATCCTCGGCACCTAAATATGACTGATCCTACACAGGTAATACATGGCAGTTTATTTCTTTACACACTCAGTACCTAAACGTCTGTGTTCGTCTACTTGAAAGCTCATAAAGGAGGTCCAGTAGCACAACGGCACGCAGTAAAGGCAAATCCAAAACTCGGTTATATGATTTCGATTAACGACCATTCCCCATAACATGAAATACGCAAGGAAAGACAAGCCACATGCTTACTGTACCATGTATGTGCTTGTTAATCTAAAATAATAAAAGTTCTAGCACAATATGTCTCATCCAAGTAGATGATCCCAGGGGAAATTTAGCACACACAAGACCTTACGATTTATTTAATAGTTTCCAATTCTTCCAATATTTAAATTCCGTGATATTAAATACACTGGATATGGCTAAACCATCAATCCCTAGCGTGAGCTTCTTGTTAGATCCCTAGACTACCAAGATTCCTGGGACGAAGCTCCCCCAGCTATATCAATGGTCCTGGCTCATGGGTCACTAATTCTCTGGGCTTCAACGGAGATGCGTTTTATGCCGTGTTCACATCCTCATTCTTCGTGATATCCCTACAAAACATTCAGGCTACCATTCTATGATCTAGTAGCATGATAGTTCCGCTACCAGACAACCCCAAGATATCTAAAGCATCAGTGAAGGCTGAATCGTTTGTCTACGAGCTACCTTTATGAATACAAGTTATGTTAGAGCAGTGCCTCTAAGCCATGTAATTTACCACAGGCGTACCTTAGTAGTTGTAGGATAATGAACCTATTCCATAGCTGAATTAAGAAGGCGGGTCACGTCTTAGTCGTCAGGCACACCAGGTCCTATCATCTATTGTCCCTAACAACCACTCACAGGCATCGATTTCTGCTTATTCTACTAAGGAAAAACACAAGACAGCATATCCACGATGCTCCACGTTTAGAGCACCAATGGTTGGCCAGCCATATGTTCCTGTCTCCACGCCCCTGTCCCCATCACTCCCTAATAGCACTTACTATCTACCCCTAGGGCTCTCGCCTTGTGTTATTGTTCGTGAGACCAAGCTCCCCTCTTTCCCTGGCAAGTTCTACTAGCACAAGGCAGCGCAGTTGAAGCAGAAGTACCCGCTCTTCTAAGCGTTCCAGGTGTCTGCTTGCACAGCAGTTACCAGGGCGAATAGTTTCTAGAGCAGAATTTCTCGAGCAAGAGGTAAACTTGCTCACACAAATTCTTTTTTCCCTTGAAGCACTCTCCTTCATCCTTCAGCCTGGAGTGTCCCCCAACCTTTCTCTCTACATTCTCACGCAGGATCTTGTTCGAAGGTCTCCAAGCTCGAGGTAAGCTTCCCACCATCAAAGCATTGATGATATGTGACGTGTACAACACTGCAACATCAGATGAAGAAAGACTTACGAATTTTATCTAGCAATATCACCTCGGACTTCTAACTTCTCTTCAGCCTATTTTGGTGTTCCACTGCTGATAGCAATAAGCTACTTCTCTACGGCACGATGTCCATCATGATTAAAGTAGCTATTGCGATCGCCTTTATGGCTTTCGCAACCACAGCTGCTTCTGATCAGGATGGCTCAGCGGCCGTGGATTGGAATCACACGCCTAACATTGGTATTCAGGTTAACCTCGTTCTCCGAGTGCTCTTTGCCATCATCGGTACTGGGCTATGTTGGCCGCCGCTTCGGACGCTATGGCGCTATGGTGACCTTCCGGGAGTAACACTCATCATAGTCGTGGCGATAATGAACTTTTTCACTGTCCTAAATGCAATGATTTGGAGCAATGACAACTGGGACGACTGGTGGGATGGCAAGGGACTTTGTGATTTACAAGTATATTTGTCGACGCCGATGAAGACCATCTACGCGGCTACTATCCTTGTCACCGTCTACGAGCTGTCGAAGAAGTTTAACGTTAGGCGAGCGATACAACTACACTCCCGAGAGGACAGATACCGAGAATTGAAACAAGCTCTTGTCATCTTCGCGGTTCCGTTCATCCAGTTGGTCATGACGTACTTCACCATCTCACAGCGGTACAAGGTCGGCACGCTTATCGGGTGTATCGCTGAGTACGACAACAGTTGGCCAAAAATAATATTTTTTGATGTGCCGAACCCAATCTTTGTGGTCTTGTCCATACCGTTTACCTGTGAGTATATATAAGATCATCAAGGGTTACTTACCCCTTAAGTACTAGAGAAGAGAATGACTAACGTGGACTATAGTTTGGGCATATCTACGCTATAGAAGATACTCTAGAGATAGCCAAGTAGCAATCGGGTCCAACAACCTGGCGATAGCCCGACGTATTCGGCTACGCCGTCGCCTATACAATGTTACAGCGTCAATCATGCTTATATATGCCCCGGTATCATTCTTCTTACTAGCCAAAAACATTCAAAAGGCAGTTCAATCGCCACCCATGGCGTACGACTTCCGTCATATACACAACGACGCAAACCCATACCCATGGGACTCTGTTACATTTGTGCCATCGTGGGACCTGGAGTGGCTCGAAACGAACCAACCGTGGTTCGCGATTTTGACGACGGTGACTATCATTGGTTTCTTCGGCACAAGCGAAGATTGCTTCCCCGTATACCGTGGGTATATGGTATGGCTGGGTTTAGGACGGTGCTTCCCGCGTATCCGAAAGCAGGAGACTCCTCCCAGTGAACCTCACTATATTGATGACCCTGAGGACTTGCTTCGTAACGGAATCGAGCTTGTGGAAATGGGCGGCGCAAATAGGGGGGTGGCAGAGTAAGTATCTCATCTTTCTGGTGAACGTTGAGCTTTAGAATGAGAAACTAACCAACTTCTGATCTCACAGGCGCAGAATGCCTGCCGATCTCCATAATGTCTCGAGCTCAGGTTCTGATACCAATGAGATTCTATCTCCGCGCCGGCCAGTGACACCGCAGCAGCCGCTCCCGCCACCCTCGGTGGCTTCATCACTACCGCCGTCCCCATCACAGTTTCCCATGCCCCCGTTGCGGCGCCCCCTTCCTATGCCCATGGATCGATTGGATAGCATAAGAAGGAACATAAATATGCCAGGAAGTCCCCTCGAACGTGTTGTCATCCAAGCTCTTATCCCGGAACGACGCTCATCACTACAGGGACAGCAATCCCCCTCGCCTTTCCGTGCGCCAGTAAGCAGACACCCGCGCGTACCTCACAGCTATCTCTCGAGTTTCCATCGAGACGACTCGTCCGTCGCCGGTCCATCTCGTTCCCACGCCCGCACGCACTCCGAGCGTTCCGATTCCCAACCGATTCTGGCGGCAACCGCCGAGCACGTCACGGAATCTCCCCGCACAGCAACACCCGCGCGCCGCCAAGTATCGCAACAGGCCGTCCAGCCACTGGAGCTGCTCGACGACCAGTCAAGCTGGAGCGGAACCCGGCGACTTACGGCTGACAACGTAGTCTGGCCATTCTTCTCACGCACCACGTCGACGTCCTCGATAGCCCGACCCCGAGAAACCGCTAACGCCATCGCCGCGGCCAACGAGAGCCCAGTCCGTTCGACCGACAACAACTTCGTGCGCGTGCAGATCACCGGCACTTTCTCACCGTCGTTGCCGTCACCGCCTCCCCCGGCGGAGCAGCGAGGAAGAGGCCGAAGAATCCCGCGAGAGCTGTTGAACCGGGTTGGACGAAACGCTCCCAGAAACGGAAACAGAAACTAAGTATCCACCGCCGAGGAGAAGAAGGAGACGGTGAGAGTTGATGAGCCGGGTTGAACGGTATACTTTTAGAAACGACAACTAGTCGTCTACTAATGAGAAGAAGAACAAGAGAGCTGACGAATCGGATCGAAAGCAACACTGCTGGAAACGATAGCTAATCATCTACGAAGGAAGAAGAAAAAATAGAAATCTTCTACTAAAGGACCAAAAAAAAGAAACAAACGAAAAAAAGGGGGGAAAAAGGGATGGATAGAGTCGAGTCACAAGATCGTGAAAAGGGACAAGGGTTAATACTTTGCGTTGACGGGGGTGTAATTAGATACGAGATCGAGATCGAGAAAGGAGCCGTATTGTTCATTCAATACGTAGCAGTCTATGGCCGAGGACACGCCTCGTTCCAACAAGACGTGAAAGCCCGTCAAACTTCGACCAGAAGAAAGCCGTACGTACACCTTGCTTCTTGCATTAGATACTCGTCCTCCATGTTAATCCTGTTTGCTAGAGAAGTGCGCTCTACTACTAATAACTAGTCGAGTCAGAGCTAGCAAATTCCTGAATTTGAATTTATAGAACAAAACGTAGGCACAAATACACGTATAAGTGAAATATTGGGGTATGATTATTATTGACAGTTGCTAACGTCTCTATCTCGACACACATCATCCGCTCCAGAGCCTTCGCAGGCAGGATGTCCTAAATCTGGTCATCGTAAGAGTAAATGTATAAGTGATGCTTGATCTGTCATTTTCGAGTCCTCTAGGGACTATTCTGTCTTGGTTGCTCATTAACCTTACTGAAGGGCGTGATAAATCAATGTTGGTACACCTGCAACGCCGCGCCATGCTGTGATATTAAGCTAGCGGATCCGATGAAGGTCTGTAATCAGAGAAAAGAATGAAAAGAAAAGAGACATAGCTCTGGTAATAGATACATGATTAGAATAAATAGCAAAAGTGTAGGAGGTATGCTTGGGTATCTTCGTGATTCGTACAGGCCGCGACGGGCCGAGTCCGATTAAATAAGGTATGAAGTGAAAACGAGTTTGTACAGTGGGTTTAATGAAGAATGAGATGTTGCTGTTATGCCTCGATGGGTGGTACATGTAATACAGCTGGCTGAGGTTCGACTGGTAAATTTGGGCCGGACCTTGACCCCGACGCCTCGGTTGAAGCAGGTGCTATCTCTGGATCAGGAATTTGAAAGTCGAGCTAAGGAATGGTCAGAATGTTTCAAAGTGATATAAGAGAAGAACAACTTAAACTCACATTCATATATCCCGTACGTCTTAAAGAGATGATTTTGGGAGCAATTGTACTCTCGTCTGAGCCTACTGCCTTCTCCATCTCCATGTTCCATTTGTCGATCCAATCCTCCAACTGACGCAATCTCATCTTGGTATGTGTAAGGCCTAAGTCGTCCCATATCCAACCCGTAAGCAAGCCTAATACGCCATCGAGTATATTTCTCCAGTTATAGGGGCTGAAGATAGGTACGAGCTCCCCATTGAGCTTTTCGATGACCCGACGGAACTCCTGCTCTGATACACCCGCCGGGTCTAGAATTTCCGGATAGAGATTCGAGAAGGTAGGCGCCAAGTCCCCTTCTACTAGCCAATCTCTTCGGATGCGTATAATCCGCGTACTCGCATATTCCGGAGAATTGATGGGTACGTGGGGATTTAAATGTGGATAGCACGGATGTTGAGGTCCCCATTCTTCGCCTAGATCTGGTTGATCGGGGTCACCCAGAATAGAAGAATTGCTGGAGGATATGCCCGAGATCATGCCGGGCGGGAGTGACACATTTGATCCATTATGCCGGAGACCTAGAACTGAGGGTCCTCTTTCTAGGTCTTTAGAGAATGACCTCTTGGAATCATCAATTCCCATCGGGGGCATGGTGGCCTTTCCCTTTCCCTTGTCGAGCTTCTGATTGGAGCTTTCGGACGTATCGGGTCGGACAAGCCCAAAGCTTATGGCTCGTGCTCGCTTGGTAACACTTTGACCGCGCTTCCTCAAACCAGTGAATTTGGCCCTTTCGGCCTTGGGTTTGAGTTCCGACGGTCCAGCCTCGGTCTCCTGTGGAGGATTGGAAATGCGCTTGCCGTCGTAGGAGTGCCGGAGCGAAAGAGGAAGGCTTATCCTTTTATCAAAACTGGTTCTACCCTCGAGATGTGGACTGGTCCGTGTTGATTTATCTGGAAGTGGAAGGAGAGGATAGTCGCCTGCTCCAAAACCAATAGGCTCAGATGGGTCTGATGAAACTTCAATAGTAGGATGGTTTACGGGCACGGAAGGGGGAGGCGGGGTGGATGGACGGCGTTTGCGGGACTGCCGAGGGGGTCGAGGCGTTCGAGATGGAGGAACTCTTGGAGTCGAATTAGTAGGATTCCAAAGACGACCAGGGCCAAATCGACGCGGTAGACTATAAAATGGGGCAGAAGTAGAGGCGGCTACACGATTATGGAAAGGCGATTGATGGATGCGATCGAAGGGTCCGGGGGGCCCTGTGGCCAGTAAGTTCCTTCGGGGATTAGTTGATTGTCGCTGTTGTGTGGTGACTACGGCAGGATCTGGGACCGTAACGGTGGGATGTTCAGGCTGCTGAGATGGCTGAGATGGCGAATTGACAGGGGCATTGGACTGCTGTACATCTAGGGCGGCCGGTAACGGGTTCGCAGAACGAGTGTCTGCGTGCGAAGCCGTTTGAGATGAGAAGGAGAAATGGCCGCCTTGACGGCCGGACTAGAAATTGGAGAAGCTCGAGGTCGTCGACCAAAAACTAATAAACCAAATAAACTTTCCTCCCCTTTTCCCTCCTCTTTAACCCTCACTTTATTGTACTGGGCCTTGGACGGCAAATTCGACTTTTGCGATGAAGGTTGGCGTTGTGGTCGGGTATTACAAAGATAGACGCAGGTGCAGACGCAGACGCGATCGAGTGGAATTGAAGCGAGTGAGGATTCTGCAGGTGACGGGGAGACAAGCAAAACGGCCGTTGTGAGTGGCTGGTCCGGGCGCGGGTGTGGATGCTGGTGCTGCTGCTGCTGCTGCTGCTGGTGGCTAGTTCTGCAGTAGTAATTCGGGACTTCCAGCACTAATATGGAACACCGCAGTGGCATGCTCATGCTGGCCCTTAGGTCCAGACCGAGGAAAGACCGTCACAACTGTTTGACAGCCTTTTGACAAGTGACGTGAGTGACGTGACACGGAGTGTCGGGATATCGGAATATCGGAATGTCGTATTATTGCATGGAATTGTTAAGAGGTACGTACTTCACCTTTATTTGCTTCTCTTTCTCTTTCTCTTTTTCTTTCTCGCATTCAACAATCAACTGATCAGAACAAGTGTTATTAACACTAGATTGCATCGTCTGTTCCCGTCCCTTGATTTTATATCGATATATACTGCTTTTTTATTCCTTTGGGGGCCGCTATCGTGGTTGCGTACTCTTTTCTTTTAATATCTTGAAAAGGGCGTCATCTTTCCTGACTGTTGTTAATTTTGGCTATTGTCACACTCGAGTGTTGCTGCTCGATTTGCCTTAGGAATGGATGTCGGCAGAAATCTGCCTCGGGCGTGTGTCTAAGTGTCTGATATATATTGCTAATGAGAAAAAAGGAACATCGACGAAGGGAAACCTCAGGTAAATTATCAATTAGCAAAGGGAGGGATTAAGCAAACTTTAGAAAACATATATGTGAGAGAAAGAGACGGTGCTTCTTTTCGTCATCCGCCTTTCCAATAGTGACCTCCGTAGCCCTGGATACCAACCAGCCCAGCAAGTCAGCTACTAAGAAAAGAACAAGGCTTTAAATTGCTTTATTTTGCGGAGCTTTTTTTCTTCTTTCGAACCTATCATCTCCTATCAAAGCGCAGCTCAGCTAAAATGGTCAGGCTTGCAAGCTATTCAGGGGCATCCTCGTCACTCCTCGTTCCACCCAGTTTCTGGCGCAGTGCCACGGATTGCGCTGAGCCTGGTCTGGCCATGGGGGCTGCTTGCGACCCGACCGAGTGGAATAAATGGGACAAATTTTATCTTCTAGCCTTATTATTTAAAGACACTGGATTCCGTCTCACATCAGCAGCTTTAAAAAAAAAACATTCCTATCAGCCCATCAAAATACAATATCAGGAAAGCTGTAATAGAAGTATAGTATGACATAGCGGCGTAATAGCTACCTGAAAGACTCTCAAGGCAGACAAGGACTTATCGGCGTAATTCGTATTGCATTTTCCTGCAAGGTACGCCGGGATTGCCGCATCGCGGTTACATATACTGTATTGGACGTGTGGTCATTGCTCAACTGCAGCCCTGGGAATAGAAGAAAAAGAAAAAAAATCAACGGCATGATAGCTAACATAATCATCACTAATCCTAGTAGAGCACCATTTCGGCATAGTGGATAGACCCTTAGCACCATGTCGAAATAGCATTAACACGAGAATATTAATGCATCTTAATCAAGTACTTGAACATTATGGCTAGGTAGTTATCTATTATATCCGAAAGGAGTTTTCTAGAAAAAGCTAATTGCATTCTAGCCCCTACGTAATCGCTTAAATCTATTCAGACGGGTCCATCTATTATGGCGTTTTAGACCTATTCTAGATCCCTGGTCTAGCTCTCAAAACTTTAAGACAGCGACTTCTATTAACTAGATAACCTGACTGACCTTGCAGGAATCTTTGTGGTCGATGAAGGGACATAGCCATTCCTCGGTTATTGGTCCTCTCTTTGATTTCTCTGTTTTAGTCCCGCTTATCTGGATTGAACCTAAGAGATTAATGTCCTGATGTTAGTAACTGACTCGTTGACATGGGAAACATGACTTGTTCAAATGTTAATATAAACCGGGGTAGAAAAGAAGTCCGAGTTCCTTACGCCGGGCAGTCTTAACGATGTTCTTGCACCGGTATATTCTATGATGATAACTCATGCCATCACTTAATAGTCGACTTGAACCTTACATACCTAGGTACCTAGGTAGTATACGTGGTGACGTAACAATTGCTATGGCAGACAAGCGAAGAGCTGAACCATAGGGAAAGCTCTATTAGACATGCGCCCGTGCACGCGCTATTCCCCCAAAACGAAAGAGGTGACCTCATCTTACCAAGTAGAGCTCCTCCCCATCAAATTATCCCTGCCATCGCATACCCCATGGGCACAGACATGCTACCTACATACTCTCCATCTACATCGTGGATCTTTACATTATCGAGGTATTCGTCGCATAGCCCTACGGGCTGGAGATATCAAATTTATAAGTTGGGGTTTGCGATCCCATGTAACCTCACAGCGCTTGAAACCCGTCATGGCTGATGAGAGCTACACTTCTCCCTCGACGTCAGCAGCGAACACAACCGGCCGATCATCGTCGCTCACCGGCAATGAGCCCCCAAGTTTCAGCTTGCGTCGAGCTGCAACAGTCGGTCAATCTGCTCTTACACGTCGCCGCCCCACTCTGAATACGGGCTCGCCCACTGCCGAGAATGGCTTTGCAGATATTCGAAGGCGGAGCTCTACATATTCCGACTTCAGTCTGAACGATGCTAGAAGGGATCTAGAGACAAGTGCAGATGAGCTCTTTAATCCAAGCAAATCTGGCTCTAAAGAGGCGGCTAAATCCCCATTCGTCTACGTCCCACTTACACTAGCTTTGCTCCCTGCTATAGCTGGCATATTCTTCGAAAATGGGAGTGCTTTCGTCACGGACATCATATTACTCAGCTTAGCTGCTGTATTTCTTCACTGGTCCGTCACGCAGCCATGGGATTGGTATCGCTCCGCGCAAGAGATACGCATCGTGAGAGATGAGATTATGACTGAGTCTGTCTTTGAGTCTGATAGCGACGGCGAACCTCCTAAGACAACCCTGGAAAATGTCCCCGAAGAGACAAATAAACAGGATAGTTCCAAGGAAGTGGCTGAAGAGGCACTCGATAGACGGGATCGCCAGCGGAAAGAACGACAGGATGCCGCGCTTAGAGAACTCTACTTTCACGAAATGGCTGCTCTAGCCTGGTGCTTCATATTTCCTATGCTCGGCGCATATCTTTTACACACTATTCGGGGACAGTTGACGAGACGTTCTGAGGGCCTGGTGTCTGACTATAATCTCACTATTTTCCTTTGCGCCGCTGAAGTCCGCCCCATTTCACATCTAATCAGGATGCTTCAAAATCGAACCTTGCGAGTTCAACAAATCGTCGCAAAGAACCCCCATGAAAAGCAAACTGTTACATTGGAGCATTTAGAAGCACTTTCAACCAGACTAGATGAGTTGGAAGCACAAGGAGCTACGGGTGATACATCCTCGAATGCTACTGCACGACCTGATGTTCCACAGCCAAAATTGATCGAGGCGGCAGTGGCTCAAGAAGTCCGTAGTAGCATACAGCCAGAACTAGATGCTTTAAATCGCGCCATGCGTCGATACGAGAAGAAACTCACTCTACTCGCATGCCAAACCGACAATCGTATCGAGTATGTCGACTACAGGCTTAATGATGCTATTGCGCTTGCTGCCGTCGCCGCTAAGAATAGTAACGCTCAACGGAACTTTAGCGGGTGGTTTATCGACAAGAGCGTTGCGCTAGTTATACTCCCATTTCACGCACTAGTAGCGGTGTCTACCTTTCCTTTCCGGACGGCATCGACTATGCTTAGTCGAAAGAGCAGGTCTTCGTCCGAGAGGACCCAGAAGACTGTACGCAACGGGAAAGTCCTTGCTCATGGCAAGACCAGTTCCGATCGCGTGCCTACGCGCGTGTCTAGGAGATAGAATTAATTATGTATTATGATGGTACGGGTGTATAACGACTGTTAGGTTAGGTAGTTTGTACTAGGTAATAATTACGGATGGGCCGGCACGGAGAAGGAGGACAGCGGGAAACGGTTAGGAGGGGGTGGGTAATAAACGGAGTTTGGACATGGATCGCTCTCAACGTGGTTTACAGCGATAGGAATTACGTAGGGGTTGATTCACCTATGGGAGCGTTCTTGAAGAGCAATTCTACAAGTTGCGATTATATAGATGCTCTCCCTCGTGTAAATCGCGGGTTTGCAATGCAGTTCCTGTGCGGACTGAATGGAATAGGGAAATATTATAGTAGTTTACTTGTCTGTGCGTCTCGATATGCAATTTATTTTATTTTATTCCCTCTTACGTGCTTGAAATATTGAAAAGACACGTCAGATACTCCAACCAACAACAAACGTCATTGTGCGGGGCGTCTCTCGTAACAGAAAGGGCTGGTATGCTTCCTCGTGCACATCGTAATATTCCCATCTTCGATGATGTCGGATGCGGCCAAGCATCTTTAGACTTGAGCTGACTAAACTAAAGCTTCCGGGTAAACGTCCTAACGCATGCAGTAGTCTGCATTGGAGGTAGATATCTAATTATCCTGGTAGGTGCGCCACCTTTTTTGACGTCCTTCTGCCTACCTACCTACCTCATATGTGCGGTATGTGGTGGGTGTTGGGTTCCACTGGTGCCTGGCAGAATCCGGATACTAGATGGATGGACCCGTGGGTTCGGCAGACCGGGTCCAAGTCTAAATAAGATTCCATCAACACCTACATCGTCTAGGTCCAGGGGGCTATCTCAATAAACACCGTAATCCATATTCAGAATGCCAAGCTTATATATGTTTCAACAGTCAACTCTCATATTATGGTATATCAGTCAAGATATGTGTAGTCACATTTACTTCAAGCCACGTAGATCAGTATGAGATCAAAATGCGTCTATATTCCCACCCATCCAACTCTGACTCTGCAAGGATGGCCGAAGGAAGACGGGTAAGGAAATGCGAATAAGGTATTATCGTAGTCTGCTCGCACGTGCGACCTGCGTGGGGATGCGTATATTTCCTGCTGCCGGACGTTGATATTATCGATGCGCGTATCCGGAGTCGTACCAAGTTGCACCGCTTTCGAAGCAAACCTCGTAAGGTTGCCCAAGAGGCAAGTAAGTTTAATAGTTTAATCTCGTGATGGGGGTGAGCACACGTCCCATCGACGTACGTTGCGAGATCCCGCCGTTACCACCCTCCTTTACGCCGCGGGACGAATCGCCAAGGCGGACGAGGCGTCTCGCTACTGCATGCCTAATAGTAGCTCGCGCAAGACACCAATGGTGGTGGCGGGACCCTGGAGTGTAATTTAACTCTTTTAGTTCGCTTGTTCGCTCCGCGTCATTTCAATATTGCGCTCGTTTTGGCGCGCTACTTGGTGCTTGAGCACATAGTCGTTCGCGACTGAGAAACAAATTCCCAACTATCGGTATCATCTTTCTACTGTTTAGAAGATACCGCTCATTCTTCAACTTGGACAATTGGGTCAGTAAAGTCGGTGAGCTGACGATCGTCAATTGCATTGGGCTAGTATTTGATGTAGCCCGAAACGCGCGTGCGGCCGTGTTCTGGTTTGGTTATGCTGTGCTGGTTCCTATTGAGAATGTGCTGTATTGTACTTATCCTTGCTGCTTGCAGCGTCGCACGCGGCGTTGGCTAGATGCGGGATCAGCAGCCAATGCCAGATGAGCGATCGTGAGCAAGGCGACCTTGACCTGCCTGAGTGGAATCGGTGGGCCTCTGAGCTTCTCTGAAGACCTAGAATCCAGGAACAACTTGCTTCTCCCCCACCATCTTCCCAGGAGAAAGGATCTGATGCCTCGCTAGACCCAGTGGCTTCAACTTTTGACAAGTCCGATGCAAACTACCTATTGAATTGCACGCGTTGCGCCTCGTCGCTGAGACATTTCATAATATCTGGGGTCGAGAGAGCCTCTCGGTCTGCTCCACCGTATACGGCTCCGGCCCTCAATGGGATTGACGGACGAAGCGGCATTGGGATTCTCTCGTACTACGTAAACATACATCATACATCATACATCATACATCATGAAGCAAACTATTGCTGACCTCATGCCAAAAGATGGAGCCTTTTATTCGAATTTTGAAGAACAGCAGAGGAACCGAAAAGAATAATTAAACGTTGATCGAAGTGGGTAGGATTGAAATGTGCACTAAAGTTTACCGGTAGCCAGGGGTATACAGGGCTGGCAGGGGTTACGCTGCTAAGTCACACATTAGTGTACATTAACCAATCGGCGGCTAGACTAAACCGTTTGTTGCCTACCTATCTGGAATAAGCTCCCGTCTTGTTCTTGCTTGACTGGGCCTGGTCTCTTACTTGAAGTTGGAAGGAACCTTAGGTATGTAGTTGCAGGTTACCTATTCTCTTCCGGAGTCCGAGCAGGAAAGTAGCAAGGAAAGTAGCAAGGAAAGTACCTAAGCTTGCTTCAACTTACTTCGCTTCACATCCACTCGTCTGTGCTAATCTCCCGCGGTCAACGTTCCAAACGCACTCATTGGATGGTCAATCATCGTCATTCGCGCATCAATCACACGGCATACGCCCCAGTAAGTAAGCTGGTAAGGTACCTGTCTAGCCTTCCTCATGAATGAGACCTGCTAGAAAGATATGCCGCCAAGTAGATGGTGGCCTGCTGTACGCAGAAAGCAATTTCGTAGACATATCCTCCAGCTACGGTGAGCTAGCTGAGATGCTACATGCTACCAGAGAGTACTGAGTGTAAGTACCGTGTATTGAACAATAGCCCAAGTTGGTGGATAGATCCTGAGCAACTGGCTGGTAACTTGTCATCAAAGTTTTCTCCTTTTTTTCTTCTTCTTTTCTTATTCTCATCTATCGGATCGTTAGATCCTAATAGTGTCTTATGGTTCATGCCGGATGCCGTTGCATGAACGAGAAGGAGGCTCAGAGGTTGCTATTGATAAATTTGGTTTGATGGCGTCTTCTTGATAAGTTTGATCTACTGATACGTGCCCCTCTACTCTCTACCTAGGACGCATGCGGGTTGTTGACCCTTGAAGTTTCAGTTGCTTCTAAGCTCACTCCATTCCAGAAGTTGGCCCAGTTACCCAGTTACCCAGTTAGCTACCCATCGTTTGTTCGCAGCTTCGTGCGCTGGTATTACGAGTCAGGAGCCCTGCGTATTTATATTGTTCCTCGTCGTTGATGTCGTCTACCGCAAAAGTTCTCTATACCCAGAGCAAACACTTGGTGCCCTTATCTTATAGGCGGTTTCATCCTAACTATAACCCATTGCTAGCCATGCGTCTTAGCATATAGTAATCCCGAACAAGAGAAGTGCTTCTCAGAACGCTATACCATTGGGATATAATTTCGACACCCCTATACCTTGCAAATCTTTCAAGATGCTTCCCAGGTGGTTGAGAATTTGTACTTTGCTCTACTTACTCGTATGTTTCGATTTGGTGGCCGCGGGGCGATTAGGACCATATCCGAGACAAGAGACTTCTCCCTCGACAGTGGAGGCAACAAAGACAACACAAAATGGCGACCGAGAAACAACCCTAGCTCCGCCAGATAACTCAGAAAGCCCTTCTAGTTCATCAACGAAGCCTACATCCGTCGAGGTTACTACTAGCACAACTAGTACCGCAGAAGCAACCGCAATCCCCTCCGCTCTCAACGGGAATAATCCGAGTAATGATAACTTCACCGAAGAGCGTAAGCAGTCCCATTATCCTTCCTTAAATTATCCAATATCAGTTTCTAATTGAATAATCGTAGCAGCTGTTGTCAAGGGCGAATTGCCCCTACAGCCCCGACTAACGCCAGGATGGGGCGTTTCCGGTGCGATTATGCTCATTACCGGCATCGTGTATGCTTTGGTTGGCATTAAAAATACACGGCTACATACGTTTTTCTCATCGGCATATCTTGCTAGTCTTTGTGTGGCAGTCCTGATCGTTTACGTTATGAATCCCCCCATATCGGATGCTATTCAGGGGGCTTATGTCGTAGCAGCCGTGTGCGCCGGTCTGCTCCTTGGTGGTGCCGCAACTATCTTTAAGGAACTTACCGAGGGCCTCGGATGCCTTCTCGGTGGCTTCTGTTTTTCCATGTGGCTTCTCACTTTACGCGAGGGTGGTTTGCTTCCAACCACTACCGGTAAAGTGATCTTCATCTCTGCCTTTACAATTGCAGGGTTCGCATTCTACTTCAGTCATTATACAAGGCCATATGCTCTGATCGGCTTAATGTCGTTCGCTGGTGCAACAGTTACAGTTTTGGGTATTGATTGCTTTAGTAGAGTAGGGTTGAAAGAATTCTGGGCTTATATCTGGAACCTAAACGACAACCTATTCCCCCTCGAAGCCACAACATATCCGTTAACTAAAGGTATAAAGGTGGAGATCGCGATAATCATCGTATTGACCATTCTTGGTTTAATCTCCCAGTTCAAGCTATGGCGCGTCATTCAGGAGCATCGTGCGAGACGGTTTGAAGAGCGAGCAGAGTTCCAGAGGATGCGGGATGAAGAGGAAGCTAGTGTCGGACGACGGGTTGAGGAAGACAACAAGCGTGAAAGAAGGCAATGGGAGACAACTTACGGAGATCTGCCGACGCCATCAAGCCCCACGGTTTCTCGTGACTCGGGTGTTGGTGAGATTGAGAATGAGAAGAAGGGTCAGTTCACCCAGACAAACGTTCAACCAGTGTCGCCAAGCGAGACGGAGAATGAGAATGCGATCGAGATGACAGATCTCCCATCCGAAGACAACACGTCTTCTGAAGTCGGTAAACATCTGGATGAGGGTCTGGTCATTGCAGGGCATAATCAAGATAATCGAATAACTATTAGGGTTTCGAGGGATTACCACGATAACGAGGAGACGGCACCCCTACCGGAGCCCGACGAAAAGGCCTGGATGGCCGGTGTTGATAATGAAACGCAACCCGCATCTCCAACATCACTACGTAATTCGCGAAGGATCTCGAATTTGACCAGTCCCGAAATAATACCCTTACCGTTCAAAGTGCCGGAACTAGAAGAAGAGGACATCGATGACGACGACGATAGGTCGTCATTCGCAACGTTTGCCGACGAAGACGATCGGTCCATTACGCTAAGCAAAAGAGCGTCAAGGGCGTCCCTATCGCATAGGTTATCTGTGGGTTCGGGAAACTTACTGCGAAGTTTATCACAGCGCTCTAAACGGTCTGAGAAGTCTAAACGAGAGACTGGAGAATTCGAGTTGCCGCAGCCGTCATCTAGATGGGGAGAAAGTAATGAAGGACTAGTCTCCAAGAATCAGAAACTTACTGGAGATACTGGCTCTATCGTTGCTACCGTTGACGGTATGAGCGATAACGGTGAAATCGGCATAGAATTTGCTAAATCCGAGAAACCGGCTCATCCAAGAGAAATCAAAGCAGAATTGGCTGATATGTTGCCGAAAGACGAGTGTAATTCTAAAGATCGACCTGTTGCACAACCAAAGCCTATCGACTCGGGTACTTATCTTGAAGGTCGGCCCTACTCCACAGTAGAGACAGTCGCAACCGACATCTTGAGCCCGTCATTTCTAGGAGAACCCCTTGGAAGTAAATCGAAAAGGAGTAGCGCAACGAATGTCATAGGAAAGGTAGATGAGACGGATGGTGCTAACATTACCGGCGTGTTGGAATCGAAAACACCCTCTGATACGTCCAAAGTTGCCAAGTCAGCATCACCATCCGCTGTGTCGTCCGCGAGCCTCACAAAAGAACATCTCCCTTCTAGCTTGTCACGTGTTGCACTATCATATCGTACAAACGAGTGGGCGAAACATCTAACCCTAGCGGAAAAGCCTGAGCCTGATACATTGCGCTTAAACGAGTATGCCGAGGCCGAAGAGACTTCGAAGCAGCGAGAGGAAGCCCCCGCCCCTGTTAATGTTGATGAGCTGCAGCAAACAGCCGAGAGTGGTATTCCAGCAGCCTCCATTGTGAGGTCATACTCTTCAGTATCTAATGTCCAATCAAATGTACAGGGCTACCGTTCTCCATCAAGAACGACTGTCACAGTTGCAGAAAATTCGGTGCAAGCCATGCCTACTGCCACGCCTCTAGCAGGACAATTACAAGATACCAGCAACAGATCAAATATCACAAAAGGGGCCCAGCCGAATGTTCACACAAGCCACAATCTACGGATGAAGGACCGTCGACAGTCAAGCGATATCATCATTCAACCAATTCTAGAAGAGAAGGGTGACGAACACCTCAGTATTAAAGTCAATGCTATACAGGAGGAGGAAGATGGTTCCACTTCAAGATCAAGCCCTCCTTCATCCTTGGAATTTGAAGCACAAGGCATGAATCGACCTTCCGTTCCGGGTGTTGTGTCATACTCTAGTCCTCAGACACTCCTTGGCAAGAGAGATATGTTTTTACGTAGCAAATCTCAGTCAACTTTATTGTTCTCGCCGCCGAACCCCGAGACTATACAACACACACCTAGATCGACCAACCAAATGGAACAGCCTTATAATTTACAGGCTCCTTCGCCCTTTGTCAGCCAGGATGCTGATGATATTCCTCTCAGCAAACGAAAAGAACTCATTCGTCAGAGCAGTTTGCTTTCTGCTAACCTGACTACAATTAACCCCAGGCAAAATAGCACTATGAGAATGCCTTATACACCTGGCCATAGTCCAGGGCCCACGTCGCCGGTCGCAGCTGACAGCGCGCAGTTCAACTCCCACCAACCTCAGCGGCATTCTACTGCCCCATCCCAAGCGCACCGTGAGGCCCTACTGGCCAATTTCCGGCAGTCCGTTGCTGTAGATCTACGAACCAACACTCCTGTCTCACCCGCCGTTAACAACAGCGGGGAGACTCCTTTGGTTCGCTCTGCTTCTTCAACCTTGCTGGGACCTATGGGGATTCGCAATGGAAACAATGATGTCCAGTACAATATCGATCAGCAGAGAAGTATGCTTCTCTCGCAGCGGGAACAAGAAACTCGGAGAAAAGAGCAGGAACGCCGAGAGAAAGAACTTAATGAGCGCGCTTTTGAAGAGATGATGCGCCGTGGCGATTTCATAGATGCTCATCGAGAAGCTATGAGGAGGATGCAAAGTAGCATCAAGGATCAATAACAGAAAAGCGTTCAAGGGGCTATGAGCATACGTGTGGAAACAAATATATGGTAACGGATATACGGATTTCTGGTTTCATTAATTTCGTCTCGGGTCAGGTTGGGGACTGGAGGAATTTGATACCCTTTCTTTCCCTCTTTTTTTTCACATTTTTCTTCTCGTACCAAACAGTTACCATCGAGGCATGTTGGGCCACGGCCTACACACACGCACACGCACAACACACATGGACAAATATATCCTTCTGCCTATTTTCTAATATGTAATCTCTGGGATAGAATAAAAAAAATTAGTATCACTAAGGGAGAAGGGAGGGGCTCGGTCCGGCAACTAGAGGGGATGATGCATATAATGGGAACACAAAACATGCAAGACACCGCCACGAACTCGTGCTTTGGAAATCATGGTGTCGAGTTAATAAAGGGGAAAGGCAATAGATGTATGTGGTGTAATCCTGTTGCTTCGTAAATGCGTGAGTATCTACATAGACTTCCATATAAGTATAGATATTGCATAAGTATTTAGTGTTTGCTTTTATACCCATTTTGCTCCGGTTTCGATATACGCAGTTGTAAATAAGTCATAAGCACAAGTATTTTGGACAATTCCAACAAGGCGTTATCTATAATAGGTACCTATTTAACTCCTTTTACGAGTTAAAATATTCGAAGTAAAATAACATGCTTTATATTAGAGTGATTGTAGCCAGTAGTCTTTTCGAAGAAAACTAAACATTACTTTCCATATTATATGCTACATATGCAAGCTTCATTAAGTCGAACTAACCAAACATTATACGTAAGTACTTTTAAATACCCAAGCACTTTGCTTTATAATATATAAACCCTATGACACTGCTAAAAGAACTTACTTATTTAATTATAGTTATGCTTAATGTTTAACTCAGAAAATCACCAAAACTGGGTATATTCTGGAAAAAGAAGAAGATATGGATTGAATTCCACATTCGTTGTTGGTACATGTAATGTGCAAACTTTGCAGACTTATTGCCTTGCGCACTGTAAGTAGATCTATGTAGGTACCTAGGTAGGTACCTAATGTATCAGCCCCAGGCAGGTACGGTGAAAAAGCACGCTATTCCCCACATCTAACGTTATTCACGCCAAGGGGTTGATAGGAGGTGCCTAAGATAGCATGTACCTGTAGGAGGTACCTACATTCTTCAAACCTTGACATGGAAGCCATCAGGGTCCATGCAATTGAAAATTACAACTACCTAGGTAGGTACTCTCGCCACCAGTTTTGCTTTTGCTGTGTCGACAATAGGCAGATGCGGTGCAGTACCTGTGCTGCCTACCTGGGTACCTACCTAAGTACCTAAGATAGCATGACCTTACAGCTGTTACCAAATATAAAAATGACTATTGTGGCGCCTTGAACCTTCGGCCTGACGCAAACTTTGGACCGACTTCTTTTTCTTCACTTAAACACACCGCAACAGTCACCATTCCGAGTGAATAACATATAAAGACCAAACAATCGCGCATTTCTCACCCAATACTTTGTTTATCTATTATCACCAATCCTTTTGTCACGATTCTAGTAAGTAAATAAAACCTTTACAGTACAATACACTACTTTTATGTGATTCAGAAGCATGCAAGAGGTTGTTTCCGTGACTACCTGGCTACTTCTATTGTTCCTACTTGTTCCTACTTAGCATGGTGCTTACCTAAAGTTATTTAACTGTCGTGCCCCTCCAGCCTCAGTTCGAGACTTCCCTAAAAACAGACCCACCTCCACATCCAACCAACATACATCATCAATCCTCTGCCGTCTTTAAACTTCTACTTCGATTCTTCCTTGTCCACACCAAGTTGTGAGGACAAAAGCATCGGACATACGCATCTACAGCCTCTATTTGGTTTCGCCACCAAGTTTTTGCAATCTCATACTTATTTCGACCACAGAAAACTAATCATCTCAATCCAACATCATCATGGGTGAATCCGAAGCTCCTCCCGCCGCCAACTACATCCGACTTCAGTCAAATGATAACGTCAAGATCGATGTTGGTAAGTTAATCGTCTACTACTTCCTGCTATGAAATTTTACTCACATGCATCACAGAGAAGGCTGTTGCGGAGCGATCGCTCCTAATCAAGAACATGCTTGAGGATCTTGGTCCTAACGCTGAGGGACAGACTATCCCCATCCCCAACGTAAGTCATTCCTATTCAACCATAACAGTGCTATAGCTCTCAGCCCCAAAGTGAACGTTGTTCTAATATATCTACTATAGGTGACCGAGCCTGTCCTTCGCAAGGTTATCGAGTGGTGTGAGCACCACCGTCACGACCCCCCTGCCTCGAACGAGGACGAGTCCGATAATCGCAAGAAGACGACCGATATCGACGAGTGGGATCAGAAGTTCATGCAAGTCGACCAGGAAATGCTCTTCGAGATTATCCTCGTATGTATAACCCAATATTTCCATCCTCTTATTTTTACTAGTTATATAATTACTAACATATCTTTTTCCTATAGGCCTCTAACTACCTCGATATCAAGGCATTATTGGATGTTGGGTGCAAGACTGTCGCCAACATGATCAAGGGCAAATCCCCCGAGGAGATTCGCAAGACGTTCAACATCACGAACGACTTTACCCCCGAGGAGGAAGAGCAGATTCGTCGTGAGAACGAGTGGGCTGAGGATCGATAAATGCCCCAAGTCACATATCCGGTTGTTTTACGATTGCTTAATCTTGACATTTATCAAGTCTTATCAAGTGATATGACTGATTTGATGATGGATAGAGACAACAACCGGCTAGCGGGGTTCTTTGCGGCTTGTGGCAAAAACCGTGGGCATTTCATAGCTGGCCATTTGTGTGTGGCATTGGCATGGAGAAGAGTGGATTCGGATTTTTGAGACGGACCACCTCCAACCTTTGCTCTCTTAACCAGTATAGATACTGGATGGTATCAGCAGCACCACATGGGCTAGAGAGTATGCAGATTTGTTTTAGGAGTTTTGGAATTAGCATAGTTATTGACATTAGTAAACACCACTAGAGTATTTTATGGTTTTGTGATTTGTGACACAATAACGCATGTGAATATCCTACTCTTTCATGAGTTGTTACCGCAATATGTAGTTCTTATCCTATTATAGACAGCGTACAAAACAGGTACCTAACCTACCTAAGGTACATATGTAGATAAAGACCATCGTATCTTTGTAACTTCGTCTAGCCTGCATAAGAGGTGGTGCTGAGGCAGGAGGTAGTTGTTGCTCTTCTTGTTGCTCTTGTCGTTGTAGTTTGTGCACCTGCACCGACCACATATATACCGTTCTTAAGTCGTAATTAGGTACTGCCGTTTTAGCAGCAACACCGTAGTAACGCTATTAATTTACATCTCTTGTTAAACACCAACCGCATCAGTTAATATTTTCCCAATACAAAACAAACTTTTCAACGTTATTAGGCTACAACATCATCGCCAACCCAATAACTTACTTCCAAACAATTCTCTACCACCAACTATCATCATGGGCATTTTTAGCTTCATCAACACTGGTATGCAGAGCATTGCCTCGTGGTGGTCGGACCGCCAGGCCGTGAAAAGTACAGACGCTTGCCTCTGGTTTGTCCTCGGCGCCGTCGTGGGCTTCGTGATGCGGCCAGAACAGAAACCTCGCCGCCGGCTTCCCTTCCCTGGTACCCTCCTGAAAGAGGAAGCCTTTGAGGACCGTTCCTCCTACGACAAGGCTGTTGCTAAGGCCGACCACGAGTGGGCTAAATTCTCGAAAACAATGAGAGACATAGAGAAGAAGGCGAAAAAGCTAGAGAAGGCAAAGGCGAAGGCGGAGAAGGAGAAGAAGCAGGACGAGGAGATGGACAAAGTGTTGCACAAGGCAAAGCTCCTCTATGGTAATGATACCACTTCGGAGCAGCAGGAACTAGGGCGTGCAAGAACTATGTGAGAGAGAAGACGCTACGGTAGCGATCTTTGATACAGCATCAACGTCCTTGCCTCGCACTATGGCTAGCCTTCCGTTTCTGAATCGATTTCTATAGCCCATCTTCGATAACGATAACAACAACGACCAACTTCTAGTCCTGCATGTCCTTCTTCGATTCTCTACGTTTCGTTTCGCTCGATAAAACTAAGAGGCAACTACCACAACCTTGGACGATAATGATTTCGACACTCGTCTCTACGACTTGAGTTTTCACGTCTTCTCTGTAGATCGCCATGGGTAAGTCCTCTTTGGCTGGTACTGTCTTTACTGTCAGCTAATGATTATTAGGCTACAACGACTGGAAAGTCTCGTTCCTTAGAGACTCTTTCAGGCAGAGATAACAATAGGTTAGGGGAACTCAGAGTGAAGGTTGTGTGGAAGAAGCAAGGGGATTTGGAAGGATAAAATGAAAAGAACAAAAAAAGGGGCATATTTTTGGACCTGTACTGGACAGCAAGAAAACTTGGTATGGATTGACTTCTTTACTTGGTTGGAGTTCTCATGTTTCGTTAGTATATGCCCAGTGTAATGCTGAGGCAGGTAATATGCACCTATTCGCCTACACGTTCCAGCGTGTCAATCACATTAATCGTAAACTTGCTCAGGGGCATCAAAAAGCATCGTAGTTACTTTGTTCGCAAACGCGTTATTTCATTCCCTATGACCAGTACCATGCAAATCTGGAATTGATGAGCCCTGAAGAAAACCGAGAATCGCCCGCACCCATCATGCTTTTCCCCCTCCTGCCATAGGATACAGTGTGTGTTCTGCCTGGAAGAAAATCCCACCACCAAGGTAATGCCAGTCTATGTTTGATCATCCACTGCGAGACCCGTCCCCTGAAGACCGCCTAATCGCTCAATTCCGTCATGATGACATATCGCATTCGGTGGGTGGGCTCCCCAGAAACAGATGTAGCCTGATGTAGATGGGGATATAGAAATGCATCTAAATTCCGAGACGAGTCTTGCGCCAATGCCTTCTCTTGGCGTTGTATCTACAGACTGTTAGTTATTTCCATAGCTCTATGGTCCTTGGTCTTCCTCGACTATCTGCCTCGGGATCAAGATATCGTCGGGAAGTTCGCGGGGGATTCGTACCGGATGGTGTTACCAGTGCGGAGACGAATCCATTGGGGGATAGGTCTGTTCTGCTTCTGCGCCTTGGCGAGCTTCTGCTTCGTTCGGAAAGACTTGTGGCTCTGTAGGTGGGAGTTTATGTTAGCTAAATGCGATTCTCAAAGTAGACACTATCGCCAGCAAGAAAATCAGACAACCATCGCGTTCGCCTCGACGATAAGGACATGATGCGAAAAGATGAGTGTGAGATATTCTACTAGAGCAGTACCACTGATAGAAACATAGAATACATACCGGCATTTTGACTGCTTGTGCTGATCAGAATGTCGAGATTGTTTCGTGAGTGTCTTGTTTGAAGGAGGGTGGGAATTGTAGTCAAATCACAAAGCGGGCTAGAAATTTTGGGTGATGCGAGGGTTTTGCAGCCCCAATGCAATTTGTGTGCGGCAAGGGGGGGCCTTGGGGGTCACTTCGTACCGAGCCTAGAGCACGTGATCATGCGAGATTAAGATTTAGTTCCGAATCCCGATAAGATAAGCTATGACCAACTCCATACATAACCAAGAATGCGGGTCCCATTTGCCAGCTGCTTTTGTCACTTGGCATCGAAAAGAAAAAGAACGCCAATCGCCTTGGCGTATTTTGCTTGTGGCGGCCTCCCTAAACCTTGTTAACCTTATGAAAAGGGACCCTTGCTTGTAATAAAGCCAATCTGAGGCCAATCTGAGGTTTGGCCCTGCGCAAGATTTCAAAGCGAACCTGAAAGATTGACACGCCCCAGAAAAAACAAGCTCCTTATTTCTTGTATTCTGACAAATAACAACTAACAAGTGTTTTTAACGCGTTTACGAAATCCCTCTTCTCCTAACGACTTGAATGCAGATCTAGACTTCCCGCGATTATTCCCGCCTTATTTTAAAATCCCCTTCATTAGTTTTGGACAGCTGTAGAGAAACAGTACCGGCGTAACGATCGCGTGGCCATTTTATTTACCTCGGAGAAGGAAGGGCGCCGTTTAAGCTCCTACGTGGATAAAATACATACTACCTACATACATACGTACACAAGATGGGCCAGAGTGTATCGTGGCTGTCCAGCCTGCTGTGGGCGAAGAAGGAGATAAGAATCCTTATCCTAGGTCTTGTACGAGCTGACAGAGCCCCCCTGTTCGAGCCCATTCGAGCTTCTCTATCCGGAGCAGTACCGGCTAATTCAACACCTTGCGCAGGATAACGCGGGAAAGACGACGTTATTATACAGACTAAAGGTCCGTCCATTCTTTGGAATACTTCTATCACTCTCTTGCGCCTCCTCCGACGAACTTGCAACGGAATGACAGGACTAAACGCTGACAACGAACTTCCTACAGGTAGGCGAGGTGGTAACGACAATCCCAACGATCGGGTTCAACGTCGAATCCGTAACATACAAGAACCTAAATTTCAACGTGTGGGATTTAGGTGGACAAACTTCGATCCGACCTTACTGGCGATGCTACTATGCAAACACCGCGGCCGTGATATTCGTTGTCGACAGCACGGATATCGAGCGCCTACAGACTGCGGCCGAAGAGCTAGCTGCTATGCTCAACGAGGATGAATTGAGAGATGCTGCGCTCCTAGTGTTTGCCAACAAACAGGACCAGCCTGGTGCCAAGGGCGCAGGCGAGATATCCGAGGCACTGCGGCTGGGCGAGCTGAGGGATCGCAACTGGAGCATTGTCGCGTGCTCAGCGGTCGACGGAAGCGGTGTCAATGAAGGCATGGATTGGCTAGTGGTAAGTCATGTTCTAATTCCTACCTGCATCCAGTTCAAGGGGGCGGCCAACTTTACGGCTAGATTTCCCCTTACTCGAGTTGATTTCAGGGGTAACGGAGTCTAGCTAACACGTTACATAGCAAACCGTGTCACAGGACTAAACGTCTTAATATCGCACACAAAGCATTCCTCTGTACAACACTTAACCAACCGTATCAATCCATGGGCATCACTAGCAAGGCCCCTCAGCATCTCAAAACACATTTTATTGATACCGCATCCTTACGGTCTTGGGTAGATGGCTCCGTCATGTTAGTCTGATAGGGCCACGAGGTGCAGCGGCCGCTGTGATTGGGAGCATAAGGCGTTTTCTACAGGATTTTTTTTGACGAAGGAGGACCCAGAGAGGGCACGGTAGCAGGCGAGAAGGATGAATATCAAGTTCGATGAAGAATCTCGAGACACGTTTGCATCATTCCAGGCACGTATTAGCGGTATGGGGCTGGTCCTGGTCTGACCTGGTCTGGTATGCTAGGTCATATATATACGATGAACCTCCCAAGCTCCTTTAATTTGCTCTCTGGCGGAAGATAGAAGGGCAGACAGGTGGATCTCCTGATCCGGCAGCCCGGATCGAAATAATACTAGGTTGGGGTCGGCTCTATCCAGTCGTTACGTTAGATATATTATAATTACCATAGATGCGCATAGCATAAGGTAAATGACCCAAGTCGTTGCCATCATGGTTGTCTTAGATGGTGTTTCTGTTTCATGATCTTTCATGGCTCGATGGTTCAGGGGAAGATGATGACTATGTTTCCTAGTAACATTCCTCTCGTCGAATAGGAGCTTTAGCTCGGCCGTCTTGCCCGTCACCGTGCATATATGTAGCTTTCTTTGTATATAAAGTATAGACTTCCTTGGCACAAGTTACACTCTCAACGACTGATGGTCCTTCGCGGCGTAGGCCGATATAGAATACATGTAGAAGATACGTGACTTATAGATGTTACCGCGATTAGCTAGCCGCTATGACATTTTACCTCGAAGGAAGCTGCCGCATTTTCGGCCCCACTTAGGTACTTGGCCGACCACGTCGCCACGAGACCACGCGGGGTTCCGGCCTTACTATGGGGGATATACATATACCTGTATATCTACATGCACCATATTAATAGCGCGAGATGGGAAACACGGTCCCAAGATCAGCTCGCAAAAGGATTTATGCCTTGACTGCATAAGCATATAATTCGGATATAAAATCCTGTGCAATCGGAGTTTACAAAATTTAGGATCACATTGTGATACCTCACTTCGTGTAACTTACCTAGTGGCCGGGACAGCCGGGGGCTAATTTTGGACCGTACGAAGTGAGAGCCTCGCTGGATATGATATCCTACGAAAAGAATCCTTTACTTCCGGAAAAGCAAAACCGGTCATTTTATAGTATACGTATGCGTATTGTGCTAGACAAGAATGGAAGGTATACGCTATATGACGTCATGCATTATTTGTAAGGAGTCGCGGTGCTATAAAGATGAGCGTGTTGAGTTGTCGTCCGAAGCAGTTGATACTCCCTCGGAAACCGACGCGAGTTTCCTAAAGGGCAAAGGCGGCTGTAGTAAGCGAATACCCAAGGAGTTCTACGAGCTGCTGCTAAGACGGTCGAGTCGGATTGCCGAATATAACCATGCGGCACCTACTAGTGTATGGCTTGTCTACTACATAATGGAGGGGTCGACCAAAGACGGATCGATAGCTCAACTATCATCTGCCGGTAAAATGCACTAGGACGACCCGAAAGCGTTTATGATCCTACATCGATTCGTTTTCTCGCGGGGGACGGTCTGATGGTCATGTTCTGCATGTACGTATAAGTTCAAGAGACCCAGATATGTACCTATGTATTGCCACCAGGGTTCCGTTCTTTGATCTTCAAGGGAAGAGATCGGTAAGGGGACGGGGGGCCGTCTTCGTTGAATCAGAAGACCGCGGTTAGTAATAGGTAAGAGACCATCTGACATGCAAGTTCTTTGTCCTGCTCTGCAAGGCGAGATGACGGTGGCGCTTTAAGATTCTCCGCAAAAAAAAAAAAAAAAAAAAAAAAAAAAAAAAAAAAAAAAAAAACAGAAAAAAAAAAAAAAAAAAAATAAAAAAAAAAAAAAAAAAAAAAAAAAATAAAAAAAAAAAAAATAAAAAAAAAAAAAAAAAAAAAAAAAAAAAAAAAAAAAAAAAAAAAAAAAAAAAAAAAAAAAAAAAAAAAAATCA